TTCTTCTTATTCGCACAACTCGAGAGAGGATGAGAAGAAACGTTCGCTAATAGCAAAATATATTTCGTTGTGGATATTGACGCTTTGGGAAAAAAAAAGTTTTCAATATAAAATCTCAAGAATAATAATGATATTCCAATACCAATATACGTAACGATTTATATACACGCAACATAGGTGCCTCGGAGTTACATACGTAATGACTTCGAAAAAAGTCCATTAAATTTTGTCGACAAACTGCCCCCCGCCCCTTTGTTTTTTTTTTATAAAACGCCTAAGTGAATTTAAATGTCATCTACGCGTATCCAGTCAACAAAATCCAATCGTCTCTGTATAGACATTTTCGATATAAATATTTTCGCTGTAAGAGCATCTAATTTGAGTAAAGGTCTTATAACGCAGGGTGTGCGCCACCCACTGACTTTCTAGACTCATCATATCTCCAGCTATATTTAATGCAAGGTTGAAAAGTTCAGCGACTTGCTGCATCACCTGGCAGCTGGAGAGCAATTTTCTCGAGACACTCAAAGTCCCCTGGGATTTTCAAGGAACGAAGAACCCCTGCACTTTTCACCTCGCTAAGATATACCAGGAAAAACCTACACCCCCTAACGTCACCCCGTGTACGCTGCATATTCCCATGAGCAACCCCTTAAGAAATATTTCATCACTCTCGGTACACAGACGCTGCACCAATATTAGCAGGGCTGACGGTAACTACAAAAGTGCAAGAGTCTCTAGTCAATGACGAAGTATGACTTAAAGAGACAAAAAAGAACTGTGTGATAAGATTAGAGGTTTTGCAAAAGTTACATATACAAAAGAAAAAGAAGAAAAAGTTTATTTTCGTCCTGCATGCAGCAGCTGTTAAATATTTAGGTTGAATCCGGATTTTCCAGAGTCTCATAGAAGATTGTAAGGGATGCTTACCAAGAACTACACCCTCGGGACTGAACTACGGAAGTGACTAACTTCGAGATGGCATCCTGTAGGATAAGTAGAAAATCCCGAAAACTCCTCTCGGTCCAGGTTTACGGACAACAACGGAGTTGTCATGAAAATTGCGAAAAAAAAAATTATTCTTCAAAAAAATTTGCGAATAATTGTACTCGCAAGGCAATGGGCATGGAAGATCTCAAAATTATCCTAAAAAAGTGACGTAGATATTAAGTTTAATATCCGCGAAAAATTCCTTCGAAAAAAAAAATACAACAAACACGTGTACCGGTACGTCCTACGAAACAGAGTGACAAAACAATGAAATTAAACTGACACATAAATTTTATTGCTAATGACATTCATCGCCAAACTTATCCAGCATCGTGTCTAAACCAACAATATAATTCAATGTTAAAACAGAAACCGTATTAACGCCCCAAGAGAAGCTCGTGAATTCTAATAAAAGCTTAATTAATCCCAACCAGTGAAACTGTCGTTACAACCAAGTAAGCCTATTTCGCAGTTACTAGCCAGATTCAGATTTTGCTTAAAGGAGTCCGGAATGAAGTCTATGGTACAACAGATCAGAAATCCCAACGTGTACGGTGGAGTGAGAGAGATAGAGAGAGAGAAAACAGTGGAAGACAGACAGAGAACCTAGAGAGAAGTAACTTGTCTCTTGTTTCAAGTTACGTACCTAAATACACGTACGCGTATACCAGCCAGAGCCAGGGGCGCGCACGGTACACCGAATTACGTTTGCATTATACACCCGTTATTAAACGCAACACGTCTCCATCCAACTGTTTCGTTATCCTTGCTCTACCTCGACGTTCCAGGATCTCCCAGGACAAATTGTCCTGAAAAGAGAGGGTGAATGCCTACGTATATGAATACACATACAGGTATACCTAACGAGAAACGGGAACTGCCAGAGATTTGAACAGATTGGAAGTTTCAAAGCCGTTCTGTCAAATCGATCTTAACTATCCATCAGTTTCAAGGGATCATCCCACAAATGACGTGACACATCCCCGAACACGGTGGCCATTTACTCGGTACACACATCTACAAACATATCTGGCCTTTAAAAGGAAACTCAATGATTCTCTGTAATAATGGACCAAATTACACTTCATTTCAGTAATAATCAATTTTTAATTCCCTGAACCCGGACTAATCCCACCAGGAATAATTAACCTGTACAGATCGAGGTGACCTCTCATTTCTTAATCGTCCCTATTGGCACGTGGATACATATTACGATAAGGAATATATACTTGTATCTTATGTAATATTTACGAAAAAATATAAGAATGCAAAAAAAGAGGTAATTGCAATTTCAATTTAATGCTTTTCTCATACAGGTGGTTCAGTGATACTTCGAGTGTTCCGTTATTGAGTGTAAAGCTTCGTTCTTTATTTTTTGACTTTACCTCACTTTTACCTTGTATGTCTATTCTTTGATGGAGAAAAAAAAATAATGCCGAACCAAACCCCATGCACGAAGTTCAATACAGAATGGTATCGCGTTCCAGTCGTTTCATGCATATAAAGTCGGCACCAGCATAATACAGCTTCCGTTCTTCAACTGGGAGATGAAAAGTTTTCACATTTTCCAATAGCCAGAGTCGAGTTAGGTAAGAGAGTGTCTCGCTTACCAAAATTCCCGCGGGTAAAATATAAGGATGGAATTCACATCAAATATACCATCCTGAGGAAATGCCATTTAGAGGGCCGTTAGTAAGGGGAGTATTCTCGGTAAGGGCATGCAAATCGGAATGGCCATGAAAATTCAAAAACTTCATCGCGCTCGTACATAATCCAAGATAAAATCGAAAAAATATTCTGACGAGTAGAGTTGTGAAAAAGTACAATAAAATAAATTCCTTAGGGAAATATTTATCTTCTCGATATACGGGTACCCGGATCCTTAAGGATAATGGATGGACACTCGAGATGGACCTATAAGAAAAATTGATCCCACTTAGTTAACCTCTGAATCGACTCGAACTTTGTACTTCGTACCAAAGCTTTGATTTCATCTGTATATGAAAATGTGCATCTAGAGTGCTATAAAATAATTAATATGTCAACGAGCTTTTATAGAAAGCCATTCAGCATAAATCAGGTGAAAGAATAGTCTAATATATTTAAATATATTTTTAGGGCCATGGAATCACCTATAATAACCAAATTCATAAGGTGCATCGATGCACCATTAATGTTAATTACTGATCGGCCCTTAGTGACCCACGTACATGCGTATACCAAACGCAGTCCTTAGGAGTCTGACTAGAATGTTTTGCACTGCCATAAAAAGAAAACAAGTCCTATTCATCCTAATCGGATATGCTTGCTCGTGATAAAAGGGGAAATAAAGGGAGGAAACGTGAGAGGAAAATTTGCATGAGAAAATCGTTCGACCCTATAATTTTATACAAGGGCTGCGAGCTTGCTGTAATCAGTGGGATAACCAGAGTTCAAAAAAAAAAGGGTCAAGGAATTTTCTTGCTTATGGGAAACGTAGTTATTTTATAGGGAATAAAGAAATTTCAAAATATAAACGTTTCTCGTTTGACATTTAATTTTTGAAAGACTGTATTTCTTTATCTACGAAAAGATTTACGGCTTCGGTTATCGCTCATGAGGATTTCTTATGTAAGAAACCAATAGATAAATGCATACCTGGCGTTCAATTACTTTTCGACAGAGCCGTGTCTGTCGTCTGAAAAACGATTAGCTCTTATCATTGATCCTACCATAAATCAGGATACCTCTTAAGGAATAGCACGTATAAAATGGAAGTGTTAAACTGATCGGCAACCCATTTAAATCTTGCCGCTTTAAAACGTCCGCAGGACCCTTCGCCGTTACACACGTTTTTGTAAAAAAAACTCCTTATCTCTTTGAAAACTAGGAAAATCCTTCCTGTCGCCCTCGTGAATCACGCATTGTAAATGGAGCTTAATGGGCTGTCGGTTTGTGAAAGAATTCACACGGAATTGCTTCGAGTGCTACGTGTATCATAAAACGTAATAAGGGCCGTTCGATGTAATTATGATAATAGGATTTTTTTTACGGAATATATATTTATGTTAATTTACAAAATTATTTCGATAAAACGTTACTTTGCTACAATACTTCTCCATTTACCTGAGAGTGATAAAACTCTGCAAACTTATCATAAGACTCCAAAATTCCAAATGACTTTATGCTTATAAAACAATCCATAGAATTACAGTTATATGGATGAAATGAACTCTGAATAAATTTTACAAAAAGTATATATACAGTTCATAGAAATATTACGAAGCACGTAGATATCGTACTTGTATATCAGTGTGCCAGAATTTATAACCTAAAACTTTATTTCTGTAATTTAGTTGCATGAGGGGTGAATGAGGTAGGTGGGGGTGAATGAGGGTAGTGGCAGAGTTTGTTTTACGAAAATTCGCGGATTAACGAACGTAATGGAAGTACGTGGTAAAGAAAGAAATAGGTTTACCAAGTCCAATCACACGAATACCCTGATTTTATTCCCTTACAGCAACGCCCATGGGTCTTCAATATTTTGCCAGGAAATTAAAAAAATTTCTACAGCCCAATTTACAAAATCACAAATCCAGCGCATATCGCATCTTGCAAATTGGTCCGACAATTTATTTGAACAATTCGAGTGGTTTTAGCTGTTATGATAAAAACCCATGTTTCTTTGCATTCCCTCATAAACATATCTTTATCATCTTATTTAACGAGTACAAATGTATTTTCAATTAATTATTTTTCTTCGATCCATTCAGGATGCATAATCTTTGGATCGGATCAAGAAGTAGCTGGGGTGATGCGTGCAGTTAGAAGATGCAATGCCACCGGGGCGTTTTCCTGGATCGGAAGTGACGGATGGAGCGCACGGGGATTGGTGAGCGACGGAAACGAACCGGAAGTCGAAGGAACGCTTTCGGTGCAGCCGCAAGCAAATCAGGTGAACGGATTCGAGGAATATTTTCTGAATTTGACGGTGGAAAATAATAAGAGGAATCCCTGGTTTGTGGGTAAGTAAAAAAAAAAAAGTTTTGGTAAACCTTACGCAATTGTTCCCTTTGTATAAAATTTAATCGAGATTCCTCGTCACGACACGCTTCTACGTGCGTGCGTTGACACTGTCATTTCCGACTCGTTTCTAGCCATTTCCGCTTATGCATACTCGTATAGTCCGTTCTTCAAAATAGAGGATGCCGCGCGCTTCCAACCGGAATAAACGCTCCTGCGCTTTCATGCTAAAAACACGAAACACAGTCAGCATTAGGGGAAATTTTGCATAATACATAAAGCCAGTGCTCCGACGAGTTTAGAATCCATCCGTTGCGGATGAAATAAGTTGAGCATGAAAAAGCGTGAAAAACGAAAAATTTTTCAACTCGCAAAACGTTCAGATTACTCTAAACCTGTACGTTTTTTTTTTCGCGGTTACACAAAAATACCACAATACCTTGAATATGCATATTTTAATTTCACCGAAACCCTCGGCCTATCGAAATCCCATGGAACTGAATAATCCTACTGAAAAAAAAAAAAAAACCTTAAAAATTGTATAACACGTATATCCATTCTTCAAAAAGTCAGGGTAACTCACCGGCTGTATTTCAAATTGTAATAGACTGTTTCGTAAGCATAAAGTTTGCCGCTCGAAGAGACAACTTTTTTTTCCTAAGGTTCGTGCTCGGCGTCGTCCACGAGATAAAATATCACACGCATTTATCATAAAAATGACGCGGCATGTGGGGTTCGGGGTGAAGATATTTTATTTACCTTTCCTCCTCATCCTTTTCTGCATTATGTTACTGTCTCTTACAGAACAGGTCAAAGGAGTAGATCTCCGTAAAACTCCCGGCCTGCATTCACGTTAAAAAATTGGATAAGAACCATGAGCTCAGATTGAATTTTCACGCTGGATTATACGCGATGAACAAATTGCCTCTCGTTTGTAATAATCGTATAAACGTTCAGCGAACTGAAACATGACATTGATTAGTACAGTAGTTTAAAAATTATGTAGCTGGTCATATTTTCTTAAATTAGTAACCTTCGTTGATGAATTATACCCTTGGGAGGAGTCCCATAGTAATACTCCATCACTTCAAACTATTCATTTAATTCTATCATGGGCGTAGATTGTACTAATTAACGCGACTAATTAAAATGTAGTGCCTGGCAAAACTCCAATATTGAATACGGTAGTGGTACAATGGCCGCAGTCGAAAATTTTCTAGTACAAAATTATCGCCATTCTTATACGTCCTTATTACATAAGTAATTATGCTACAACTAATTTTTACTAATAGGCAATTTTGTATCTGTATAAGCAATAAATGTCAATACAGATACAAAATCGTTTGTAAATAATAGAACTGCCGTTTGGCCAACTTCACACAGTTTCATATTTTATCCCTTCCTACCGATGAACGTAGATACAGTGCTCGGAAATAAATTTGTTTTCAACTTTCAAAAGCTCAAAGAAGTTAAACGAGAATGTAAATATAAACACGAAACGTGATTTCTTTTTCTTTGATGCTAAAAAATAAATTAGGCACCTTAGATCTTAGTGGATTTCTCTTTGTTCATACTGCTTAATAGTACAATTTTTGTTTTATTCTAACATTATTATTTTTTATTTTTTTTTATTATCTAATTACAGAATTCTGGGAGGATCACTTTCAATGTCGTTATCCAAACGCTTCTTGGACGCCATATAATCAAAAGTACACAAAGCCGTGTACAACAAAGGAACGTCTCACTAAGCAAAATACAGCTTTCGAAGATCAGTTACAATTCGTTTCAGATGCTGTGATGGCGTTCGCTTACGCATTCCGGTAACTTTTAGAAAAATCGAATGAAATCTACTAGTACAAATAAAAGACGATGAATAAAAATATAATACTTCTACAATCCTTTATAGCGACATGCACAGGGATTTATGTCACGGCAAGGCAGGACTTTGCGACGCCATGAAACCAACAAAAGGAACTGAACTCCTAAGATACCTAAGAAAAGTATCATTCGAAGGTAAGAAATATAAGAGAAAAAAAAAGAAGCAAAATCATTCCCATTTTATGACACGTTAAACATTTAGGTCTAAGCGGTGACAAATTCAGGTTCGACAAAAATGGCGATGGTCCCGCTCGATACAATATTATACATTTCAAACAGACATCACCAGGAAAATACAAATGGATTCGAGTAGGTAAATACTTGGAAGGAGAATTGCGCCTGAACATGTCAGGTAACTATTAACGGAATTACGCAGTATAAAATTATCTTAAGCGGTATCTAAATGGCACGTACGCACGATGAAAAAAATGCACCTACAATCCCATAGAAATTCAATTCCGCATGGGACATCCGCAACCACCCGAAAGCGTCTGCTCGTTGCCTTGCGAAGTTGGACAAGCCAAGAAATACGTAGAGGGTGAAAGCTGCTGCTGGCATTGCTTCAATTGCACACAGTACCAGGTGGGATATTAATTAAACGTTATGTCTACAGCATAATATAGCTACCCACGCCGTACAATAGACACGAAAGCTCGCGTTTCCCGTGAAATCTGCACCTCGCGGATGCCACCTCATTCGGGTTAATCTACAAAACACGGGATGTGCTTTCGATTAGGAGGGTCGAGGCACGCGATTACGAGGGCAATTAGCATAAGTTTTCAGAAATATGGGAAACCTCTATAATCGTGCCCTGCAGCCCTTGAAAAACATTCACATTAATCCCCACAATAAGGGTAGATAGCTATAACAATTTTCGCATGTATTCATATACAAGAGCTTAATGAACTCCGAACACAGAGAAAGTTTGAAGACGTTTATTAAACTTTTTCTCTTTCTCTATAGATAAGGCACCCTCTGGATGAGACACAGTGTCTTGCTTGTCCTCAAGGTACAGTCCCTGACGAAACGCATTCCTATTGCCGTGACATTCCTGAAGAATTTCTCAAATTAGAGAGCGGATGGGCAATAGGCGCAATGTCTTTCTCTTCCACAGGAATTTTGGTAATATCCTTTATAATGTTTCTTCTTATCAAACGAAATTCATATTCTCTTCATTCGTTTATCGTCACAGGTTACACTCTTTGTCGGCGGCGTCTTCCTCAGGCATAACGACACCCCAGTGGTTCGAGCATCGGGACGAGAATTATCTTACATTCTTCTAACAGGAATACTTTTATGCTATCTGGTAACCTTTGCCCTTGTGCTGAGACCAACGGACATTGTGTGCGGCATACAAAGGTGACTGCAAAACAAAAATATTTGATATGTATAACAAACACTAAATTTTTAACACCGCTGTCGCATAGCGACGAATACATAGAAATCAAGGTCCACGAGAGATTAAAGTCCGTGCAAAAGTTTCTTCTGAAATTTACATTGGCAAGTCTTCAAGACAAAGCAAAAGGGAGAGCAAAATTAATTTAGGGCTAAAGGATTCTCTGCAGTTTTGCACGCCTTACAGTAATTTCCGAAACTTCAAACAAAATTGTCCTAACAGGCTTACCATCCACTTTTGAATCAGCCTCAAGGGACTTTTAGAAGAATTATTTGACACTGCGTACACAAGTCCTACCTCTTTGTCAATCCTCTCCCCCTATAACACATAACGTGTGCACAAAGTGTCTCAATTCTAAGGACCCGACAGAAGAGACATTCACGTTCACGCCTCAGTTCACAAGAATTCCATTTAAGTGCGCATACGTTTGCACAAAGACGACAAAGCAGCAACAGTTAAATGTTTTTATCTGAAAAAAATACAACTTCCTCTTAGACAAAAATTCAATACATCCACTTATGAAATTAAAACATTGATTAAAAAAAAATTCAAAGCACCATCGGCAACGATGCAAAAAGACTTTAAGGTCCTATCAGGCATACATCCAACATAAATTTTATCGTTACGACATTATGGCTCTAGGGTCCTCCCAAAATATCAATATTTTACGAACAACCCTGTCTACCTGAAAACCACCCATAGCTTTTATAGGCCATGATATCAAGTTATCGCAATGTCCACAGTAATCTCTATTCTCAAGGAATATAGGGTATCGACGTATCCCATGTATCCTTTGTCATCGGAAAGTGCTCTAAAAAAACAACAACATAAGATTAGCATTACAAAGTAACTACAAGCATTACAAATATTCTCATATACCTGTATCCCAATTCTCATTTCAGATTTGCCGCCGGCTTCTGCTTTACAGTCGTCTACGCTGCACTGCTAACGAAAACTAATCGTATAGCACGAATCTTCAATGCCGGTAAACACAGCGCCAAGAGACCATCGTTCATCTCTCCACGATCGCAACTGATAATATGCTCTGGACTAGTTGGCGTCCAGATACTCATCAATGGCGTATGGATGGTTATTGACCCTGCAAGAGCAATGTATCATTACCCAACCAGAGAGGATAATCTGCTAGTGTGTAATAGTTACATCGATGCCAGTTACATGATAGCGTTCTCCTATCCGATAATATTGATCGTAGTCTGTACGGTTTACGCGGTGCTAACAAGAAAGATACCGGAAGCGTTCAATGAGAGCAAGCATATCGGTGAGTCTGGTTATAAATCAGAATCCATTGAAAAGCCCAAAATCAAAATTTCACCAGCTCGATCGTCATGTTCCAGTACGAAATTTCACGCATGTCCATTATTTGCAGGCTTCACAATGTACACGACATGCGTGATATGGTTGGCTTTCGTGCCGCTGTACTTTGGTACCGGAAATCACGTGGCTCTCAGGATCACTTCTATGTCCGTAACCATCAGCCTCTCGGCATCCGTGACCATAGCGTGCCTCTTCAGTCCGAAGGTGAATGCCCTGTGACTTCCGTTATTACATAAGCATCCGGGTTCCTTCGGTGGTCGAACCGAATCCTGGGCCAATATTGAATTTCTGTCCTCTCCTTGTTTTACATGAAATTTTCAAATTTGATTAATTCCTTTTTTTTACAGCTCTACATAATACTGATACGACCGGAAAGGAACGTACGTCAAAGTATGATGCCCGCAAGGTACAGCACCACCAAGAGTTCCGCCGTAACTGGAACTAATGCTTCGAGTATGATGGCAGCTGTCACGCTGACAGCTGCCACGTGCGATCAAAACAAAGCTGTCAAGAGACACGTTGTCTCTACTACGGATTGCTCAACGCAGAGTGAGAGTAAGATCGCTAATATAATTTCATATTATTTTCAAACGTCGATTGGATTCTTTATTTTTATATATCCGAGATCGCACGACCGAACTTTCTTATCGGTTAAAACTTATCTCTTACAGATTATGATATGGAGTTGAAGGACCGTAAGAATGGCAAACCTCCTGCTACATTGGTTACGCAATCCACTCAAACTCTGATTAACGGCAAGGAAATAAATTCAATGCCTGCGCCGCCCGTGCCTAAGTCAAAGGACACGAAAGACATGGACACAAAAGAGATTAATCCTACGAACTCAAAGGCGATTACCAACGCCAGGATAGGCAATGGTCCCGTAGGCCAAAAGGATGTTGCGTTGTAGCAGAAGAAATTGATTTTAAAGTCAACGATTCTCCAAGCCAACATGAAACCAATTTCGAAGAAAGCTGTGATCGTCTGAGGGTTGATAATTCTTTTATTAAAAATTCAAGTTAAACGAACAATTAATTGCCTGCGTCCTGTTAGACCCTAAGTTTGATTTTTAAAAAAAAAACCTGCCAACATTAAATTAAATATTAAAAAATGCTATATTACTTACAGCCATTATGATACTTGCCTGTTAAGTTTCTCGAAAGATCAAACAGTGTAAGGCACGAACCTCACGAAAATATTTGACTTTGCGAGTAAAAGTTAAAAAGTTAAAACTTTCGTTCGAGACTTCGTTACCGGCGTAACTTGACGTCTTAGGCCAGCAAAGGGTTAAATCCAAAAATGATTTCACATAATCGAACGGTAATAAAAATTCTTACGAGATGAGTGCGATGTATTATGAAAGCACGTTACAGTATTTCGGACGATTTCAAATTCGCGACAATTATCTCGTCCGTCGATAGTATTACATTAATTAATAATAATTGATATCTCAAAAGCAGACTACTTAAAATTCATAAGAAATTCGCAAACTTCCCGGCGTTAAATGTTCACTTGTTAAAGCGCGTAAAGCTGCAACAAGCGCGTTTACGAGTCACATTAATGTACAGCGTAAATGTTATTTTACTTTCTAATGCAGTCTCAAATGGGGCCTGTGAGTGTTCATAAACAACACTCGGTCGTATAAATGCTCAAATGAACCTGCTGCATTACGCTTACATAATGCCGTATAGCTACGAGATCGTTAACGTAAGCAATACATTAACAGCTATTATTATATTAAGCAATACATTAAGTTATGCAGCTGTCGTAGCAAACTAATGTCGCTGTAGAATCAAAAGAACTGGCAGTTCTTCGATAAGTGAACTGAAAGGATTCGTACGAGACATTCATATATGGATAGTGGAAAGGTATCTTTTCGAAAATTCTCATACGTTCAATGATAGCCATATACCCGAGCTGCCTGAAAATTTTGAATTTGGACAAAAAAAATTATTAAATTAACTAGTATGAAATTTATTCGTATCCTCGAAAACGGTACATCTCCAAACTGAAAATCTTTAAAGAAACCGAAAAAAAAAAAACAAGAATAAAAAAAGCGAAATCACAGAGTATCGTGAGAAAAAGGTATTTTGCAAAATTAACAAAGTTTACAATGTTTTCATTCAACTATTGATGCTCTGGTTTTACTCTGTGATCATTAAAGGTAAAATGATATAGGTATAAAGAATTAACGGACGATTTTATATCTTCATTCTGTACATAATTAATTATATATATATATATATGTATAATACTATATTGGACGTTAATCTTCATGTGTGTATATCATATGTGTGCACATGTCTCGTGTTACATTATACATACACGTTTATTCAATGTTACCTGTAAATATAATTTAATCGAACGATAATAACCCTGAAATCCAAAGAGCAACCAAGATATACGTAGATAAAAATTGCCAAAGTATATATATATATATATATACATATATAGAGAGAGAGATTATTACGTGACACGGTTATGATACAGCGTCATGCGAGACGCTACAAATATTTGTGTTGTTTATCTGTAAAAAAAAAGAACGAACGAAAAAAACATTAGCAAGAAAATCGAGCACGTCGAAAATGAAAAAAAAAAAGATTTATGATATAAAAAAAAAGTACGTGAAAATCTTTTTATAATATACAGGGACGTGACATTAGTCGTCCATTTCTGTAAATACGAACTAAATAAGTTTTATCAAACTATGGGAATACGTAACACATTAGTCCTTAAGAGATATATACTATAGATATAAATATATATATATATATATATAATAAACGTGTAATGACGTACCGCTAGGTAGGCGGGAATACGAAAAATTACTCGTACATAATACTTTCTCACGTTTTCCTTTTGACGTTTTTCTGCAGACTATAGGAATTGCGACAAGGTAGAGATACGATTTTAACGTGAAAGAAAATGCGAGCCGACGCTACGAGATGCTCATCGTTTTTGTTCTCGGAAAGAAAAAGCCGTAACACGTACGAACAGATAATTCATCGAAAGACGATATCAGGATGACTCGTTGTGGAAAGAAAATTCAAAAAGGCACTTTTCAATTGATACACATACTAAACGTGATCTATACATATCCAACATCAGCTGATGTACTTAAAACTTACTTAAAACTAATATCCTACTACGTAAAGCCATTGAATTCCAACTTTGCCGTAGCGTGTACTTTTACGTCTCCGTCGCACTATCGACGAGCGTAGTCACTTAATGCGTTAATCAGTCGCCGTAACACTGGATAATGTAAAAATGTCTGCCAAAAAAAAAATTAAATAGACACAAGCACCATGACGCTGTTTTTTAATCTTTTTGGCGGCCATTTTATCCTATCCAACGTGTACCTAAGGATTGCTACTTTAATCACTCCATCAATCGTCAAGTATACTTGTGCGAAGGTCTCTTCGGCAGGCTGCGAGCATAACTGAGCCCGTGCCCTTAGCCTGCGAGTGCAAAAAAATTTTGTTTAAATTAAAAAAAAAGATCGAAGACACCTCACGACACCGCGACGATAATTTTTCAAATATTTTTCAATCTATATACGTGAAAAGAACGAATTTCCGTGAATCGAACGAGCGAAACTCCGTAGTAGGCACATTTGACTTGCGCGTTACATTGTTAGATGTTTTCGCATATAGGAGGTCGTGTGTTCGAACGAATAACGATCTCGAGCGACGACTAAATATAAATAATATATATACGTACTAATAGAATAAGTAATAAACGGGAAGCTAGAGAATTAAAAAATATATGTATATTTAATTCGTAGGCCTGCGCGTTCTTATCTTTCTTAAAATGACGTAAGAAGCCACGTGTTACACTTTTTTCTCTAAAATATGACAACGGACACCGATGAATCTTTTCGCAATTTTTTTATCAACAAGGTAAACAAGGATATCTTTGAACGTTATAAAAGTGCAAGACATTCGTAAAACTGTAAATACCTGGCAATCATGTAAAATATACATTTATAAACTAAGGATATTGCATACGTGGATCGTATATCTGAGAGAAGATGAAGCTACCAGTAACCGGTGACGATAGCGTATAATTAGGGAGTATCAATTAATTTATAATCTTACCTAAGTGAATAATTGCGACTTAGTTTGTAAACTCGAACGTTAACGTACTTAACTGAACGTAACGTAAAGCGGAACCGAGTAAATCGTAAATGCAATGCAAGAACAATGTCAAAAGAAAATTCTGTATAAGAAAATTGTTTTTACGACTTAAGAATATTTTAAATACGTACGACTTAACGTGACGGAGTATACTGTGAAAATTCAACAATGTATACCTTGCTAAGGGTTCAGATGGAAACGGCAAGGGGGTGACCCCCCCCCCCAACCTGGGAGTGAAGGAAAGAAATGATGTTAAATAAAATGAAAATCCTGTAGTACTGATGTTTCATTATTAACCTCAATACCTTGCTGACCGTACCACTTCGAACCAAAACCGTTCCGTGTGGCCGGCATTTTCAAGTCGTTCGGCCACAGCAACACGAATATAGTCGTGACCGGTGAGCAAAGCGTTAAGATAGATAAGATCCATTCACGATCCCGTGTCTAATGATAACGTCAAACGTATCGTCGTATCAGCGTTACGAACTCTTGTCACTAACAAGAGGGTTTGGAATTGACGTTTGAAAGGGTGAAATTTATTTTCAAAAAGTACAAAAGTTACAGGATTTAAACGACACACTGTGGCTAGACACGAAGATATAGGTATTTATATATATATATATTTCTTTATGCATATTATATTTGTGTATTCATATCGTCTCACACGTGGACATCCGTCAATCATTTTCCAGAATCAGATTTTTCAACTAAAACCACTCGTACTCGTTTTCTTCTCGATTAACACGGACCGAGTCAATGTCAGTTCATGCTGCCACCTAGCGGATTAGTAGAAGGTCCTGAAAATCCCCATTAGTCGTATGATTTGCGATAACTGCCTTTTTTTTAAATATTTGTTTTTATCAAAAATGTGTATATATTACACAGACATTAGGAACGTTAAGACCAACAGATTACAATCTATGATGAAAATCCTACGAATCTATTCTTGCAAAGGTACGTCAGTAAGTTTATTATCAGGCAACCATCTATCCTCTGGAACAGCCTTATATTCAGTTTGGATAATGATGCTAACGAGTTATATAGTTTGTATAAAATATATTGCAATATCACTGGCTGTATTTGTTTAAAATTGTGAGACCGTCCAAAGGATATTTTCAGTTTGAAGAATCGTTTGAAAATAGAAGGAAAAAAAAAGTTAAATCCGAGATTTCCTTTTGGACTCGTTAGGAAGAGGCCATGAGGGTTTGGTGAAGAGTAGAAAAGCCTCGCCAAAATAAATTGCTTCTGTTTTCCGTTTATTCCATTAGCAATTACAGCGCTTCTTGAGTACGGTAACATTTTCGTGTACTACGGCTACGTCGAAGGACATTGCTTTTTGCTCTTCAGTTCTTTCTTTTTTTTCTTTCCATGCCTATACTCGTTTCTATTTCTTTTTTTCCTCCAACATATTCATGGGAACTACTGCCAGTTGTATACTGTTCTCGACTAATTGAATCATACACTTTTTTTTCAGGAATTGAATTAGTTAGTTGATATTGACACGCACGGCGACAGTTCCCCATTAAGAAAGAAAACTTTTCTTTGAGAGAGAATAAATAGATTATAAGAAAAATAGAGGAGGCTTGGGAATTTAGACGGTAACAAATGTAGATTTTATTCCACGTTTGTCATCATCACTTTCAGTATGATTATCATCATACCACTTTCAGTCGAGCATTACGTCTTAACGTTCTTCACAGCTCTCGTATGTCAATTGAAAAATAAGAGCAAACAGAAGGGACTAACAGTTAGGAAATATGTTAACAGCGAAGTAGTGGAGATGTATTTTCAAAGATTCAATTACTTACAAATAAGGAATTCATTGTGTTATATTAATAGTGGCAAATCAGTTATGAATATTAAAAGAAACTAAATTCTTATATCACACTAAAGACAGCGATAAGATTAAAAAATTTTCAACCTTTTTTGAATATTAAATTTACTTGATCTTTCACTGCTTTGCTGTTAATCATTAAATAATCATCAGCACTGCATACCCTGTATTTAACCTAACTTAGATGTTTAAAATTGTGTACAAAATTTAGCACCATTCAAAACGTGCAAATAAAATATATAACATCATAAAAAGTCTACGTGGCAATGACAAGTTTCAATGGTCGAGCTTCACGTCAAATTAAATAAACAACAAGAAAAGAAATATAGGTTTTCAACCTACACTTGCAACGCGTTCCATTGTCTCAGACTCCTCTGCAATACCTAAACACATATATCGAGGAGAGCAAGGTCCTCCTCCGATATCTTTGATAAGTAGAAGACAAACTTCCAACCCACTTTTTCTCGCGAGCACGTGGATAAGAGATCTTTAACCCTTTGAGCAGTAGGTTTCATTTGTCATTCCCTTGCGCCTGGAGTAGATTTTTTTCCTATAATATCAAAAGTTAGGTATATTTTCTTTGTTATACTCAATGTTAAATTATACTGAAAGCCTTTACAAATTTTTGTGATATGATAATTGTGTGTACACAACATTATTATTATAAAATGTGTAATTTATTATAAATTTCAATGTTATTTCACGCGTGAGTGTTAAAGCCAGCATTTATTAGGCGTCAATTGATGGTTTGAACGAAATATCAGTATCAGTCATATGCTGATGGGCTGATAATTTTCAATATTCATTTCAAATCGTCATTTGATGCATATAAAATTGATGATCCTGTGACCACTTTGACGGATGTGTTACTGTTGGTTAGAAATATAAAGTATGATCCAACAAAGTAATTTAACTTTATATCCTATGAAATGTTAGCCTCTGGGGAATTTGTTGGATCATCCTCTATATTAATACTGCTCAAAGGGTTAAAGCGTGATCGATCCCACGTTGGATATATTTTCAAAGGTACTTTATATTTTGTTCAAGAATTTCATGCATCTTAAATGAACAGTCAGCCACAATCCATAACACTAGAGACGTGGAAACCTTGCTTAAATCACCGACACGTTTATAATTGTTTTCAAAATTAATCAACGTGAATGATGATTTGTGTTCACTGGAGGCTCATATATATAAATATATATATAGTTTTTTATATACCATCACGATATACGGAAACCTCGTTCACCGGATAACAATGTGATATCTACGGAACAAACACTAGCGTATCGACATATTCGTATACAAGTGATACACAGTGACCACCAGGAGCACAAACCGTCCATTTTTACCCAGAACAACTAAATACCTAAATTAAGTCTTCCAGAACTTACCAGTCACTCTAATACCTCTGATTTTTGTATGCTTCTTCTTGATCTCAGGTAGAACTGGCAAAGCTTCCCTACCAGATTCACTACCTCCAGCGCCAGAACCACCTCCAACAACATCGGCTTCCTGAACACCACCACCACCGGCCTGAGCAGCCAGTGAAATCTTTATAGCAGCAATCTATAAGAATATTTCTCATTATCAGTTAATTCTATAAACATTAAAAGTATGTACACTGCTGATAAGTACTAACGTCGTGCTTTATTTTCTCTTTGTGATGCGTAGCCTTCTGTTTCTCACTATTAGCTCTAACAACCTGTTGTTCAATACAGGCTAATACTGTATCACAGGCTTGACCCCAAGCTGCTAATGTATCCACTACAACACCAGCATCTTCTGGTCTAACATCACGTCCCAAACCAGCATAATCAACTTCGAGTTGAGAATTTTTCTGATCCAATTTGCCATGGATAATATCGGCATAAATTGCCTCAATTATCAAATCTTCCAAATCACGAACATTTTTTACGTCGAGCTCTTCTAATAATACAGAATAGGGTATGCATTTGAGTTTGGTTGCTAACGTTACGATCGTCAGATGTTGTAGCTTCTTCTTCTGAGTGGCAGTTAATTCCAAGAGTTTATCCTTATTTTCCAGGTATTGCTTGTATGTGCCATATGCAAATAAATTAAGAGTATTCCAATATTCTGCATGAGGTCCATTTTCAAGCTCCTTGATATTAGGCATATCTAGCAACTCTCCAAATACATGTACCCCTGGAGTTTCAACTGCCTGTTTAATAAGTTCAAGTGCAGCTGCCCCTTTGGCAGTTTTCGCTAACAGCACAAACTGCTCCAACGGATTGTTTGCAGACTTCTCAGTAGTAGTAGTAGTAGTAGTAGTAGTAGTAGTGGCACCGGTCATCGTGAACTTTCTAACAAAGCAAAAAAAGAAAAAAATTAAAAATAATGCATAAACCATTGAGTTTGACATTACATTGACATTAACTCGATGTGAGCTAATATTACACAGGCATAAAAAATAAATAATCACAAACATCTCTATTAAAATACAATAAAATCCAATAGTTATAAAAATTTTATTTAAAAAAATCTCACGTCATTCGCGGAAGGTTAACAAAGTAACTTAATGCTGAAAATACAATCTTACGCATACCATGAAATCTAGATTTTACCCAAAAAGAATCAATATATCCTTACTCAACTTCATTCATACACAATAACTATAAAAAAAACTGATAATCTTACCGTTTTAATATTGAAATTACGAAAATGTTAAACTCTCGCCTTCAAAGATTGTATGATTTTAGGTCAGCCATTTTTAATGTGCAAGTTACACTATTCTACCACGCAAGCAGCACTGTAGTAACGGCACTTAACGTAAATCTTCATCCAATTGGTTCTTACAAAATAACATTATTGTCAAAAACCAATAACAAGCCCGTATGCACCAGCTGCGATTACGTCACATGGCGTTATTTCATAATCCTAATAACGTGTACAAACACGATCGTGAACACGATTAGGTTCGTTCCTCAGCAGCAACACACTTGATACGTGAAAATTACGTTCGCAATTGCAAATACATTTTTCTAGCTTATTTTTTAAAAGTAAACCTACAAATAACGTGTAAAATAAATTCATATACTCTGATTGTAAATAATATATATTGAACCTAATATCCTATCATGTCGAAAATCCTATATTCGGAGATGAGTCAAAGCAATCCTAACTTTTCGTTCTTCATGATCCACAGAATATTTCAATTTATCTTTAACAACAGAACCATTTTCACGCGAATCCTGTTTCTCTTTCGTAGTGTTATTTGATTGAACAAATTTATCTTTGCCTTTTCTATTTTCTTTATTCTCTTTATTCCCACTGATCCGCTGAAAATGCTTTCGCATTTTAACTGGTGCGAGAAGCGTTACAGGAGTTAATTCCGTCATTCTTGGCGGAGAAGGAGAAGAATGCACTACTATCAATCGTTTACTTTTAGGCGTGCTACTCATCTGCAAAAAATGATTTTTCTCCAAAAGCCCCTTTATCCTCAACTTGCTCAAGAAATCAAAAAATACTTGTTGGTTAGTACGTCCCGGCGTAGCTGGTTCTTCATTTGCGACATTCGCAGCATCCCTTTCTGTCAGATCAATGTCGGAGAATGGAACATCCAAAGACAAAGCCTTTCTGTATTTTCGATATTCCTTGGACATACTTGTAGCTATAGAATTCAATGATTGTCTCGAAAGAAAACCTAATGCTGACAAAATTTTATGAGTTTCGACACGCAAATACGTTGAAGACTTATCACTATAAGAAAACTACCCTTATCGCGAAGTTTGTTGACGCCATACTGACAATACAAATGTAAAATAATTAAGTAGGCTTAGATTAATTAACGATTGAAACAAATGACAATAAGAATTGATAAAAAAAAAGGTTGCAATTCTACATCAACTTAGCCTAGTAAAACGTCTATGGTAATATTGAAATTAGAAATGAACTTACTCATGCAAAGTAAAGAAATGATGTTCCTTGCCACTAAAGATACCACGAACAGCAAAAAAGATAATTTTTTTAAACTTTTAATTTACAGTCAAATTATATACTCTTAAGCTAGATCATACTGCCATCTAGAGTGCCTATTTAACAGTTCATAGTTTAATTTGATTGGGTAAGAGCCCGATTCTACCCGAAGGTTCACGAGCATGCGCTCGGTTTCGCCAGCTACCCACATGGAAAATGGTGGCTGAACGCAGCAAGCGGAGCAGCTATTCGCCATCGTTGATGGTCGTAGAGAGTATATCTTGATTCGGGTGTTTCCTACATTTGCCGAATATTACGTATTCTTGTGCTAAATGCGTGCGGGAAGTGCGTCCAGGAGCTAGGAGAAATTATTAGGAGTTATTTGAGGGTAAGTTTAGTCTTCTAGCGGTACATAAATACCATAAAATTCGGAACAAATTGCAGACTTCTTCGAGCCGTCCATTCTTTGGGCGCATAAACCATCTATTGCGCATGCGCACTTGCGGGAGGTATAAATTTCCGCGCAATACAATTTACAAAATTCATTCATAATGAAAAATGCAGTTAGCCTAATTTTTTGCATTATTCTATCAATTGTCAATATTAATAAGTTAAAATTCAGTAAAGCAATTTTCACATGCCTCCTAAGTAGTACCGAATTGCACGTGTTTTCGTATAACCACACAATATCACTGAAAACGCGATCTTTCTGAAGTTCAAACCGTTTAACAAGATTTTATATCCGAAGCATTTTTTGGAAACGTTCAATTTTTATTTACAGTATTTTCAAAAACTGAAGAATGTCCTCGGCCCAAGTTGACCGTCCCACAAAAGTGGGTCAAGTTAACAAAAAGGAGAATGAAAAGTCTCGTAAGCTTTTTAATCCATCGTACAAGAAACACAAACACGAGGAGCGTCACTTTAAATTCGGACGGAAGCGCTTACAAAGTTTTACCGGAAACGGGAAATTCTTTCCGCCGTATAAACGCAGAAAGAAGGAAGGTATTATTCCTCCAACGAAATTTTTACTTGGTGGAAATATCTGCGATCCTCTAAATTTAAACAGCATGCAAGACGAGGAAGTGAACAGGGCGATGAACGCAGTCACGCCGAAATCCAGTCCCTTGCCAACACCTAAGCACAGAAAGGAAGCAATTGAAGTAATAATACCGCCAAATATATGCGACCCTCTAAATCTCAGTAATTGCAACGACAACGAGGAGTACGAGAAGCAGCTGATCTCACCAACGAAAAAAGGATCTAAACGGCGGAATCGGAAAAGAAAAAGAGCTTCTTCGGGATCCGGAAAGGATGACGCGAACGATTCCACAGAAACACAAAGCAAGGAGGGTGAACCTCCTGCAGAGGTTCCTGAAGTTGCCATTGAAGAAAAATTACCAGTGGATACGGCCAAGCCTGTAGAGACAGAAATAGTACCTATAAGCTCACCACCGCCACCACCACCACCAGTGAGCAATGCGACTCCTCGTGAATCGAAACAGCTAGAAAGTCCACAAAAAGATAAAAACAAATTGCGATTAAAAGGCTTGGAGGAGACAAAGGATAAACGATTGCGAAAAATGGACGTGAAAGATAAAATTGTCAGTCCTGTGATTCCACAACCTGGAGCATGGAAGCCCAGGCCGCAGCATCGGCCAGGTCAGGATAAGAAGAAGAAACAGCAGGACCAGCAACAACAGCCACAAGAACAGCAGCAACAACAACAGCAACCGCAGCCACAGCAGCAATCACAACGATTACCAAACTTTCGAGCAAAAGATGCGCGTTATCAGTATGGAAATTATAATAGGTATTACGGATATCGAAATATGCATCAGGACGTAGACACGAGATTAACGATATTCGCTCAACGTAAGGAATTGTTCTATGGTAAGGATGTCCTTGACATAGGCTGTAATATTGGACACATCACGCTGTCGGTGGCGCGAGAATTTTCAGCGCGCAGCGTCACGGGCATCGACATCGATCGGAAACTCATAAATATCGCCAGAAAGAACATAAAACACTATGTCAATTGCGTCAGATCACCTATTGGCAGTAACGATGACAACGTCGCTGGCGCCACTTCCGGGCACCCTGCCGTTCCTCATAAGGAATGTGACGCCAGCTTTTATCCAATGTCCATGCCTATTAACTATGGACCTGTCGACATTCCTGGATTTACTAAGAACAAAAATCACAAAGGCTTTCCGTACAACGTAACTTTTGTACAGGTAAGATTAAGAACTATTCATTTTTCATTAAAATTCACAGCTTTCGAATGATCGCTGCGTCCAGTTTTAACGTATTGCCGACGTTTCGCAAGCGTTCCTTTCTGCATCATCAGGGCTAGAAAGCTTTCTATACCGAAGTTCCCTTGTTTCAAGGAGTCCTTAAATACTTGTACTCGTTCTTACAGAACACCTGATTCAGGCAATCTATAATTTTTAATTAAAGAACAATCTTAGATTGACTGGCCTTGATGATCCAGTCTAAAACGTTTGCGAAACGTTCGCAATATGCTGAAATTTCAATAACAATTCTAGCCACGAAAGCCTCAAAACTAATATCCATTTCTTATATCCCAGGGTAACTACGTGCTGGAGGATGATGCTCTTCTGTCGTCGGAACAACCTCAATTCGATACTATCCTCTGTCTTTCTATAACAAAATGGATACATCTGAACTTCGGAGACGCCGGTCTCAAGCAGGCCTTCAAACGGATGCATGCACAGTTGCGTCCTGGTGGAGTTCTGATATTGGAGCCACAGAGTTGGACGAGTTACGGGAAGAAGAAGAATCTGACGGTAACTATACAGCCAGTCTTATATTTGATTATAATACTCTAATTACGCTTTTATTAATTAACCAATGAATCTATTGTTCCAGGAGAAGATATACCGGAACTATCAGAATATTGAGTTCCTGCCGTACAAATTCACACAATACTTGCTCTCGTCTAATGTTGGCTTTGATAAGTGTGAAGTCGTCTCTATTCCACCGCATCCATCAAAGGGCTTTCAACGACCTATACAGCTCTTTACAAAAGCGAGCTCCAGTCCCACTAACAGTACTGCTACACCATCTACAACTGCACGACACGAACATAACGATCAACAAATACGTGACTTCGAACGTCGCGAATACGAACGCGAGCTCTTCCCCAAGGATGATAAGAAGCAAGGCAACATGTCCGAGATGAGTCAATTGAGTAGTGAATCTCTTAGCCAATATGAGCAGCTTGAGAATGTCTATGCACCAAGTACTACACCTTGTTATGACACACCAGGTTACCAGAATGAAACTCAACCTTTGGCTTCCGATAAGCTGTGCTACTTAGACGTTTGTATCGAGCAGTCGGACAAGGTCGAATCTGATGGAAAGTCTATGAATCAAGTCGCCACGAAAACAAAGGACAAATTGCCAGTGGAGAACGCAGTTGCGGAGAAGGTGATTATCAATACAAATATCAGCAGAACAAAAGATTTAGTGAATATCGTTGACAAAGTATCTAGTGCAGCGGAAAAGACAATCTCAGATACAAAGGATTCGCTGGATAAAAATCCGAGTGTGGACCAAGATACTGATATGGGCGCTAACAAGAAGACAGATGTGAATATGGACATAGAAATTGAACGGAACACAGATATGGGTACGGAAAGAAATACAGACGTGTCAAAAACGTTGATCTGTGAGGAGAATGATACAAAGATGGAATTGGAAACGAGTACAGGAGAACTATTATCAGACAACACGTAGACAAAATGTTAAAATGGAGGTCAGGAGAGATCGGGATGTCGAGTGTGTATGGGTAAAGAATAAGACAAAGACAAATAACAGTAATGACAGGTGCTGCTATGGCTGCATAATCGTGTCAATCAAATTATACGTTAATTCATCCAATTTTCCGCTTATTTAATTCATCAATTTGTGCTATACCACCTTATAATTCGGTTCATGAACACTAGTCAAAATTCCATTTGATCCGTTAGTCCTGTAAGATAAAATGAAACCGAGTGAACAGATGACTGATATACATGTCCATTGTGATACAGGATTATTTGGATTTAGAATGCTTAAACGAGAACGTACGATGATTAATACGAAAGTGCCCTCGGGTAAAATGGTGACAAATACAAAAAAAAAAAAGAAACAAGACGTTTGAAACAGTGACTTACGATTACGACGAGACGAGTAGAAAATTTCTTGCCACGGTTTCCAAGATAGACACTTTTCTCAGGTGAATCCAATGAGAATGATTAAGGGCCAAGTGCTCATCAATCAGTCCAAGAGACCGCTTTGCTAATTGTACAAGTTAGATTGTATTATAATATTTGTTTACGCGGGCGTGCTTGTTCAGAGGCGTTAAAGAGATATATGCACGTCCGCGTAAATATAAAACCTCTGAACGAGCGTACTGGCTGTGCCTGTATAAATGTTTAACGAGATCTTGAGAGCGGGAGACAAAGAGAACGAGAAAAGATATAGGAAAAAGAAATAATATTGAAAGACCGTGCCTAAGGAGTTTTGCATTGTGCCGGCAGTGGAGCACTGCGTGTTTCGTAGGTTACTGAACCGAAGACTGACTTTTGGCTTTACACAATAAAAAAAAAAGGAAGGAAAAATTCAAAGAGAAACACGATGGAAATGTGCAGGAAGATAATAAATAGAAGGAATTTAATACGACGATGAAAAGGCTAGGAATCTAGAAAACATATTACGTGTATATTTAATACTACCCTGTTCTATCGGACTTGAGATAGATGGCAGTAGTGTAGTTCGCGAGTGTTATGGTAATAATGGCTATCAACATTGAATTGGAGAATGTTTGATAAAGAATGACATTTACGTTTCGTGTTTCTTTTGTGCCCATGTCTAAAATTCATGAAGAACATGCAACAAGTGTCTCTTCTATAGCTTGTGAAAATGGCATGCGTAAGAGGTGAGACGGTGAACAACGTAATATAGGCCATTGACGAAGGAAGATCAATTAAAAGAAGAAAAGAATTTAAAATAAATGGAACGATTTAAACAAGAGAAAAGCAGAAAACGATAGAAGATATCGTTAGAATATAAATTGTAAATTTCTGTAATTTTAGCCTTCGATATATTGTTTCATAGTTGTTATTTATTTTTAAAGGAATCTTTCGACTTCGTTATGAAACACAAAACGAGGCGGTCGTCATTATTGACGAAAGTATTATCCTTATAAAATCCTTTTAAAAACAAAAGTATATTCATCGCTGATACAATAATTATAATTCACATAGGCAGGTGGGGAGGAAGGGTACGATGAGGCAAGATGCAAGAGTTTGGGCAAATAAAGCACCGCAGAGCTTTTCTTTGTTATTTCTAGTCTTTGTCTAACTAATGCAGATTTGTCTTTATCTCGCGACTACATGAACAAGAAAGGCTTCCTTTATTTTGTTTCATCATTCACTCTTAAGCTTCTACTTCTTGCATCCAAGAAAAATCACGTTGCACGCTTTTATAATGCCTCGCCAATGAGCTTTTTCCTCTCTTCTCTTTTCTCAGTCGGCTCCCTTCCGTGTGCTCTCTTTAAAAAGAGAACGGCCTTTAAACCTACGACAGTTTATGAGTTCAGCATGGCCGTCTTCTATTATCAATTCGTTAATTTAACTCAAGTCAAATTAGCAGGACGTACGTCGTAAGTCGTTTATGTAATTAACTTCATAAGGTCGCGACTGGAACATCACACAGAAAAATAAGAAGGGGGTAGAATATAAAATACCGGGAAATAGCACAAACCGATTCACACATTGTCACTTTTACACACAGCGTCCGAGAGAAAGGATAGACATAGTCTTACTTACCAGGAAGAATGTATACTGTAAAAGAAAATAAAACAATAAAATATGACTAAAATATGATTTTAACCCTTTCGCAATGGATACCTATCTATACCTTTATTAATTGATAGTAACTTATGCTTTCGGGAGATTACATACAACTATTAGTACGTATATTTTACTTTTATTTTTATTGCCCCGCCAATCGCTCCCAAAAAAAAGGAACAAGATAATTAAATTTCTATTTCCTATTTCTGCTTATCGACTAGTGAAGAAAAGTACGCGTAATTTTCCTTTTTGAATTTAAATTGAAATTCGACGTTGATTATCGAGTAGCTCTAAAGGCTTCTTATCTAAAGTGACAAGACGAAGGGTCGAGGGAGGAGGGAAAATTTTTATAAGGAAATAAGGTCAGGGTGGATTGTCGTTACGGTAGCTGAAGGAATGTAAGCTGTGCGGTGATAGCAAAAATCTATTACGTAAACTTGGCAGTGACGATCTCGTGCCGTTTATAATACGACTACCTCAAGAAACACGAAGAAAGTCTTTACCCATTGTCTTCTTCTTTTTTTTGGGTACCAATATACTTATGTTTATCCGAAAAATCTAGGCTAATATTGTGGACGCACCGTAATCGACGCCATAATAAATACATACATATGTAAATATATCCAGGCGATGCGATGCAGCCTGTATGCATATGCGCATATACATATATATATATTGTTAACTACGTTCTCTTTATAAATATGTCGAGGTGAGGCAACATGTTGACCTGCAACAGTTTTGATAACTTGTTCAATATGTTCATGCGAAAGATAAGAAGGTTTGGGTCTAAAAAAAAATGAAATTCAAGAGAATGATGTCTCCGTAATCTCGTATGCACTCGCACGTGAGACGCATTAATAATATGTGTCTAGCGACTAACGTGGGACTTCAAGATCTACAATACATAGTCATTTTGAAAGTTACTTGTTTGTTAACTACAGGGAGCGCCTGCACTCCGTTTCTTTTTTTTTCCTTTTTTTTTGTTTTTGAGAGAATATGTAACTGTTTGCAAATTAGTACTAGCAACCACTACCAGCAGTCTCGCTTAATTTCTTACGGATGATATGTCAGGATGTTTTTAACGGTCAGTTGATCGTCACCAAGAGTTTCTTACTCGTCGACGAGTTCCCAGAGCATTAGGGCAGCGTCGGTACCGCCGACTGTTACGACGTTCTGATCATTGTACAGGAAACGTGCCGTCGCTACTTGTGAACTGTACACCTTTTCCTCGGCGTACTCAGCCTTGGTGCTGGTGCATGGGTAACGGAATAGACGAAGATAACCCTCGGCATCACCGCTGACGAGCATGTCGTGGGCCGCTGAACGACTCGACGTCGTCAACACGGTAGTCAGTGGATAGTACCGATTGTTCCACATGCCTAAGAAGATCATAGAGTTAAACGTCTTCACTGTTATGATAATCAAGAACGACTCTGGGATGTCTTACCAGATACCATATACCCTACTGTGCAGTTATGAGTGTACCATTTGACATCCTTCATTACGAGGGGACTCTTCTCTGAGGAAAGTGCCTTGATGTCCCCTGAGAATAAAATAAGAAATGACAGAAAATTTGAGAATAGCTATTTGTTGCGATACATCATCTTGCTATGCTGATTAATGAAAACTTACAGAAAACTAAATCATAATCTTGCGTCACCGTTTGCAAGAATCGACTGTCCGAACTCCAATCAAGTTGAACTAGAGGTTGCGCACCACGTATCTTGTTGCTTTTCTTGTAAGAGAAGCCATCGCGTGACACTCTAAACAGGTAGACGCTACCATTTTGCGAGCCCATCGCAATGATCTCGCCAGCTGCATAAAAGATCAATGTTCGTTTGCATTAGATATGATTTTAATTGATAAAAAGATTGTTGGAAGGAGGACTTACTAGGATTATATCCGATGCAAGATAGAGGAGAACCGCAAACCCTGAGAGTGGCGACAGCAGCACCGGTGTCGGAAGCGAGAACAAGAAGATGACCTTCAGAGGATCCAGCCGCCAGGGCGACACCGAACGGATGGAAAGCGATGCAAATGCACTCGAATCCTACTTGAGTGGTCCAGACGAGCTTGTGCCTTCTCCAGAGTGCGATGTTCTTGTCGTGTCCAGCTGTGGCGAAGACTTCGTCATCGGGATGCACAGCAAGACCCCAAAGCTGTCTACCGTGGCCAAAGACAACCTGATTGAACCGTCGCTGAAGGGAACCCTCTAGGATGTTGTTCCTGGTAGTTCCGACGTAGACGTTGCCATCGTTCCTTCCAGGACGTTGCGGGTAGATGCTTCGTACTCCGCCGACGGATTCTGGCAGCTAAACAACACGAGTACTTCGTGTAAATAAAAGTTTAAACGTTAAGAGATATAAAAGTGACGGCACAAGAAACCTTAGTGTCTGTGATACGTTTGTAATTCTGCAAGGAATCCCAAGCAGCGATCTTGCGATCTTTCTCGCCACCTGAGAGTAACGTTCCTTCCGACAGCATCACCAGGGAGCTGATACCCTTGTTGTGGGCCTCGAATTCCATACGAACGAAATAGGCGCCATCGGCGTCCACTGAGTAGACTGTGATGAAGCCGTCACTGTCCGCCGTCACGACGTCACCGTCTTGTTCAAATTGGATGCTGGTGACGTGCGTCCTGGAAGGCTATAACGTAGTGAAAAAAGATAATGCGGAATTTAGTAAAGAACAAGATTACCTTTATTAAGTAAAATCACGTACTAAATCAACTTAACCTAACTTGACTCACAGGTTTAATTATATCCGTCCTTTCGAAAAAGCCATCTTTACGTCGATTCCAGAAGGTCAAATGTCCCCGACCGTGCGTTATAAGCAGATTATCATCCAGCGGATGAAAAGCTGCCCCTGTCAAATCCTCCTGCAACGTCTACAGCAAACCACATTAAAAAAATCAATTCTTTCCTCAAAAAATGGATGTTCTATGTAAATAAAAACTTACAGCTACTTTGCCAAGTAAATGACCCCACTGCCATTGCCACACAGACAGTATAGCTTCTCTGCCTGAATCAACGGCAAGAACGTAGCTTCCGCCATTCTGTAAAACCGGAAGTTCACTTGAAGCATAACCAAAAGTTTCAGTATCTCATAATAATTTATAACCATTAAATAGGATTACCAGCTGTGAAAAAGCCAAAGCCGAAACTCCAATTTGAAATTCTGACATTCCAAACACATAGAGTGTCAATAGAGTTTCCGTGGACCATATGCGAACATGGGGCTGTGCTTTTCTGTGTCTGCCAGCTTTCTGTCCTGAAGCGACCAGTTCTCTGCTAGGATGAACCTAACAAAAATTTCTCAATGTCTTCAATTCAAAAAGGTACCAGAAACATCCTAGACCTAGAAAACAGATGTAGAACATTGTTCATAAACCATACCTCCATACACGTGATATCCTCAGTATGTCCAATGTAGTGGCGCTGTGCATTCTCCTCCCGGTCATAAAGCACAGCAACGGCAGCAACGTAATAGAGAAGTTCACCGCTGGGTAGGACCCAAAGATTTCTACGCGTGTCGGTGCCCCGGTACCCGTAGACCCACTCAAGTTGCAGCTTCTTCTCCGGAGGTGAATTGTCAACAGGTGGCAAATGAGAAGGTGGATAAAACGTCCTCCTCAGTCCTCTGATCGTGACCCTGGCTGGTTCCTCGCGGAGGACCTCCACGACGCTGTAGTCTGCCGACAGATCAGTGCAGGGAGTCGCTACAGTGCACCTAGACATGCAGGCTTCGCGCGTGACAGATGAACACGCACCGTTAACTCTCACGACCTCAGATTCAGGAACGTAGAGTGCACGAGGTCGACTCTTGCTACGGGCCCTTCGCTGCCTACCAATGTCTTCGACCACCGTCGAAGGTCCGCGTGACCTTGAACGTCTCGCTGGTGAACCGGTCACAGTGCTGATACCGATTCCCGGTGCAGCTCCAAGATAGAACGTATCCACATCCGCGAATTCGTTCCTGAGCTGAGAGAAGCTACGAACCTAGGAAGCCAAAAAAAAATTAGAAGAAAAAAAAGAGTAATTTTTATGAAATGCAAACCTAGAAGTGCCAGCGAAGAAATTCTCGTTAATATTAACCAATTTGAAATTCATATTCCTCGAGTCGGAGATAAACGATGATTCTCTGACCTTTTTCTACGTGCTTGTCTAAAAGGGTCATGGGTCGACTGATATCAAAACCCTTCATACAAAGTTCACCGAGGATATAGAATGGATAGAAAAGTCAAAGAAATTCATAATGTATGAAACGGGAAGGGTGAAACTTTCTATTACTCAATGTACCACCCTCTATAGGTCGACCTAATTCGTTACCTTTCAACCCCTATCACTCTATCCCACTCTCACCCAAGTCTCGGCCGACCTCGAACGCCGTTTAATGGTTCGCGGTTCCCTTCAGTCATGTAAACAGCCGTCTGCCGTGGCGCATGCATATTTATGGAAAGCAATGTTCGAGTCGATTTTATAAGAGCGATGCTGGGTCTTTTTCAATTTGCATAAATGACCGATACAGCTCGAAAAGAAAAACCCCCTGAGGTATTGAAAGTCAAACGTGGATAGGTACTGTGCTATCTGCCCTTAACTGGTAGCAACTAGCATCCAGTGTGTCCGATCGATTTTACAGCAGAAGATTGGCTAAATATATAGTTAACTATATTGCGCAATGTGACGTTCAATCACCCAACGAACCAAAGGCTTGAATATGAAATATCGCCGATATCAAATACCGACCTCTTGACCCGTCACAGTAAACATCCTCTTAGCTCCATTCATCTTAAGCACCTGACCAAGATCCTCGAGAACCTCCTCAAACGGTTGAGAAGTACGAAGATTCAGAAGTACTCGGCACTGTAAAACAAAATGGTATAAGTACCCCTACTATCAAAATCCATTTTTTCCCTGCACCACTATTTACCTGCACAGTATGATCGAGATTATTAACAATACGGATGACACGACCAGAAGATGGTTTACCACCTCCCGGTGGAGGAGCTTCTTCGCTGATCGATGCTTTTCTACTGAGGCTTGCCACTGCAGGTGGTCTGCTCCAACCTCCTCCAACGCTACCACCTGGACCAACGACGTTTCCGGTTCCACCTCCAGATCTTCCAGGCCCACCGACGCTCGATGACGCGTACCAGGTATTACTCTTCTTCCCATAGCTTGCCGGCTGTAAGAAGCATCAATGAGTTAATTGAACAGCGATTGGTGAGCTTATCAAATAATAAATATATTTATCGCCCTCTGATGTACAGTGCACCTGGAGCATATCGGCCGGTAGTGATATCACCTCGAAGGAGTCACTCATCAAAAGGACAAAACTGTCGCGATTATCGCTAAATGGAAATTCCAATGACTCGTCCAAGGAGTCGCTGTCCTCGATGGGTCGGTAAACCACCGACCCTTCCGAATGGTACGAGGAACTTGATGACTCAATGATGAACGCGTTGAGTCGATGAACATTCGCATACTCGTACGAACCCACTAGCTCGTCGAGAGTCTTGCACTTCCTGCGTTCACACCGCCCCTTCGAGAAGCGCCTCTTATGCGAACTAGGAAGACTCTCCAGGAGTTCCCACTGTACTCTCAACACCGACTTCACCAGCTTGACTGACTCCACTAGATTCCCTAGCTTCGCCAGCACCCGCGAGCCACCCTCGAGCTCGTTCTCAAGGACAGTTACCGCCACACCCCCACTGACGCCAGCCCACACACCACTGGCGCACTGTACCGCACCATCGACGACCTGGCATCGGGGCCGCACGAGCTCCTATAGTATAATGCATGCTAATCAAAAGCCTCGATGTTTACTCCCTTTTCTCCCTTTCACCCTTTTCTCGTTCCGGCCTCGATGGCCAACCCCCGTGATCCGCAACCTCTGCCCTCCTTAACTCGGCCCAACTCCCAGGAGGCTAACGAGATTGCTGGCACGAAATGTATAGTCGGGCTTAATGCCCGTTCAAACGTTAATGGACAACCGATTATTGGTCCGATGCAGAAAAATTAGATCAGCATTGAGATACCTAATCATTTCAGAGCAATGCCTCATCAAGATATATGTTTGGATGTTGCGTCTGTTAATAAAAAAAGAAAAAAATTAAATTTCTGACATACTCATAAAAAATCATTTCACGATAAAGATTTTACTATACGTTCAATCATTTAGAAGACAGTATAAAATAAAATACAATTTTATACCGATAAAATCCTTGTATCCAATAATTGACAAGCTACCAGAAAAAGTATGAATTTCCTTAAAAAACTGGTACCACACTTAAAAAGAGCTGTAGAAAAGTTACTAATGAGATGCGCATAAAAAAACAGCATCAGGAGGGTGTGTTGAATTCATAAGAAAGTTTGAAGAATTTTAGGGTGCTTTAAGTCAGTTCAGGTCAGCCAGGGTTGAGGTGTCGTGATGCGAAGGAATCAGAGAAATGCGAAGGCCAATCAGACTGGCTAGCTAACCACCCTGGGGCCAAGGTCGGTCCGCGTCAAAGCACCTAGACACGCGTATGGTACTCGAGGTTACCCCTGGAGTCGTCTAGCTGGGGGGTTACTACTGGTGCTCAACCCTTGGCCTTTCGGCCTGCATCTCCCGGTCGTGCACCTTGAATTTGCATGCAACTTGAAACAAGCCACCCTAGCCTAATTTTGAGATAAGAGAGCTTGCAAGCTGACTGAGCTTGCGATAATGCCTCCTATGAAGTTTTCCAATGTTCGTGCAGCTTTCGTGAGTACAATCCCTAAAAGAAAAACTCCAAACAAAGCACAACACGTGACCATACGACTTTGATACAATTAAAAAATCACAGTAAAATTTATCGTATCAGACAATTTTTACACCAAATAAATAAAGACTGATCACTGCTTTGTGTATTTCAAACTGGTTAAGGTACGTTCCCAATTTCACTGCCATCCCCAGCATGCTTGTGTCTCACTCTACCGCACGCTAGTAAACGGGAAGACAAAGCTACTCGTAGTACTGGCAGTGAATTTCACATAACGGACCCTTGATGATCCATCCCATGAAAAATCAGAACGCTTTATTATTTATTTAAGTTACATCTACCAATGGCAGACCTGTGTAACGCGAATGCTAATGTGAATTCCTAATCGTTGTATTATGCAGTGCGTGTTGAGTAAGTAAGAACTTCCAGCAGAGCAATCCGCTTGGTACATTATACATGAGAACAAGGTGGTTGTCCTGGGTTCAGTTATGCTACGCCAGGAGGTGTAGAAGTCACCGCGAGCCTCCGCAGTGTTTTACATACCAGTCAGGAAGGCCAATTCACGCATGAGAAAATCCCTCTGCAACGTTTGGACATATTTCAAAAGTATAGCGGGTGTCCTACAAGTCCTGCTGTCGTCTACCTATAATAAACCTATTACCTACCAACCTCTAGCGAACTTTCTCATCCCTCTTGGCAGCAGCCAATTATCCGCAATGCCAGCTGTATCTGACGCCATTATCGGACTAATGATGTCAATTAAATAAAATTGCAGTCAGGCATGCACTTTCGATTAAGAAAAATGATTTAGCTCCCATCTAGCGGCCGATATAAATAGTACAGTCGTGTCTCGTATCTATATAATCAGCTGTGCGTGAGTAAATCGGCTATATCAGGGGTATATCTGGTAGTAAGGTGTATAAGGTACAAGACTGTGGTATACGGAGTATGCACAAAAGATATATACATGTATATTAAAGTCAAAGTGTCTAACGTCACGGAAGACATACGATTCTTAGAATCGGTAAAAATATTTTGTAAAACAAAAAGTGCTTTCGTTTCATAGCCACGCGGAAGTGGCGGCTGCAATGGGAACGAGATTTAAAGAAACAGCTTTACGTTATTGCATAGGACTGGTAACGTACGTATATGTTAATGATGAAGAAACGATCTCGCTCCGGGTACGTGACGGTATGTTCTCGATGACTCCAAAATATTCCACGCAAGCCTTCACGTATAAAACTACGCTACGATAACGTTTATAAGTCGTTATAACGCTATCGCTAACGACTTGACTTCTTTTTCCAGGCCAACAACGACACGACCTCCATCTACATCATCTTACTCGTCTCTTCGTTTTTCACCTCGCAGATCTATGTAGGTTAAATCTTGATGGAAAACTGTATTACCGACGAGTTTTATGATGCTTAATTCGCACTATCGGTAAATCAACTGTTTGTCCGTTTGAAATGGAAAATCATGGAACGTTGTACCTTTCATTGCTCTAGTTTCAGTTCCTTTTCGTGAATTGTTCGATTCAGTTTTGTATTGGTACAACTAATTAAGAAATTAGAGCAGAATTATATGGAAATTAAGAATGTGACGGAAAATTCAAAAATCTATTGATTCTATGAACATGTGTTATATGTGTCAGGATTGACGGAGACTTCAATGACTGAAACGGTATGCTGGAACTGTGTTTCGTTAAACAATCGATATTGACATTAGGTGTCTTATAGATTTTATTAAAAATTTATACATGCACTATATCGAAGCGTATATATAAATACATAAATTTGAAAATCCCTATAATTAATTATTGATCAATTTTGAAATCGGCTTAATCATTAAAGCGGTCTCGAACGTGCGAAATTTCATATAGGAACGAAGGACGCAGATTTCAACAACGTCGTCTTGGTCGTGGTTGTGGGGTGTATTGATCCCCGCGCCGCTGACCAGCGGTCAATGAGATACGGTCTTTCCCTCTGGTTCTCTCTCTCCTTCTATCTCTCATTCTCTCTCTCTCTCTCTCTCTCTCTCTCTCTCTCTCTCTCTCTCTCTCTCTCTCCCTCACCCTCTTCATTACAGACTTGCCTCGTGGCCTCAGGAACTTCAACCATCGTGCAGGGGTGCAGCGTGCACCTACCTGCTTGGCGGAAGTGGAAGTCGCCCCCCCCCCCTCAACCACGGTATCATATCGCCACCCAATCGCCACCCTGACGCGGTACCAGAGTCCAGCCGGACCTGATGTGATTCATGCGGCCTTCCAACTGAGTCTGGACTACTAGCCAAGGAAATCAGCCCAGGTAAGATCAGTAAGCTGTCTCGCTGCACGAGGTAGTGTAATTGTCATCAGAGTTACTAAGGGTGGAAGTAAGGGGCGGCTGGTAGTAGTCAAAAGTATTGCTGCTGGTGGGAGAATGAGGTGCGAGAATGGGTTAAGTAAGGCTGGCGAGAACAGCTTGATCTACTTTCAATGAAGGTAGGGAAAGCAGAGGGTGCAAGCGCGCAGGTCTTACGCTACCCCTCTGTCGAATCGGCCAACCCACTTTTGAGATCCCTTAAACCACAACTACCCTGTGCCACTTTCTGTATAGCATATCTGGTCGGTACTCTAGACGATCTCGTTATCTAGTCACTCATTTACCCCTAGAGCATATCCAACGTTCGATCGGCGACTCTTCTCACCGTTTCACCCCCTTGTCAAGTCATTCTACACTCAGCCCGGCCACGTGGTGCTGGTAAACACCAGACGTCAGGACGTCGTCAGGCACCGATCAGCGCATCCCTCGCTTAATCAACAAAGTACCTGTGCTGCGCCCGACTCGACAACTGCTGACCTCGTCCTTGATACCAGTTATTCGTTCCGTAACTCACCCCATTCAAAATCCCGGCAGCCATCAATCAGATAAAAATGACCGAGGGGTTGAGTGTGGATATTATTCGCGTGGTGTCTGGTAACGAAGACTGTCCGATGGGGATGATTATAAGAAGGCTGTATCATGGATAATAGGAAAAAGCAGATATTACCCATAACCTATTATTGATTACGATGCTGTGGTGGCACACCTTAAAACCTAGAAATCACTGAGGGTGTGTCGGGCTATCTAACTACCCTTAGTATTCCTCACCTGCATTCTGTATGAATGTGGTACGTAGTTTATAACGGGGTAGCTGGACGTAGACAGAAATGTTTCTTTTTATCACAAATTGGTTATGCGTTTATTTTATAAGGGTGACGCGCTTCTTTAAGAATTCCCACAGTCACTAATCTATTTTACGGGCGCATAATAAATAGAAATGAGGAATGTGTGAATGCGAGCGGAAGTTGAAGGATCGCTAGCTGGTTGCGCATAGCCGACTTTGGTCAACAAGGTCTCGGCAACCAGGCCAGGGAGAGGGGACCTTCCTTATTCTTAGCTGGCAAAACAGAATCGCATTGCGTGCCGCCAGGTTGCCGTTGATCTGGGCCAGATACACACAAACACAACCTACTAACGGTTTATACGCAGTTTTATTATAAATCACTTTATCGCAGTGTTGGCACTATTTCGCGAGGCAGCCTGAAGCGTCATAGTGCACTTTAATAAAGGTTAATGTGATATTTAACAGTTGCCTCAATTCTGAGGAATAGACCATTGGTCCAGGTGTCATGTTTGACAGATCATTTATTTACTCCTAATGTTTCAAATTTCTGCGGAATAGCTGATCGGTTACTTATTGTCTGGTATTATGCAAGCGATCCTTTAGCTGACTTACCTTAAAGGTTTTATAACTAGAAACAACGTAAGATGCACCATCTTCCAGCTCATCCAAGCTCAGCTTTCTGTCACCATCCATGGAGAAGATGTGTCGTGCACCCCGCGGTAGATCCAGACGCAATGAAAGTCGGTCCAGGAGTGCCTCGAGAGATCCAATATCACGCCCAGGTTTGAATCTAAATATCCAGTCAATGGATACGGAAGATAAAGAAAAGGAGATATCAAGATACGGACGATTTTATTAAACGAAAATAATTCTTACCTGAACTCCACACCAGGGAAGTAAGGATCTCCATTCTTGTAGAAGGTGACACGTCTGGCCCTCCAGTAACCAAGATTATTGTACCTGGCTGGAGCCGGCTCGTGTCGGCTCTTCGGCCTAGACTCCGGCTGCTCCGGAGGCAACATGCGAGGACTAGAGGGTCTACTCTGCCTCCAATAGCCGCCCATGCCGCCTCCACTCCCACCTTCGGCTACCCCCATTCCCATTCCGAGCCCCATCCCCATTCCCGCCCCCGGCAAGTCGCCGGTCAGCGCCGCAACCGTCGACGCCGACGCTGAGGTCGCTACCGTCATTCCTTCCCGACCCGCTGCTCCTGTCCCATCGTCCTCCTCGTCGACGTCGTCGACATCGTCGTCGCTATCAACACCGGCCGAGGGCATCCCGGTCGACATAGTGTGTTGAGCTTGCGGAGAACCGTCGCGCCGTGGCGCCTCCTGTCCTTCCGAGTTGACGCCGACGCTCAGAGCGTCCATGCCGCCTCCCTGACCGTTGGTGTCATTACTACCGGCGCCGGTACCGCTGCCGATCATTCTTTCGCCACCCTTGTACTGGCCCAGATGAGAATTGGCACGCGATACTGCTTGTGTAGCAATCATACCTCCACCAGGAGTCCTTCCTGGCCACTCAGGGCTCTACGAAGATTTTTTCACTCGAGACTCGTACTTTCTATAAACGTTTCTTAAGAGTTACAGTATAAGACCTTAACGTTCGAATAATTCTTTAGATTTTATACAACCCCTTGTAAAAAAGCTTTCGTGCGAACAATAAAGAATGATGATCTTGAAATTATGTGCTACTCGATTGCAGTGTGAATTTAGATCGATCGATTTATTCGAGGACTTCAACACGGCAGGATACAGTTTTTAATGCGGTCTGAGCTTTACGATTGCAGCTCACTGCGGATCCAACGAAAGACCTTGTTAACTATTTCCCGACACCATCATTTTTCACTGTTTCAAAAAAAGGACGACACTTACACCTTGTCTGTTATTTCTCCCCAATATCCATCTGCACTCACTTGAAGCTTAGATCTTCATGATAATCTTTTGTCGTCAAGTTTCTTGATTTCGTTAAGAAAAAAAAAAAAATGTTGTCACTCATTACCATAAAATATCTTATGTACCCTTATCAAATACCTCACATTCCGACTAATAACTTTCTCAACCCCCCTACAGCTTTATTGCTCTCTAAATTCGCAATATGCAAAGCACTCCCGTTTTCAACTGTAACAAACTACCCACCTCGTGTTCACACACAAAACGGTACCGGCTCCTCGTAAATTAATTTAATTATTCCACAAACATTTATCCCACCACGTGTCAAATTATTAATTCGTTTACCAATGACACTGGAGATCATTCAAATGCAAATTACTCCTTGTGGTTTACATATTCATGTCGTTCGTCCTTCACCGGTGGCGTCCCGACGTCAAGTGCCGCTCCGCAGGTCCTGCAAGTGGCTTCGTGATGTCAGTGAACCGTAGCGCCTTAACTCAAAAGCTCCATAGCTTCGTACCCCCGTATATACGCTCTTACAAGGAAGCAACTCCGAACTTGTTGCACAGTTTGTATCGACGCAAGCTCACAGCCTGAGCTTGCGATTGGTCGTGGAATCGCGCAACCTGATCCTATTGGCTCACATTAATGGGGACAGCTCATCAGGACCAACCCTCACACCATCATTGGGCAACTTCCGGACTCAGAATGGCCGACAAAAGCACATCAGCCTATGCCCGAGTAACCACAGTGCTACTTATCGTGCCTATTATTCAATTTACATACGGCGTCGTGTCATTTTCCTAATTAAAATACAAAGACAATAAATAAATCATTTTTTTAATATATCTCTCGTTAATCAAAATTCTTACCAACGTCCCAGAAAACACTTATAATGCGTACAATGCATTATACCTCCTTGTTTGCATCGATCTTCTTGCGAAAAGAGGGATCGCCAAAATAACCTCAAACTCGAAGTGATTGAGGTCAGGACTAAGCTCCCCCATGATTCGGCCATAAATTATAACGCGACAGACGCTGTTACTAATATAATATTTACCGTGTGCGTGAAAAAGAAGTCAATACCAGGTTAGGTATACAGTTTGCGTGCAAAGTCACCACCGGAGCAGTGGAATAGGAGAGCTCCTACTCCTTATCCTGACTTGAGAAACTCCGTGGTGATACATTTTCTAGGTACTCACGTGAACTACATAACGTATGGTGAATATATAGTGCATATAAAGTACGAGGGTTACATAACTCAACGATGCAACTAGATCTAAGCCTTCCTCCTGCATTTATATGGATATATATATGTATGGATTACTCATGGATTCTCATTATCTGTAAATCTTGACGTCCACGTAAAACGTACCGACGACAATAACAGTCGTCGTTAGATTCTCGTCGAGTATGTCTTTCCTTATTGTAATCTTATTCTTCTGTATTCTTTATCCTTTTCCTTCGCTTGAGCTCTAGCCAGGCACATCGATCGACTCCTTAGAACCGGACTGGTCACGAAAGTTCCAATGGTTAGTAAACGTAGTAAAGTCCAGTTAAAGTATAAGGAGGGCTTATTGCAAGAATTGCAGGACACGAAGAAGTAAGAGAGACGCAAAGAAAGAGAAAGAGAAAGAGGGGGCATTTATTATACCTCTAGTAATTTAACTCGACTACGAAACACTGTCTACCGTAAGCAGCAGTGCCAACCTAACTTTTTGATCTAGCGTGTCGCCGGCGCCACGGTTTCGAGCGACATATCGATCCCTTAGCCGATTTCCAGGTCCTTGGCAACTTTTTCAGTCATTCTGTATACGCAAACGTAGTAAAATGAATACCTCTAACCTTGCGTAACATTTTTTTTAACCATAGGTATTTTTTCATGAAAATACCAACGGACTGGTAGAAAAATTCAAAACATCTTTCAAATCGAAATTGATCATCGGAAATAGAACAGATACTCATATTTCATTATCAGCATTATGTCTGAAATGTTACAATATTTATGCGAATCGCTCATAATTGGCTAGTAAAACTTTCCTAGTAATATATAATACTTACCGCGAAATTATCGAAGGTATGTAAGCATTTCCTTTCGATGAATAAAAATGGGCCATTGCTTTCTGCGCCTTGAATTACTTTTTGGCGTGCCAGTGAATGTCGTCGAATCGCGTTCGAGACATTTTTATCAGTACAGTACGATCTACGCGTTTGTCCTACAAATCCCTTTTGGACTCTTTAACATAGCCCGAGTAAATCCTCGAAAGCCTTACGGAAAATTATTATCGTTTCAGTTTCACATCATAGTTGAATGCGATCAATGCTTATTATGGATGAATGTTGTCATCATCAAATGCATAGCTTAGACTCGTAAATACCCAATGCTTTTAACTGTCTGATATCACCATAAGATAATGTATCAATTGGTAGACGAGATTGCAGCGACCTACTTACCAAAAACTACCAGCTGACATATTTTTTGTTGAATTGTACTGTGAAAGGGCAAAGAGTTCTCTCAGCATGGTCTACATTGTAATGTTTTTTTTTCGTATCCTTATCATTATGAGATACCATATGTTATGCAGTGTATATATGTATAATGCCTCCACTCTAATTATATTGCGTCGTAAATAGTCAGAAGGACGTATCCATGCACGTCGCGACGCTCACCCGAGGACTTTCGAGGAAATGCGGCTAAATTACCTAGAAGCTTAAACGCTTTTGATAATATCATAACAAATGGCTCAGAAATTTGTAAAGCTACGTAATACTGGAGAATGTACTTTTAGTGTCAGCGATTAGCATCTCTTCTTTATCACATGTATCCTAACGGAGATTTATCCAACTGTATCAGAAAGATTATTAATGAAAAACGAAAGGTGTGTTTCCCAAATCGAATTTTTGTAATCAAGTGATATTTCGATATCCAATCTACTTTTCCCTTATTGACTTCGAATAATTTATACGTACGTGCTAGTGCGTAATACTTCGATACTGATGAGGGAATCGAAAGGCGTGGTTTAACGAGGCAATAAGATATTCTCACGCGTAAAGTATGCGTATATACACCGAACACACGCGATGGATTTGGTATAATTTTTACATTGACTGAAACCTTTCAGGTAAATTCACCCTGCGACTTTTCGTAAAGTAGTAAAGACAGCAAAGTACACTGGAAGAATATTTTAACAATCGTTTTGACGTTTCAGCATAAGAATGGAAAAGGTTATAGGCTCTTAAGGGTTTTCTAGCGTGAGGATTTTCGTGTGAAAAAAAAACATATAACTGCGGTATAGTAAAGTCAAAAAATGTATAGTTTATTAGAAACGTACATTGTCCTACGATTTCTTTGATTCGTTAATTACGATAATGATGGTCATCATGTAATTTGCAGGTAGCTCATCTTACGTCGTAGAGTCTTCGTTTATAGTAGTAAAATTTGTATCAGCAGTTCTTTTTCTTTTTTTTCTATTCTTCTTTTTTTCTTTTCTGTACATTGCACTGTCTGTACTATTATCGACAGTCATTGCGTCACTTGCGTTGGACGTGTCTTTTGGTACAGGATCCACATTTGGTACAGATTCTGACTCCTCCGCATTTCTTCTTTTTTTCTTTTGCTTCTTCTTCTTCTCCTTTTCGCTACTTACGCTGCCTTTGTTTTCTTCGTGGAGCTCAATCTTCTTCTTTTTTCGTCCAGACTCCGGTAAAGGAACTTCAAAATTTCTCTCGAATATCGCAACAAAGAACCCATTCGTCATATCAGTCTCAGATCGAGCATAAAGACATTTATCCTCGCACGCATAATCCTTAGAGCTAAAATTTCGCCAATTCCCATCGAGGATCGTGCCAACTGGTACAAGTCTGTAAGCATCTCCGACGGTAGAAAGAACTTCATCTACAACCTGCTCGTTCTCTTCCGGATAGATAGAACAAGTGGAGTACACAATTCGTTTGGCTTTGGGAAAATTCAAAAGGGCGTGTCTTAAAATTAATACTTGAAATGATTGAAGACTCTTTATACGAGCTGGTGCACACTTTGCCTGTTTGACACCATCCACTTCAAGTCTGTCAGTCATTCCTTTAATATGGAAACAGATTAAGTAAAGATGTTAGTAAGAATTTGGCAACAGTCCAGAAAGACTTTTAAAGGATATCGAGATGTAATAAAGATATCACCTGATCCAGAACAACTGGGATCGACGAGGATATATTCGACATCAGGACACTTGCTGGAATCTATTGTGATTACGTCTGCATTGATACTTTCAACACAGGAACATTTCGTTGCTTCCAGCATCTTTCGAAGAGTTTCATATCTCCTCAAGTCGCGTTCGACTGCGTAAATTTTTCTATGGAAATGAAAAATCTTTGTACATATTTTCCAAATTGACTTGATATCATTTTTGAAGATTGTCTCAATGTTACCCCTTGTTTTGCAGAATAGCTGCTAAATGGGTTGTCTTCATTCCAGGTGCCGCGCACATATCCATTACGACAGATCCAGGAGTAGCTCCAAGTAGAAAAGCAGGAAAACAACTGGCCTAAGATTTTAGAAAATGTCTAATAGTTTTAGATCCCTTTCATTTGATTTCTAATTCATTGCTTTTTTTCAAAATTTTGTATCCACTCTCGACTCTTTACCTTATCTTGAAGAACTATGGCTCCCTTGTTATAGGCCTCATGATCGTGGAAAGGTGTTCCCGATGGAAAAATGAGTAACTCAGGAATATGTATGTCCCTTACAAAATTTGGTTCGGTCAGATTCGAGATGCTCTCAATAAACTGATCGTAATTGGCCGATTTGGGTAATATATTCCATCCTTCCTCGGCAAATGCCGAAATGACATCACTTACACTCATATAAAGAGTATTGACGCGTACATAGCGCGGTTTATCCACTGTAAAAGAAATTTATTCGTTGTATAAATGTTAGCAAGTTAAAAAAGGACAAAATCACGATGTTTGCTTCTCTTTAATCGCCATCACGTCAAGCCTCGAGAGTTACAAATACTCAAGGGAATATTAAGTTTTATAACAAATATATACATATATATTTATTATCATCACAACGCTTAGTATAAGAAAAATACACAAGATGTAGATTGTATAAATTATTACCAAAGGATGCTTAAGACTGTAAAAATTTGTGCCAGTTCTTGACAACGTTATGTGAATGGAATGTATAATGCTATTTTTATTAAATGCATCATGACTGTTGATCAGGGACTAGTTCATGTAACTTGATTTTCGTCTGGATATTAAATGAGAAAATTATGCACCTAATCATCTTTTTTATTGAGATCATTCCTAGATGTCGAAGGTTCAGTTACTTCCATGGACTCTTTCGTATCATCGGGTTCGTAAAGCGCCCGATATGCATAGCTCATTATTATCGCATTGGTGACAACTACGGCTGCCGTAACGGAAACGCAAGTAACTGTGAATTGATCAGCGTGAAATTCGTTTTTCATAACGTGCTGTGCCCCAAAAAACGCGGCAAACGGCAACGTAAACATAGCTATAGTATAGAGGAAGAAGACTCCCAATACCGAGACAAGACTCATGGCTGGATCATCCAATTTATAATCGTAATCCGATTTAGAAGAATGTGCACAATCTTTGTGTCTGTCCGTGCGTACGACGTATGATAATAACGTCTTTATCTTGGATGATCTTCTCGATTGTATTCTGTTGTTGCGGATGATTAGAACCATTAATCTGAAGAGCCCGTAACTCCTTTGGAAGCAGGATGCTCACAGGCCTATACAGATTCTAGAATGGATGCTCTCGAGGCTTGACACTGAAAAAAATAACAAGCGAGACAATGAATCGTATTTACCTTTCTTGAATACTGATGGACTTGAAAGAACAATTTCTTTCAGATATTTTTGCAATTTAGTTTGGTACAAAAGAATTGTTTTCACAGGTTTAGATTCAGATTGTAAGCGCTGCTTTCCCCACAATAACTCAGTAATGAGAACCCTCGCAAGCCAGGGATCAAGGCGAGGCTCTTCAAATAAGATTCGAGTGCTCCGAATGAGGTGATCCAAATGAGAGCCATTCTGAAGAGTGGTCAATGCCAGAGCATACAACCCACGAATATTCTGCTCACCAATTATATCAATGAAATATGAATTTTCATAAGATTTTCAATCAACAAACACATCTCTTCAGGATCATTGAAATGCCTTTGATCGTTACTTACAGGATGTTTATTCTCATATACCAACTGCTTCAGACTGGCACCTTCCTCCTGTACTTTCTGCACGATGTTCTTCACGATCTTATACAATCTTGGTACCTTCACGGAATGCTCAAATCCATTACTAGTCATGTTATTGCATTCCAGGATGGTTAGGAAATCGCGTGGTGGCAGGGCGTCGTCTACGTCTTTACCATACACAGCGCTAATACTGGGAAAGTGATGAATGAATCTTATACTAACAGATACTAGCGACAATAAGCTTGATACAAAATAACTTCTCATAGAGTACGTTTCGAGGAAAACTGAGGAAAACTCACCACAGACATCAACCTTCAGCACCGTTGGACATTGTTGCCAACAAAGAGAACGATGGAAGAAAAGAAATTCGATGTATAATAGTACTGTCTTGTAACAATTTTTAATAGAATACTAAAGGTAAAGATCAATAATTGCTGTCAGTGACTAAGATAAGAGGCTATAATGAATATTATTGAAAATATCATGCACTTTTTCATGCACCAGGTTAGCAGCAGTGACTAGACATGCCCCGCCACCCGTAGTATTGTTGGGAATTTCATACAGAATTGAGTTCCACGACCCGTCTGTCCAACGAAACAAATAATGGCCGCTCCATGTTGTTATTGTGCGTAGCTGCTGCTCGTTATTTTTGTAATCAAGCTGTCGCGCTTGATCGCTATTCCTCGTGTAGTGACCACAGGCGTATTGGTTAAAGGTCAAAGGCCAGTTTAAAGTAAAATTTGTGACTACGAGGCAAATTAATTTACTGGCTGAAAGCCTACAAATGTGCATTAGCGTTACACTAAGTGCTGCTCGGAAAAATGCTTTGACAGTGCTTTGTTGTGATTGTTATGATGAAAGATTTCATCCTTGTGGTATTATTTGGATTATGTGAACTGTAAAGGAATGGGGCGTCGGTGGTACCTACGAGTATTTAATATCGCATCGTATAGATAGTATTCGCAGTACACGGTGGAATTATTTTCTAATAGTAAACTTATATTCCGTGTATTGGAACCGTGGTACTACTATATTCCAAATTGTTGACTCGGTTTACGAGTCGTTAGTTTCATAATGGTGCACATACCAAGTGCCTATACTTACAACTTCTGGTCAAAAACGGCCACAGAGGTAGTGGAGCTAACATGTCTTATGCCCAATGGTGTTTTCATTCCTTTAGAGGCAAATCGAAATTCTACACTCGCAGAAATTAAAGAGGTAAGGATATCAGACAGTTTCCTTGATGTCCATTAAACAATAACTGATTGTGTATGTTGTTTTTATAGGAACTGTGGGATGAGGCAAGCACATATCCATTGCATGGAACTCTACGGGATGCTCCTTCATATATTTTTTCATGCATTAATTCAAATGCGGAAGTTGAAGTGTTACGAGATGAAAGTAGACGACTTTGTGATGTAAAACCTTTCTGTTCGCTTCTAAAAGTGATAGAGAGAGAAGGTGTTAAAGGCGATCGCAATCTAGACTCACAAATTGGTCTTCTTATTGGAAAGGGCTTACATGAATTTGCAGCCCTAAAGAATTCTGAAGTAAATGACTTTCGCTGGAAAATGAGAGTTCTCGGTGATGAAATTGCACTTGGGCGACAAAAGAAATCATGGGTGGAGAAAATGCAGTATCAGTTTCCTTCACGATTAGCGACTACACCTGATGTACCCAAAAACATTGAATCTCGTCTGAAGGATGGACATATTCTGCTGCTTACCAAATTTGAAAATATAGAGGTAAGAAAATTTTCTTATAATGTCTTTAAAAATATCAAGTCTTTATTTGTTTGTTCATATAAAAATTTATTGACATGCATAAAGTTAAGCTTAAAAATTAAATTCATTTTTTGTTTGTTGCAATATATATTATAGGATATTCTTTTTTTGTTATCTTTAAGTCTTTCTTGACTTGCTGGGAAACAGAATCCACTGTGTCTGGTGAAAAGCGAAGACTTTTCTTTTCTTTCTCCTTGTACCCACTTTCTAAATGTTTTATTACCTGATCAGGTTTAAGGATAGCTGATTTTAATGGCATGCTTGATATATTATTCAAGGTGCTCTTGCCTGGTAAATCTTTATGAATAATAGAGGGTATTATTCCCGTTAATTCCATATCATTGGCTGTGATATCTGTAGAGACGTTAATAGATTCATTAATTTTTTCTTCCACGTTATGACCTATAACTTTCTGTGATATTTGTCTCTCTGGTATTTTGATTGTATCATTCATTATATTTTGATTTTTACTGCTTTCATCTTTATTCATATCAAATTTGTCCTCCCAAAGATAACAGTTTTTTATTTCGTCATTGATATGCTTCAATTCTAACTTGCTTTTTAATGTAATTAATTCACTCTGGAAAAATCAAAATTGACAATGTTGTATTTAACAAATCTTGTACAGCAGAAGGTCAAAGAAAAGTACCTCGTAAGAAAATGCTTTACGTTTCCAGTGTCTTAACTCATCTTTTAATGTATATTCCATGTTCGCAGTAAGGATCCGTTGAATCGAAGTATGTTCAAGTTTTTTGTGCAATTCTTCAATTTCCTTAGTTTTCTCTACCAATAGAATCTCTAGGTAACTGAAAACATATGAACGTAGTAAATCATATTCAGAACAGATTATTATTATCAATAGAGTTATATTGTATACCTAAAGTCTTTGCCAGTTGATTGTTTTCTTTCCTTTTGTTTATCTTTCATTTGCTCCTCTTTGAGTTTGTTTTCAAGTTCTGCCACTCTGTCTTTGTATACAATAAGAAGTTTGTCTTTATCCTCAAGAATATTGGCAGTATTATCAGCTTTGTGAAACATTGCAGCATATTGGGAGCGGAAGACATTGAATTCTACTTCCTTATTATGATACATTTGTTTTATCTCCTGGTAGTTGTTTTGTAGATCTGCCATTTTCTTTAACATACCACGACGACGATCCTCTACTTCAGCAAATATGGAATTGCCTACAAATTATAAAATAACAATTTGTAATTTGATCTTAAGTATGTTATATTTATTGCTAGTATGTTACATGCAGACCTTTATGGATATCAGATGGAGCACTTTTTATTGACTGTAATTCCATACGGCAGACTGCTAATTCCTCTTGATTACTTTCTAAAATTGCATTTTTTGATGCCAGTTCCTCTTTGGTCACCTGACACATTAATGAGCATCCAATTGATATCAAAAGACTTATATTAGCATCAATGGCTACTTTGATTTTCTTACATTAAGGATTTCATTACATTCCCTATACTGTTGCTCTAATGCAGGCACGAGTTCCTCATACTGTGTTTGTTTTTTGTATTGTTCTTCTATGATACTTGAAAGTGCAGCCACCTTTTCGATCAAAGGTTCTGTAACTTTGGTAATAGAATCTGAGTAGTCAGGTCCATTTATTATCACAGGCTCTATTTTTTTCAGCTCTAAGATAGTTTTTTTTAAATTCATGATTTCCTGATCTCTTTGTGCTAGATCGGTTTCCAATTGAAATAAACGTTCCGAGTATTCCTTCTTTTCATTAGATAATCTAATATAAATATCAAACCAAGATAGATTCTGTACTTCAATGAATGATAATAACAAATGTAATTCATAAATACCTGCATTGCAGACAAGCAATTGTATTTTCAGCATGAATTGCACGTTCGGCTATAGTGCTTTCTAAACTCGCATTTATCTCACTCATTTCTTTCTGAGTGGCTATGCTAACCTCGAGCTTACGTCGTAACTCGTAAATTTCTTGATTATACGATTCATTCTCCAAAGCTAGTTTTCTAAGCTGCCTTTTTATATCGCTTCCATTCTCGTCCGTTTCTTCCTCGATCGTATATAAAAGACTTAGATCAACAGCATCCATGCTTTCACACATTTCGCAATTAAAATATGCTCTCGCACATAAAGTATTCTCTAATAATTCATACTAAAACTGAACGGCTTCAGGAAGCGAGCAATCCCAACGAACATTTCAGTTTGAAATGAGCATTTTATGCCATTCCGTGTTCTGTAGGTATAGTAGAAAACCTTCAAGATGAATATTACCGACGGATCGCTCTATCGCTTGAATGCATAGCGCCAAATACAATGAGGATATACGTAGGTGCTTGAATTTCTTAATTTTTAATGTTTCAGACAAGCTTTAAGTTTCGAGTACCTCATACAATAACGCCTTACCAGTTACTTGAACAAATTTTAACAAAAAGAGCAAACACGTTAATGTCACGCGGTGAACGCGCCGGTGATTTTATCCTAAAGGTTTGCGGGCAAGAGGAATATCTAATCGGCGACTATCCACTTATACAATTCAATTACATACAAGATTGTTTGGAACGAGATATCGCACCAATACTCGTTACTCTTAGTGTGGATAGCGTACCTGTTGATCAAGATAATGTCTACGAGAATCCAGAATTGGATACCATGAAACGAGCAAGACCACCTTTCTCCACGCTAACGTTAAGAAAAAAAGGCAAACATATCTCCGTCTGGAAAATTGACGAGCAATTTACGTTCAATGTAAATGGCATTTCAAGATTGAATTGCGATGCAGCACATCGTGTCGTAGAGGTATGTCTTAATACTTTTGTCTAGATTAATAATTAAGGAATTAAGCTGAGTGATTGATTAACCATTTATTGTCATCGTTTTCGGTAGATCGGATTGCAAGCTGGTATCTTTCATGGCGGCAAATCTTTATGCGAGACCCAAAAAACCAAAGAGAAGATTGTCAGTCCTGAAGGTAGCTGTGAGTGGGAGGAAACATTGAAATTTGATATTAAAGTAAGAGATATACCCCGAATGGCTCGACTCTGCTTTGTGCTTTATGAAGTCAGCAAGACCGCTAAAGGCCTCAAGAGCAGGAGGCTCGTCAAGGATTCCAAACAAGATTTCTTTGTTAATCGCTTATGTTGGGCAAATACTACTATATACGATTTCAAGTCTCAGTTAAAAACAGGAGCGATGACTTTGTATACATGGACTTATGCTGAGGATATGCAGAATGAGGATCTTCTTCATCCTCTTGGGACTGTTGTCTCCAATCCGTATATTGATAGTGCTGCCGCCCTTATGTTAACATTTCCCAAGTTAGTAAAGAATCTATGAGTCTTATTTCTAGTTGGATTTAAGGTTTTTATCTATTATATAATCAATAACTTTGTATTCAGCTTCGGGAAGGACAAATCCGTCGTATATCCATCACCGGAGAAGGTTGTTGAGTATGCTGAAAATTTACGAGAACCCGAGGATAGTTCCATCGAGGAAGAATTAAAAGAGGAATCCGATGCTAATAAACTTCAACAATTGGAACAATTGCGGTTATTGGCTGATAGAGATCCGTTACATGAACTTCATGAACAGGAACGGAAAAATATGTGGAACCTCAGGCATTATTGTTTGCACAAGATACCGACTCTTCTGGCGAAGTTGTTACAGTGTGTAGAGTGGAACGATCACAGGTATGGAAAATTGCAATTATGAGTAAGTTTATAAGAAAAACTGATTAGGATAAGGAAGACTTATCTGTGACTGTTACCAAACTAACCTGGATAAATTATTTAAAAAAAAAAAAAAAATAGGGAAGTGGCGGAGGCAACTTCGTTAGTACTACAGTGGCCGAAGTTACCAGTAGAAAAGGCATTAGAACTTCTGGATTATGCTTATGCCGATCAAAATGTCAGGAGTTTCGCTGTACGCTGTCTGATGGACGTCAGTGATGAGGATCTCAGCCTGTTCCTGTTGCAACTGGTCCAAGCGTTGAAACACGAAAACTACCTCTCCTGCGACTTGACAGAATTTCTCTTGAGGCGCGCACTTAATAATCAGAGAATAGGTCACTTTCTTTTCTGGCATTTAAGGTTCGTTATCTTCCATAGAAACTTTAACAAAATTTTCAGAAAACGAATTGGGACTAAACCTAATATATTATCATGTTTCTAAAACAGGTCAGAGATGCAAGTAGGTTCTGTATCCGTACGTTTTGGCCTTATACTAGAAGCCTACTGTAGAGGAAGTCAGGAACACATGCGCATTCTCTTCAAGCAAATGGAGTGCTTGGATAAACTGCGTACAGCATCAGAGCAAGTGAAGCAGCGTAAGGATCGAAAAGCTGCGCTTCAAAGTTTTCAGGACTTTATTCAGGAGCCCCACTGCCAGGAAGCAATATCAAACGTCCTCAATCCGCTCGATCCGAGCTACAGATGGAAGCGCATAAAGTAAGGATCATCAGGACTCATCACGCCATTATGCCCCGTTCACTCTCTCATCAGATTCTAATTAATTTCAGGATCGAGAAATGTCGAGTAATGGACAGTAAGATGCGGCCACTTTGGCTCGTTTTTGAGAACGTTGATCCATTTGGTGATGATATATACCTCATGCTTAAACACGGCGATGACCTGCGCCAGGATATGCTCACCTTGCAGATGTTACGAATCATGGATAAACTTTGGAAACGTGAGGGTCTTGATCTGCGTATGAATCCGTATGGTTGCATATCGACGGAAAACAGAGTGGGTATGATCGAGGTGGTACTGAATGCTGAAACAATAGCGAACATTCAGAAAGAGAAAGGCATGTTCTCAGCGACTGCGGCATTTAGGTATGAGGCTTTTGGGAATTTTGTTTCTTTGTTGATCCCTAGTATTCACAGTCATCAAAGAAGACGTTATTTCCAATTCGGAATCGCGTTAATCTTTCAGGAGAGGTTCTTTACTCGCGTGGCTCAAGGATCACAATCAAGCAGACGATGCGCTGAATAAGGCGATCGAGGAATTCACTTTAAGTTGTGCGGGCTACTGTGTCGCCACTTACGTACTGGGTATCGCTGATAGACACTCTGACAATATAATGGTCAAGAAAACTGGACAACTCTTTCACGTGGACTTCGGCCACATTCTTGGTCACTTCAAAGAGAAATTTGGCGTTCGACGAGAGCGCGTTCCCTTCGTTCTGACAAATGACTTTGTACACGTTATCAACAAGGGTCACACGAAAAAAGGTCAGGCCGTGGAGTTTCAACGTTTTCAGAATTACTGCGAGCAGGCCTTTCTGGTACTACGTCGTCACGGTGGTCTCATACTCTCCCTGTTCGCCATGATGATCTCTACAGGGCTTCCTGAACTCTCATCTGAAAAGGGTCTCAACTATTTGAGGGACACACTGGTAATATGACGCTCTACTCGTGCTCGATATTATTTCTTCTCGCAATCTCATTCTCTGGTGTATTTTTACGTGCAGGTGTTGGAGATGTCAGAGAACGAAGCACAGCTGCATTTTAGAAGTAAATTCGACGAAGCTCTGTGCAACTCATGGAAGACCTCGTTGAATTGGGCGTCGCACAATATGTCCAAAAACAACAAAACCACGTGAATTGGCGATTTATAGTGCCGCGCAGGGTAAGAAGACTGTCCCGATTAAACTCTAAACAACTCTACGATTAGCTAGTGATTACGGACAATATCATAATCCCGAGATTTCATAGTGCCGACGATGTTCGAATGCGTGCAGGAGCATACGTCGAACGAAAGGACGGCCGAGTTCTGCGTGTTGGGAGTACGAGTAAACCGAAGGAGCAACCGGGAAACAGTAAATTCATGTGTCAAATTCAAACCTACATCTCTCATCATCTCATTCAGCTTAATCGAAATCGCAAAGACTGAGCTATTGAGCGAGAGACAAAAGATATTTTTTTTTACTTTAATTTTTTCTTTTTATTATTATATTCGACATGAAACTATATTTTGGCTGAGCGAGTAAAAAAAATACCTCGCGGATACTACGTAGCGAAGTATTTTATCTTTTTTTCCCGTGGAAACTGTAGGACATTTCAAAAGACAGATTATACATAACGTGTATGTTCAGTCACCTAATGGCAATGTGATAACCCAAAGCAATATGTACTCATTTAAGCACATCGCGCGTTTCTTTCGCGAAGCTAACTCGCAGGCGCGCGAAGTCCACTAGATATTACTCTTGTCATTTATCTGATTTCGGATGGGTCCATGTTCGCGAGCATCCCGTCTCATAATCCTCATTAACTTTATACACCATTGTTCCTAAACTATCATAGGTCCTCGACGTCTCAATTATTTCGGCCGCGTCCCATCTCCCAATCTACTTTGCAATTTCACTTGGACAGATTCCTCGCGCATGGACCCACTCGCATCCTATCCTCGCCAATCTTCATTACCGCCACAGAGCAGTAGTCACTCAATGATTCGTACAATCAAGAATGTGTCAACTAGACGTTTATTAATGGTAGGCATAATAGATACAAGAAAAAGGATAAGCATAATAGGTGCAAGAAGATGGATCGTGTATCGCTAGTTAATTTACCCAATATCGATAGGTTTAATCCTTTAATTAAGACATAGATAATTTAAATTGGCGCGAATCATCGTGAGATAAGAAAAAAAAAACATGTTCCCATCTACTGACGCACACGGTACATATCGTACAGGATGCTGATCGACGCGAGAACTGACTTAGGATTTCAAAGTGTCTTTTCTATTCTGCCCGATCATTTTACTTCCCTGTACGTTTATCCCCGCGCCTAGTGTGCATCTACGTGGTCCTGCCCTATCCGTCTGACCTTTCACCTCTCTTGTAAAAGCCATTGCGCTGAAAACTGTATCTGTCTTAACCGTTCCATTTGAACTGTACCTATTTTTCTGCCACTTCCGCATTTTCCATTGCTTTACATTGTTTCTCATTAGTTAATACTAGCCAGTGCGCATGCGCATTAATGAGTCTGATAACGTGTACCGGCTTCACAATGCGCATTGACTTTTCCTGGCAATGCAACCAAATGCAATGCAATTCCACTGTTCATTATATGTTAGACGAAAAATAATTATACCGCTACTGTATCGTCGCCGCTATTATTATTATTATTATTGTTATGCTAAAAAAGAAATTAAACGTCGACCAGAGCACGCACATGCACATGCGGTGCGTAGAGAAGAAGAAAAAAAAGCCGCGAGCTTATTAGTTAATTTAATCGCGGAATTAAGTCGAGGGACGAATTCTCAATGTGCTCGTTCGTACGTTTAAAAAATCTGCGCTCAATTATATCCTGTCGGTCTTCAAGCAAGTTCAGTGTGCGTAACGTTCTGTCATCGTTGTCATCGTCACCGCTCACTACCGTCGTCGTACTCGTTTCTCAAGTACCAACAATACCCAAGAAGACGAGTATCCCACGTTCTTTGTAAATCATCTGTCGTTTCTTGATTTAATTGACAATTTATGTAAGGACGGATCCAGTCATCTTCTTGGATTGGTGTCGATGAGCTTCGTCGCGGGTATTGATTGCAAAATTGTACGTAAGGAACTAGACTGCTGTACTGCAACATTGGCGCGCGTACGATTTTGATCGAGTACGAGAAATTAAAGATGGCGTCTCAAATTGACCTTTAGATACGAATTAATACTTGAAGTTCCTAGTTTTAAGAGTTTTTTTTTCTCTTCAGAGATTAGATTATAACGTGTCAAGCCACGGGGAGTGACAAGACTCCCTTGGACTTTGAGACACGAGATGAGTATAAAGAAAAAAAGGTAAACAATGAAATCGGTAGGTAAAAAGTAAAAGGTTCCACGCGCGCATCAGCCGTCCTCTTTAAAGCCAGGGCAGGGATGACCGTGTAGGAGCTGTCTAGAAAGACTAATTATAGTAAATAAATATAGCGATGCTAAGTAAAAACGATAAATGAAAAGGGAAGACGAACGAAATAGGGAAATAATTATGTGACTCGACGAGGCCAATCATTTTGAATATTCATTTGTACAGCCGTTCGAATCGCGCATAGGTACAGGAAGACACCGAAGGAAAACAAAAAAGCACGAAGCACACGACTGAAAGAACTCACGATTACTCTCTATATCTGCCCCCGACTATCTTTGTAAATATCGTTTAGCTTTTAAACCTACCAAATTTACTGTATTTCAACGTTATTTATAAAAGCATTGTAAGAACGATCGTAATAAAATCGTACTACGATAATGTCGCTGTCGTCGTACTTCCTTTTTAAATATTCTCCGGTTTACTTGATTCCCTACAAGGTAATAACGTACACCTTAGAGATCCATTGAGAGTCGTATGGTATATAAATAAAACATATCCAATAGATCATGTAACAAGGCAAACACGTAAATGAGTGGGTGCATCTTTCATTAAGAAAGAGCCAATGGTGGCCAAGTGCGAGCGGTGCGAGTAACATGAGAGAAGAAGAAAAAGTGTGCAAGCTTGGTTGTTGCGGGTGAAAGCAATTGAGAGACTGGGCTGTGTTACCTGATCAGTCACATTGCGAACGCGTTAGGCGTCGCGACGCTCAGCGCTATCAGTGTTATAAAGTAAATCTAACATCGCGTTCCCTCGCAATAAATAAATGCAAAGTGGTTTGCATAGGAAATTTTATCTATTAATCCTTAAAAAAATTCAATATTGTGATTATAAAATAATTGCGCTTACAGCTTGACGTATCTTCGTCGAATATAACGAATCTTAGATAATAACGAGCACTTGCCTTTATCAGTAATTAGAACTTGAAACGACGGTAGAAATTTGAGGTAAAGTGTCCGAAGAAAAAATAATTACAGCAGTCGTTATATGACTATCTTAATGATTATAGTGGACGACCTTACCTGGTGAAAAACTTCTTTTCGTTTCTCCCCGTGGAAGTTCTTGGGACACGGGTGATCGTAAAACCTGGCGTGATAGCTGATGCGCTTACGCAAGAGGACACTTAAGGTTGCATAAGTCTGTGCTGCTGGATGTTTCTTCATTTGCCTCAGCTGATAATACATTATTTCAGAAGGTGTCATGTTGTACGCGACTTCAAATTACATGCAGCTTAGATAAAGGATAGAATGGATGTTATCAGACGAAACCCAGTCTACTAGACGTCGTCACAGTACGTTATCTAGTTTGTTCTTACTGAGGTGTTACTAAAGTTTATGGAAATAAAACGAATTATACAATTGGGTTTTTAAATAAGATTAACCCTCTCTCACTAAAGCTTAGTGTGAAATACAAAAGTGCTCGTACTGGCCAGTGAAAATATATGGTACTAATGTATGAATCCTACTTAACTGGATATATTATCACTCTCCTTTAAGGACATCTGTTTACATGACTTGGATAGTTTGCATAAAATGATTACAAGAGCATGATTCATGAGACTTTGTACGATTGTGTAACCGAACATTAGTGTCGAGAAAGTGGAACACTATGAGGATGTAGAAGTAAAGTGACGAAGATCAAAAGTTAAAGAAGAAGGGGAGTATAAAGTTCTCTGATAGTGTACAGCCATTTGTAAAAGGTTCAATAGTGAATTTCTTTCTTGTTCTACACACTCGGTAAGGATCCTTCAGATTAATTATGACGGCCACGGACGAAACGGAACCTTTGATAGCTACAACCCCTTCCGGTGGTTCGGCATCAGCATTGCTGACTGCCTCTGGTAGTAAACAACGAGTTAACTATAATTCAGTGACTTTTGTAAGTATGACTTCACATAATAATAATACTATATAGCACCACGTGATTTAGATTACAACATATCAGTATTGACTGAATAATGTCGAAGTAAATGAACAATGAACTTTTATCTACTTTCATATAAAATTAGTCAGACCATCGGGGATCGTTAGTAGCCATTGACCTCGTCGGCCCAATTGTCTGATCAGTCAAGACGAAGCCCCATGGCGGAAGAAACTTTCGTGGCTTCTGTAAAACTCGGTGGCGGAAGTAACGTTATCCATATTGAAAATGCGAGTCACTTCGCGTGTCCACTACCATATTCATATTATTGGTATCTTGGTAATTACTCCATGCGTATTTAGTTGACGGCATTCCATAACGATCGAGGTCGTCATCTTATATAACGCAGTACGACGCTCACTGCCGTACATTCCCTTTCGATCAGAAATCCAATGCACGCTCAGTCGATGTAGAAAATTATAGGATGAACTGAAAAATAAAATAGTACCCTGTTATCAAGTAGGAAAGCCACGGAAATGGAAAGGATGTGGCTTACGCTGGTGGGAGCCCGGAAGACTGCGTTCGAATGGAACCAATAGCCACTGAAGGGGCTGCAGCGTCATCTACCAATTATCAAGGTGCCGGGATGCCTGATAAGATTACGTATACTTGGAGTGACATCAATGTCTACGTATCTGGTAAGAAGGATCGATTTTGGAAACGAATCTTCAAAGGAAATAAACTTGTCGAGCAGAAGCACATACTCAAGGATGGTGAGTACAGTGATTTGTTTATCTCTATTTTCTTTTAATTACTATGTTAATCATCAGTGTGCGGAGTGGCGTATCCTGGTGAACTACTCGTCATCATGGGTTCTTCCGGCGCTGGAAAGACTACGCTGCTCAATGCACTGACTTTTCGTTCTGGTCGTGGAGTCACTGTATCAGGAATCAGGGCTGCAAATGGACGTCGTGTTACTTCTACCGTTCTTACCTCAAGGACGGCTTATGTACAGCAGGATGATCTTTTTATTGGTACTCTTACCGTCAAGGAGCATCTTCTGTTTCAAGCCATGCTTCGTATGGACCGCGATATTCCATATCGTCAACGCACCAAACGAGTTGACGAAGTCATATCCGAGGTAGTGAGATTTTTGATGATTCAGGAACAAGTTTCAATTGTTGTTTTTCAATATCTTAAACAGATTCTTAAATCAGTATGGGTGTTACATAACTAGGTATGAATTTCAGTTGGCTTTGACAAAATGTAAAAATACAATAATCGGCATACCAGGACGTATAAAGGGTCTTTCCGGTGGTGAAATGAAAAGATTATCCTTTGCGTCGGAAGTCCTAACTGATCCTCCGTTAATGTTCTGTGATGAACCAACTTCCGGTCTGGATTCCTTCATGGCACATCAAGTAGTATCCGTTCTGAAAGCTCTGACCGGTAAGTTTTGTAAACATCTTATCTTATTTTATTTGTTATTTTTTTAATTATTAACTCAATTATTTATAGCCCAAGGAAAAACTATCATTGCAACATTGCATCAACCATCTTCTGAGCTTTTCGCATTGTTTGATAGAATTTTGTTAATGGCGGAGGGCAGAGTCGCATTTATGGGTAACGCTGAACAAGCATGTGAATTCTTTAAGACGTGAGTAGCACATAACCACATCATTATAAGTGAACAAATTTAAACATTGCTTAGTAGCTAATCAATACGAATCACTGTTATTCCCATAGGTTGGGAGCAGCGTGCCCAAGGAATTATAATCCGGCTGATTACTTCGTCCAAATACTGGCAGTGGTGCCGGGTCGAGAAGCATCCTGTAGACATTCAATAAATTCGGTCTGCGACACGTTCCAGCGAAGTGAACAAGGCATAAAAATCGCCCTCGAAGCCGAAGCAGTTCATGGAGATTTCGAAGATTCCTTAAGAGACTCGACAACAACAAAATCTCGTTCAGGTTCGCCATACAAAGCCTCCTGGTGTGAACAATTTCGAGCAGTTCTTTGGCGTTCCTGGCTCTCGGTGATCAAAGAACCAATCCTTGTTAAAGTGCGACTACTACAGACGGTCGTTAGTATAATATTACTTAAACTCATGAGTATGATAAATGATTAAAAAATATTATATACTCCAATGGTATTTTTCTGCATTAGATGGTGTCTCTTCTTGTTGGCGTCATTTATTTCGGTCAGCAAATAGATCAAGATGGCGTGATGAACATAAACGGTGCTCTCTACATTTTTCTCACGAATATGACGTTCCAAAACGTTTTTGCCGTGATCCACGTGAGTGTGATACCATCCTGAAAATGATTTCAAAGATGTATTAAAATTACAAAGAGTCATCGTTTACTCAATGACGTAGGTGTTTTGTGCGGAATTACCAATATTCCTGAGAGAGCAACGTAATGGGATGTATCGGACTGATATATACTTCATTTGCAAAACTCTGGCGGAAACTCCAATTTATATCGCTGTACCTTTTATATTCACTATGATTGCGTATCCCATGGTAGGACTTTGTCCAGGATTCAAACACTTTTTCATCGCTACTATGATCGTCGCACTCGTAGCTAACGTGTCAACTTCCTTTGGTAGGATTAAATTATATATTTACTGTCCTACTCGATTAGATAAAAAAAATTATTGAATTAAAAATTCAATTTCAGGTTATCTCATCTCCTGTAGCAGCAGCAGTCTATCGATGGCATTGTCAATAGGTCCACCCGTTATTATACCGTTTTTACTCTTTGGAGGATTCTTTCTGAACACAGCGTGAGTATTATGTATAATACAGGTCATGCCTCCTTCTGTCATCTACAACAATACATTTATAATAAATATATATTTAATTATCAGGTCTGTACCAGAGTACTTCACGTGGTTCTCTTATCTCTCATGGTTTCGATACGGAAATGAAGCGTTACTTATTAATCAATGGTCGGAAGTGGAATCGATAGCGTGCACACGAAGTAATGCCACCTGTCCAAAAACAGGTCACGTAGTACTTCAGACATTCAACTTTTTCGAAGTACGATTAATGTTTTCATTTTTAATTTAACGATTACCTGACACCAAAATCGGTATCTGAACCATGTATTATCTTTCCAGGAAGATTTTTGGACGGATGTGGTCAGCCTTGTTGCTCTGATCATAGCCTTCCGGTTCTTAGCATTTCTAGCTCTATTTTCTAAAACGTTCCATAAGAAATAATCATTGAAAATGTTTTCCAACTTCGATTAAACCTCATACTGCCACCATCATCGCCGTCAAGAAGGAGTCATCTTTTTTAGGTCTTCTCTGAATTATTCTGGATCAATTTCCGGATCTGCAACGATAATGATTAATATCGGTTTTACAGAATACACGCACGTGGGCTCAATACAAAATAAAGTATTTGTTTATGTATCAAAATTATGTTAAGAATATTGATCCTGAGTATTAATTTCTTTAGTCGGGAATCCTTCTCTCCCTTTTTTTTTTCTAAATCCTCTTCATTACTCATTTCCAATACCTTCATGTCGGTGTACAAATTAACCACAAGTGGTGACCTGAGACACTTATTTTCTAAGGACGTTTCCTGCCAGTGTGACCGCGCGTGGTATCGGTATCCCAGAAGAAACCGGTTGAAATATATACCGTGTGACCACGCATAGAAAAATGATTCACCCTGACAGCCCGGAAGTCCTCCAAAGATTGAGCTGGAAATAAGAGACACATGTTAAACAAGATTCTAAATTATTTTAACTATTAGATCAACATCTACAAGAATATTATAAATATAAGATGAAGTTTTACGTGTAAAAAAATGAATAAATATGATTTCATAATTACAGTTCTCAGATTGAATTTTCATTTAAGATTATATATTCAATACTGTATCTACGTGTTTATCCTACTGCGGTGAAGCGTTACCACGCTAATACGCTGTCTAGGGCGTCTAACTTCGAACATATCGAACGTATAGGGTTTCGGTTTTCGATTACCATATAATCCGACACTCCCTTCTCGGAAGGAAGATATTTCGAGCCTTAGGACATTGCACGCAGGAAAACAGTATATATTATGAAAAAAAAGAGAAAAATCATTATTAAGCTATTACAAAAATGTTGAAAAGTTTTATCAGAACTATTATACAATTTCCTGTTAAATTTAAATAATATATTTTTATTTTTTACAAATACAAATTTATAGTATATCGAACGATATACATATATCAATTATATATAAACTACTCCCTCAAACACAGATGCTAACTAGTTCTGTCACTATGACTAAAGGTGTTGAGCGAATCATATGGTGTCTTACCATATATGTACTTACCATTCACCACACACGAGTTTATTCTTTCTAGTGAATCTCAAACCATAAGCCCTCACCCTTCAGATAGTCGTTGACTAACCAACCGATCGCAGTTGCGCGCGTCTTTCGTCGCTAAGGTTTCTTCGTTATTGCTGTACGCGCACAAGTTGATCTTAAAAGTGAGATTACGACTTGTAATTGTAAATCGTGGTTGCTTTGTTATTGAAAAAAGGATCACTGGTTGACTGATAACATTGTCAGGTATTAGTGATAGCATTTAAAGGTGAACAATTATGGAAGATATACTTCAGGAGCTGGAGGACAGAACCCAAATACGACATGAGTCGTATTCTGCAACATCTGAAACGAAAGGAACGACATTATCATGGCGAGATCTTTGTATTTATTCAACATCACGTGGAAATCAAATTTCGAAACAGCTGGTAAACAATGGTGAGTGCTAATATATGAAATAGACAAATAATTTCTATCGGAAAGATTTACTTGAATTTGTATTTAGTACGCGGTGCAGTGAAATCTGGAAATCTTACGGCGATCCTTGGTGGGAGGTGATTATTTATAATTACTAATTGTAATAATTAATTAATTACCAATTATGACTTTTCTTAATTTTTCCAAAAAAAAATCAGCGGTGCAGGCAAAACATCACTTATGACGGCCCTGGCGTTTAGAACGGCCCGTAAGTGAATATTCGAAATGTCCAACCGTCATTTCGTATACAATTGTGTTATTTTATTAAATATATTTCTAATCCCCATTCATCCCATGTATGGTTACGATTTTATCCCAGCTGGTATTATTGCCCACGGTGACATTCTTGTTAACGGACGTCTTGTGGATTCGTCATATATGAGACAGCATAGCAGCTTCATGCATCAAGAAGATATCTTCATCGGTACTATGACAGTCATGGAGCATCTAACCTTTATGGTACAGTTGTTAAATATATTTACTGAAACATCTTTTACTTTACTGACTACAGCTAATCCCTAAGACCTCACGAGAAATTATAACCTCATACTTTATTCGCTGAACAGGCACGCATGAAGCTGGATCGGCGAATAAAGTCATCGGAAGTTCGACAAAGGATAGACAGCCTTCTCCGTGAGGTCGGCCTGTCATGTAAACGAAATACACGAATTGGTAGCGGTGGTGCTGACGATAAGGTTTTATCAGGAGGAGAAAAGAAGAGACTGGCATTCGCCACTGAAGTATGTCACTCGAATTTTTTTCTTGAAAAATAAAACGCGTATCGGGGTGTTGTCGTGTCGCCAGCTCACCTCGAGCAACAGGTAGACATTCGATAACATTACAATGGCCTTAGAGCAAGTAAGCTGCTACAGAATCACTTTCGCGTAGAGAAAACTTATTGCGCAACTATGCGTAATCGACCTAAGCTCGGTATTCAGTATTATAGAAATTAGTTTAAAGCTTTTTGTTTACAACGGCTCTGTACAAGAGGCACAGACAGAAATGCGTGTAACAGGTGTCTGAAAAATAATGCATTTTTTTTACTTTGGATTTCTTAAGACACATTGTATGTCATGTTGTTACGTTATTTTGCTTTCCCTGTAGATGCTCACGGATCCCAAGATTCTCTTCCTGGACGAACCAACGACGGGTCTTGATGCACATTCGGCTAGCGTCCTTGTGTCTCGACTAACCTCATTTGCCTCACGCAATCGAACTGTCCTCTGCACAATTCATCAGCCTAGTTCTGCGACCTTTGACTCGTTCCAAAGAATAATCCTCATGGCTGATGGACGCATAGCTTTTTCTGGCACTAGCTCTCAGGCTGTCAATTTTTTTGCAAGGTACGCACGTTGATCTAGATTAGCATCTAATATACATATTTTGAAATTTAATACTCGTGTTTTTTTTTTATTTCATCTTTCCAGTCAAGGTTACGAATGTCCCCGCAGTTATAATCCAGCCGATTTTTTAGTGGCGACATTGGCCATTGCTCCAAGAGATGAAGACAGTTGCAGGAGAACCGCGCAGAGGATATGCGATGCATACTTGACAAGCGACGCTTGCAAGGAACTCGACGTAATTTTGCAATTGGAATTGCACATTGCTCAATCATATGACGTAGGTATATTTTAAAAGTAATTAAACTAAGGGCATTCATAAAACTCTATTATTGTATTTTAGTGGAGGAAAAATCTTCAGGATGACAGAAATTTGTAAGTATTTAAATAATATTTTCTCTTCCTTAAAGATAGATCTCATTGTTATTATTCGGCATAATGGTAATCAATTATTTTGATTCTTTAGCGCAGAACCACACTGGTATTCGCGATTCTACTGGTTGACTCATCGAGGTCTTCTTCAGGTAGTACGCGATCCTTCTGTGCAGCTCCTGAGGATTCTTCAAAAGCTGGTAAGTCCTCGTGATTAATAAAAAAGATACGTGTTCCTTCAAGGGCAAGAGTGCGTAGTGCCTCGCAACAATGGCCGGTCTCTGCTTCGTGGGCGCGGTTAAATTCGATCAGAGAGGGATCCAGGCAGTTCAAGGTGTAATCTTCATTCTGGTTTCGGAGAATGCATTCTTCCCGATGTACGGAACACTTTCGGCTCTTCCTCAAGAGTTACCACTTTTCTTAAGGGAATACAGATCTGGCATGTATCCTGCCCATCTTTATTATTTGGCCCGGGTGATGTCTTTGGTAAGTTTATTTCAGTTGTGTACAGTATGATGTTATTGTCACTCATTTTTATCATTTTGTGTGGCCCAATTCTAGATGCCTGGACTCATCATTGAACCTATTTTATTCACTGTGATCGTTTATTGGATGGCAGGATTACGTAATACTATAGAAGCCTTTTCTATGACGCTTGTCGTCGTAGCCTTCACTATGAATGTTTCCACAGCTTGTGGTACGTATTTTTATTTTTTTAAGATTCAGAGAGTTAGAATGGGATTCATTTTATAGGATTCTTCTTTTCGGCTGCATTCGACAGCGTACCGTTGGCGATGGCTTATCTCGTGCCCTTTGATTATATTCTTATGATCACTATGGGTCCTTTCATTAGGCTGGGGTAATTAACAATTTTTTATAATTTAAAAAATATTTTGTAATATTATGTGTTTGATTCCAGATCATTGCCAATATATGTGCAATGGGTCAAGTATATATCTTGGTTGTTGCATTCGACTGAATCACTCAGTATAGTTCAATGGAAGGATGTACATAATATTTGTAAGTTATATAGTTCAGTATAATCTTTCATACGCTCCATTATCATATTATTTATTCGTACAGCTTGCGAAACAACCAATTCGGATCTACCTTGCATTACCGAAGGATCCGAAGTGCTTAATCGTTATGATTTTGACGAAGCGAATTATTGGATAGATATTTTATACATGTCGATCATTTACACCGGATTCCATCTTCTCGGATATTTTTGTCTGTGGAACCGTTGCCGTTCAAAGTAAATAACTGTATTCGAGCTGATACGAATCTATTTGCACTAACAACGAATAAAGCAAGATAAGTTAAATTGTTTGTATTTTTCGTTATATTACATTATATAAAATCTTTTGTGATTAAGTTCTTTTGGGGAAATATACACTTTAGGTACATGTGTCAATCAGCACATCAATTATTTTAGTGTCTTATGTATTATAATACTCTAATATACAATATTTTAACTAAAGTAGTGTATCTTCAGATCGGATATATTCTCCAATGTCTGCCTGATGAAAACAAATAGTTGACATTGGATCCGCATGCTTGCAGTCTGCTGTACTTTTACTCGTAACTCCAAAACCCTGCAATACATTGAAGAATTTAATAACCAGTTAGAACTACAGTTTGTTATTGATCTAAGGATTCTTACCAATGGCAAATCGTTCATGGAAAACACTACTATTCCCTGATACTGTGGTGTATTTTCTGTTATTCTACCTAGTCCAGATTTTGCAATGTGGTGTCCATAGAGGAACTGTTGTTCCGCTGAAGGTTTTACCCAAATTTTATACTGCAAGTAAAATGTATATTGAGAAAAGACTGACATTGACCAATATATAATAATGTCTAATATGAGTATACCTGTGCATGAGGAGCCAAGTAATTCAGAGCCGTTATGTGAAGTCTGAATTTTCCTGACTTAGTGAACTTTCCAAAACAAGTTCCTAAGCTTACCAAGTGATCAGAACCAACAGTACTAGCAAGAGACAATATTTTCTCTGACACATAATAAACTCTATCTTTTCTTTCTCGAAAACAATAAGTACCATCTGGTCGGTCTATCAAAACTTTTAAATTGTCTCCTAGACTGAAAACAAAATCATATGTAATATAGTATATTCGCATTTAACAGAATCATTAAAAATATTGCTGACAATATCAAATACTCACTATTTTGTAAGTTTTTCGAACACTAGTTTAGTCCTTTCTTCCGATAATCTCTTCATATTTGATACAAAAATTACTCTAAAAAATGTAATATTAAGAATTCCCGCACGAAAAGCACGAGGAGCAACGAGGAGTCAAACGCCATACAGAGATGAATAGGGAGATGCACAACGCTCCGGTTTTAGGCGATACCAAAAGCATGGTGCTAAATCGTAGCGGCAAGTCCGGAAATAGAAATATGTGATCATCGCCTCCGTCGATAATGCGGATCCCGTCGTAGCCCAGCTGACCACGATCACGAACGTGTAGCTTGGCGAGCAGAGGCTCTCCGCTACTTACCGCTGATTACCAAAGCAACACTTACAACGAGGCAGTTAATCGAATATAGCCTAAATTTTTTTTTTCTTTGGAATCCTAAGTTCGAGCACACAGTGTAAGCTCGGTAAGTTTAATACGACAAAAGCCAGCAACTAATGCCTGCCTGCACTGAAGCGTATGATGCCACCAGTATATTTAATAGATATTTTACAGATATTGCGCAACAGAACTATTGTTAAAACCTATCAGAAGTTATAAAACTTTTCGACATTTATTGAAAAAGCCTATTATTGAAACGTATTTAAGAAACTGCGGTGCCAACTTCATAACCGTGTAGCACCTCAATTTTTGGAAAATGTTTCATTATAAGGTATTTTCAATAGTTGTCGAGAAGCTCTATAGTTCCTGATAGGTTTTGACAATAGTTTTGCTACATAACGTCGTTAAAATACGAATTTTCCAAAAATTGAGCTGCTACACGGGTGTAAGCTCCAGCACCGCACTTTTTTAAATCTCTTAAAAATGATTCAACAACAGGCTTTTTAAATAGTTCTCGAGGAGTTCTATAGTTCCTGATAGGTTTTAACAATAGTTCAGCTACGTAACATCGGTAAAATACCTATTAAAGATAGTAGTCGCAACATACGCTTCAGTACAGGTTTTCACTGTTATTTTCAGATTGTTTCAAACAGTTCCGGATTAGTTCTCTCTAGTACTGAATGTTAGGAACATAGTTCCGCTTGGAACTATTGTTAAATAATGCTGGAAGCTAGCACCACATCGCTGCACTCCTTAACGCAGGCAGGCATGAGGTGCTGGCTTTTGTCTTAGTAAATGTTATCGAGCTTACACTGTGCACTCGAATTTAAGATTACAAAAAAAAAATATTTAGGCAATATCTGATGAGCGGTCTCGTTCCAAGGGTTGCTCTGGGAACCAGCGGTAGGTTGCGGAGAACCTCTGCCGGCCAGGCACACGTTCGTCATCACGTTTAGCTCGGCTACGACGGGATATGAATTATCGACAGAGGTGATGATCACAAAATCCTACTCCCGGTTTCGCCGCTACGATTTAGTGCCATGTTTTTGGTATCGCCTAAAACCGTAGTGTTGTGCATCTCCCTGCTCATCTGTATTTTGAGGAAAAAGGTGGTCCATGCACGTGGTGCATACAGTTCTTTGACGGTATATAACCTAGCCTAACTATACCTAATACTTATTTTTTTAAACAGTACTTCAGTGCATTAAAAAGATATTTCTAATTGCAGAATAAAGTAATTTCTAACAATAATGGATGAATCGGAGACAGTTGAAATACCACAGATAAAGGAATCTTTAAAAGATGACAACAATCCATATGCATACCTTGATAGAAATGATTTTACTTCAGAGAAGTATAAAATTGAAATTCGAGGATTACCAAAACATTATGGAATGGGAGAATTCAAAAAATTTTTAAATGAGAAACTTAATCTTGATACCTGCAAAGTGAAGCCACCAAAAAAAAACAATAGCTGGTTATATGCATCCTTTCGTAATGAGGAAAGTAGATCCAAAGCAATTTCAACCATAAATGGTATTTCTTGGAAAAATCATAAGCTAACTGCACAGGTATATATTCATGAATGAATATATGAATTAACATGGATAATTATAATTATGCATTATTTAATTAGGTTGCAAAACCAGCACCTGATCCTTTTATTAAAAGAAAACTTGAACAAGGAGACTCCAATAATAAAAGGTCAAAAGTTGATGAAGAAGATAAAGCTCTTTCACCTTCAGAACGTGTCAGAAACTCTACAGTCCCCCTGTGGAATATTCCATATACTGAGCAGGTAAGTGTAATATAATCATAATTGATATAAAAGATATACATCCATTTTTCCTTATTTTAGCTTGAACTCAAACAAAAAGAGATGAGAGGAACATTGTTGAAGATGGGACAACAAATAAGCAAAGAGAACAAGAGTTTAGCCAAATGGATAGACTTACAACAAAGTGTTCACCATGGTTTACTTTGTGAATTGCAAGAAATACGTAGTGCAGAGTTAATCAAGGGCTATAGAAATAAATGTGAATTTACTATTGGTAAAAATATTGAAGGAACGGAAACTATAATAGGTTTTAGGATATCTAGCTATGCTGCTGGATCAACAGCAGTTGGACCAATTCAGGATCTGTGCCACATTCCACAAAGAATGAAATCAGCAATTATGGTAGACCATGAACTGATCACTATGACATTCATCATTTCTTAAACTGCATTTAACAGTGTTCTTTTTTTTAGATATGTGAAGAATTTATCAAAAAGTCAAAGTATGATGTATTTAATCCAGTTGATCACAGGGGATATTGGAAGCAAGTGACAGCAAGAACAACACGTTGTGATCATTTAATGCTGATAATAGGAATGAATCCTCAGTGTTTATCAGTTGATGAATTAAACGAAATAAAAGGAGAAATTCGAGATTATTTTGAAAATGGAAAAGGTCTTGAAGCAAGAGTGACATCTCTGTATTTTCAAACAATAAGTTTAAGGTATATCAGATAAATATGCATTGTTCATTTATTGGAATATAACATAAAAATGCTGTGTATGAATATGTAGAAGTGCTGGTGGACAAGATGGTGGTACTATTGATCATTTGAGTGGAAGAGAATGCATCCAAGAGATATTGCTAGACATGACCTTCCGTGTATCTCCAGAAGCGTTTTTTCAAGTGAACACTATGGCTGCAGAAATACTTTATAAAACTGCAATAGAACTGGCTAATCCTAACTCTGATATTGCCCTATTGGATGTGTGCTGTGGTACTGGCACAATTGGTCTTTGTTTTTCCAAGGTTTAACATGTTTTCTAATATATAATGCCACATATTTTAGGATTTCTTAAATATATTACAAATATTACGAAATATTTAGTTTTGTGGTGAAGTATTGGGACTCGAGATGGTGAGCAATGCTATTAAGAATGCCAGAGAAAATGCCATCAAAAATGATGTTACCAATTGTGAATTCTTTGTTGGAAAAGCTGAGGACATTTTGCACACTGTCATACAGCGAACTTCTAAAAGCAGTATAATAGCTGTAGTAGATCCACCTAGAGCTGGTCTACGTACGTAACACTTTTAAAGATACATTAATTGCACCAAAAAATACAAAAAAATCTCATGCTACTATTCACATTACAGATAAAACAGCTCTGCTCGCATTACGTAGAGCAAAGAAATTAAAGAAGCTGATTTACATAGCCTGTGATCCAAAGGCTGCGATCAGAAATTTAGTTGATCTAGCGAGACCAACGTCTAAACAGTATGTTGGTGAACCTTTAGTTCCGATAAAAGCTGTACCAGTAGATATGTTTCCCTACACTAAGCATTGTGAGCTGATCATATGCTTAGAAAGAATATCTGTAGTTCAAGAGCATAATAAAGAACTCATTGTGAGTAATGACAGATGAATAAACATTGACAACTTAATGAAAATGAGGAATTATCCATTCCATTTATACCCACAAAATCTCTCTATCTGCTCATATATTTTATCTTTGAAATACAGACTGATATTAACACATGACTATGCATGCATATAATAAATATTGATAAGATTATTATTTATATCACTACTGGATTCTTGTCCATACTAGAATTATGAATTCTTTATATTTTGTACGATATACAACTCAAAATAACTAACCTGTCACGGGTTCACAAGTACGTTGGCAATGACATCCAAACTTCCGTTCTATAATTTTATTGTATATTCGTGACTAGCGATTCAATACTCAATCCTTTGAAGAACTTGTTTCGCGTCAAAGTTGGTTTACATTTATTTTCTGGTAGAAATTGCTGGAAGAACTGGTCTATATACATAACTACAATTGCACTCGTGATCTTCTTGATTTAACATATTCCGGAAATCTAGTCGCAATTCGAAGAATACTAGTAAAGCGGAAAGGTGGCCTTTGTCCACAAAACTGTTTCACCAGTTAAGATCAACGACCGTATGAACGATTGACAGTTTGCAATAAGTTCGCACAGCAATGTTTACGTCAGGTACAATTATACTGGAATGTATCCTTGAAAAAGAAATTATTTTTTTAAGAATACATTTTTTCAAGTAATATTTCGCCTTACATATATAAAGGAAACGCAATCGCCACGCATGACTTTTCTTGATTAAAAATCGTAATCCAATTTATCAGGCTTCCTTGAAATTGCCGAATAATGTGCATAGAATATTGCTGTTCTTTCTTAATCATTTAATTCTGCAAAAACTTCATGTGTTACTATTAATATAAAAAAAAGCTCAGTCAGTCTTTTATATACATATAATGTTTCACATACCAGATTTCGTTCTAATTCTGTATCTATATTTAAAATACAAAAAAAAAATGTGTAACAAACCAAAGTGACAAATGAATCAAATTACAGTGCTCAAATTTCGGAACTTCATTTTGTAATAAAAGAATATGCATTTACGCGACAGAACAATAGAGTGACCTCAAATAGGTTAGTAAGTGTGTCACAGAGTTTGTACAAAGTACGTGGCATTGTTTATTATTCATTCTGTGATATAATAAATACGCAAGGGATTCAGTAAGAGAATTATTTAACCTTGAGCCCACTTCTATAATTTTCATATTACATTAACTCAAACCATCACGTATTAATATTCAGGTTGCTGAATGAATTTTGTTCATACAATTCACTGTCAAGTGTTTAACACATAACACAGCTATTTTGTATAATCCACAATTTTAATGTATTGAGGTTATAGATTATGAACTACAATGTATTAAAAAAATACATATTATACTGTTATACAAAGAGTACAATTTTATTCCCCTCCTTATTGTCGAATGACAACTTATCTCAGTGAAGTGTCAAGTACAGCGGACATTAACACTTGTATATCTATATATAGGTATACCGATAAACAGTCTCACACAATTTCTATACAAATCATCAACGTAGTGAGTGCTGGTTGGAGAGTAATGACAGTCTCTTCAAGGCAATTCCATCTGTTTATCCTAAAGTTGATTTCCTGTCACTCAATTTGGTGCATGAATCCCGTAGATTTTCAATGAAAATTTACATGCATATCATCACGTTGAAAAATTCAATATGTATTTCGATTATCGGTGAATATCGATAATGTATCGATCTGTTCAACGTAGTCAACAATAATAACAACATCGATATTGTCGAAAAATAATATTTGTAATTGACACATGTAGTAATTTTAATATACAACTCGACAAGGATGAACAATTTTTCGCCTGATTTCTATTTATACGGTAAATCAATGATTGCGTAATTAAAGAAATCTGGCAATCGATTCGATACCTCATTAAAGTCACGGAGTTTAATCGACTTTAAGGGCTTACTAATATCAAGATCCGAATTTATTCTGTGTTTAATCATCCGCGTACATTCTAGAGGATCATGGGTATCCTTCACTTTCTCCAGTTTGGAAGAGTGCCGACGGAGAAAGTCTAACAAGTGTATTGCAAACTGATTCAAGATTCATAGGGAATGGCTTCAATATACAATGTCGATTTTATGTTCTAAATTTAATAAATTTGACACGAGAATATTTCTGTTAAGCATAAAAGTGCAGTACGATTGAATTTTAATGAGTAACCGCAGTTTAATTCACACCTATTTAATTGAAAATAAAATCAAGTTGACTCCGACATGAAAAATAAAATCAATCATTTTATTCGTTCAAGACAAAACCATTCTTTGTCGGATGATCGTGACGGTCGTTTACGTAATGGAAGAAAGTTTTTAACCGAATGTACCGTGTATTACGTATTTCCACCAAACGTGAATAAATATCCCCAGTTATATTTGTCACGCATAATTCTATGGTTAGCAGAACAATTTTCTTGAATATTACATGAAAGTTCCTGGCATGATAAAAAAATTCATTTTACAGCTAAAAAGCTGATCGATAAAATATTTGAATATTTTAATGATAAATAATATGAAAAAAAGTCAATACAAAAAATTTACCATAAGATTTTTAGTTCAGCATGTATACACGTTAGAACGAAGTATATGGACCAAAGGAAAATCTGACCAGTCAGCCGGTAACAATACAAAAAGTTCAATTCTAGTGACCTGTACCCAACAAGGTATAGCTACCGCCTACCTACCTGCCGTTTTGCACACTTGAAGCAACGAAAAAGGGAAGCACAATGACAATGGAAACCCGAAGAAGGAATTTCGCTGTCGTATAAGATTTTTGCATGTAAAATCCAACATACGTTCCAGCGATCATAATCTCAGACAAATTGTGACCGTATCCTTATCGCTCTCATTAAGACAGTCAAATATTCTTATATCGTTAGAAAGCTAACGATTTCACCGTTTACAAATTTTTCGTACACCGTCCACCTAAACAGTATGTAACGTTACATACGCAATTTTCAAGTAACAGTATCTTCCTAGAATTTCAACCAGGATCTAGAGTTCATCGTAAGTGTTAAAATTCAATTCTTTTTTGAATGTTAATTTTTAATCGATAATAATAAAGATACTCTCACCGCTTCTTTTTTTCTACGAATCAAATAAGAAAACTAGAATCGTACAAGAAATCAGACGTCATTATGCGGACACCGACCATCCGGAAGAAAGTTGTGCTTATGCTTGACTTCTGCTATGCTATGCCATGCCGTCAATACAAGGTAAGGCACGGAGATGGTTATATCACCAATGTGGAGGGGGAGACGAAAGGAGAAACAGAAAAGAAACAAGACTCAAACTCACCATAATACTTGGTACATCCATTGAGGTTAGACTGTCGAGGGCGAAAGGAAAGCCAAAAAATTAAACACTACGGCAGTTACGTGGTTATACGATTCACCCAAACTCCGCAGGAAACCAGATTTAACCTGAGTAAATAATACGAATCCATCCTCCGAAGTAGACAAACTTCTTTTGTTAACGCGGTCATCGCAAAAGAGGAAAGTAATTTACTATTTCACGTAAAATTTCACTCTCGAGTGTCAAGACGTATTAAAGCCTGGAACACAGTATCTAACCTAACTTACATTTCTGACAGTTATTTTGAAAAGCAGCGACGTTCGGGACACTGAACTCGAATAGTAATTAAGAAGAGAAAACATATTTGTACCGTAACCGGATACTTTGCATAGAAAATACTATTTTTTAATATATTACAATTGTAAAAAGGACCACTAACTATTTTGAAACGCCAACGTACTCGACCCTGTTTATAATCCAAGCGACGTACGTCGCAAAAAGATATAAAGAACCTGTCCTTCTGTAACTCGTGGTAAAACAGTTGCAATATACCCTTGCGTAATAATATACATTATATACATTATATACAAATAAACAGCACGAAATTTCAATTATCACAGTTTGTTCTTTACGAAATCACTCGAAATTACAATCCAGTCAAGAATTCATCGGTAATGAGGTTGTCACCCGTGTTATCACTTCGGTATGACATAGCTATAGAATTTTTAACAAAACACTTTTCACTTTGATCTTACAAAGAGAAAATTACGAGTATTGACAGTGCAGGTCCTTACGTAGGTAAATATATCCTTGAAACATACCAAAAATAAATATTAATTATTTGAATGAGAACAGTAATCGTAATACTTGGCACAGCCATAAACTATGTAGGAGGACGATGATTGGCTTAGTCTATTTTTGTATACACATATATATCCTTCGTAAGAGCAGACGACAATGAATAAGATGGCTGGATTATTAATCTGTACTGTCATCTGTAAACGCGTAGGTCTTCTTCCTTCTGAGTGTTTGAGTTATCCAATTATTCATATTAAATGGGTCTAATGCACGAGTTTATTAACTGATAACTATAGTAAACTCACTAGAGTTATATATATTAATTAATCGTTCTACTTAGAGGAAAATGACTGTTACATACGTCACAACGGCGGCCCCCTTGATGTAGCTTGATGATGTCGCTGAGTCCATTCTCTGCTTTCACAAAAATTGTGAGAATAATTTTAAGCCAGATGTTTGTGACAACGTTGAGTGTCAGGTAAGATAAGCTGTTCGTTAGAAATTTGGAAAGTGGGATAAACAGTGATAATACATTTTGAATTTTTTTTATATTTTTCAGTTTGATACTGGAATACATGATTGTAAATTTGAGGATTTTTAAGGAATTTTTTATTGATCGATCAAGTGCTTAATCGATGGTGACTGATAATATTTACATCGATAATAAAAGTAGGTCACAGGTCATAGTTGCATAAAGGAAGATTCGAGGGCAGGATATCTTGGTTATGTCTACCAAGGTTGTATATCGTCGACTGACCTACCGCAATCTGTAATTAATGATTACGCAGATCTATCAGAGGAGCAAGGATATTACTATTAAAGAATAGGTTCAGTTTTACTGGGATGTCTATGTTATTATGGAAAAATGTATAAGACTAATTTATTTGTCTCGTCGTTATGAATAATTATTGTTGGAAAGATTTGTAAGAAAATTAATATTTTTTTAGAAAAATAGATTTTAAATGGTTATTTTAATTTGCTGGTAATTACAAAGCTCAAAGTTTTTAGTCGTTAGAGCGCCTTTCGGATCATTAAAACAGATTTACAATATGTTATGTTTGAATTTTTTTGTAGTTTCATCAGATTCGAGGAATAAAGACAACGCGTCTTTTTGGAGTAAATATTTACAGGTGACAAGCCATAACAATGTTCATTAGCTTGCGTCACTCGTTAACCATTATCGTCAAATTTTATCACATTTTTGTCTATCGAGGATACAAAGTTTCGCCCTCTGACCTGTAGTACCCTGGAGTCTAATTAAGCTGAAATAAACGATAAGAATTTCTTTTGTTCTTTCAATCCCGATAATTGAGACACTGACATGAAATATATATCTGTTATATTTATAAAAAAAAAAGGAATACCTTGTATGTTTCGCGTGTAAATAAAGTCATTTCTGAAACCCAGTTTTAAAATCTTCATAAACGTCGGTAATGTAGGAACTGTTTGTAGGGGAAAATTGGAGCATGTTTGTAATGAGATGTAAACAATGTGTCTACATAATAATATATATTTGGAGAAACGAAGAATCGTATGACGCACGCGTTTTGAATCTTGCAGGAAAGTGTCTTAAATGTACCGTTATATTTTTAAGTACCTCGGGAAAGTAACGTGTAATTCTTGAAATACATTTTGGAGAAAGCAATAGACTTTAACCCTTTACTGTAATAAGGTGACATTTCGCAATTGAAACATAAGTTTGTGAACGAATAAAAATTAATTTAGTCATATGAAAAAATTGGGGGATTGATGATGTTGGCCCAGATGACGTCATCGCCTTGGGCGTAAGTAACGCAGTTTATTCAAAAATTGCTTATGTCGGAACGTGCGAAGGACGCTTGTGCGATAATCTGCGCGCATGATCTTCCAAACGAGAATAATACATTTAAATTGACAATATTTCGTGAAACCTCGATGAAAATGACAATGACATTGCTTCGTTTCAAAACTGGAGCAAATTACTTTACTTCAAAGTGGGATCATTATGTTGTCTAAATCCGTGAAGGACGTTTCGCATAAAGAACGTTGGAAAAAAATGTTCCTTTTCGAAAAATTCCAAAAACAAAATTTTCCAAGAATCATCTACCTGTTCAGGTAAGAGCTTCGAAATATTTGATCGTCCTTTAAGCCGCCTATTCTGTAACGAACTATTGTTGCATGAAACCTTTTTTTTTTTCGCAAACTTGAATTTCATTTTCGAAAAAGATTGGTGCATCACTTTTTTTAGGCATGCATTACAGGGTTTTTGTAAAAAATTTTATTATAAAAATTTATCAAAATATTGTGAAACCATGAATCATTCGTAGATCGACGATGAAATAATCTTTGCTGAAGACAATCCTTTTAATATTCTTTGTCAAACAGACAATCTTTAACTCTCGCGTATTATCAGTTCTACAATATTTAAATTCCTCAAATGCATTGTTCCGCTCCGCATACCACAGTAATCTAATCTCTTCGCTTTTACGTACTCAAACAAATTTCGATATCAGCATGTTCGGTGGAAAACACGTAACAAAGTACATTATGTAAATTGTCAAATAATAGAAAAAAAAAATGATCCGCTACCACAACAATAAATCAAAATCTTATAAATCGATCTATAACGATATATCAAATGAATGCATCGAAAATTGATAAAACTTTTCCCAAGTAAAATTCCTCGCGTATCCCTCCAAAAGTCCGTGCATTTAAAGTGGGTCAATTTCGCCGCCATTGGACACATTCAAGTAGTAGCCGATGGCGTTAACGGAACCAAGCATTCTGTCCAATCAACCGATTCTCCTTTAACCTATATAATCACAGTATTCATAAACATCTCCCGAAACTTTGAGGTTACCGGAACAAGTGCATAAAAAATAAAAGTCCATTTAAAAAGAATAATCTCTCGTAAAATCCATGAGAAAACGGCAGTGCGTATATAACCAATAAAAGGGAAGCGTTCGTAAACTCACTGAAATATATTACAACACGAGACAATTACAATAGCAGCCGTCGTACGACAATCTTACGAATGCGTCGTTATTCACTGAAGTGTGACGCGAATAATTATTACTGTTGATTTCGATCGAAACGAGTAGTCGAATCGATGCGAGGTTCTCGGGAGTCGATATTACTCGGGGTTAACGACGCGCGCTTAACCACACGTTTAAATATAGATAGGGAGGTAGCCTAAACTAATACGGAAGTGCAAACTGGATAAGTGTAGCAGCAACGCATTATCCATAAAGAGAGTAATGAAGCCCTTTCGACCCCTTCCTACATCGAAATACTCAACGATCCTCAGCATAAGACCCCACCATCGGCAAGATACGTCCTGACTGTCCCGACCGTCCGGTCGTTTCTGACCGTTCTTCGAGGTGGTGGTGGTGGCGATGGTGGTGGTGATGGTGGTGGTGATGGTGGTGGATGCCTCTCGAATGCTAGAAGAGTCATGTCGTTCTAGAAGCTCACTACGTGCTCAGTACCTCATCACCCTTCATTCCGTTCGAACATTCCCATTGTCAATCACCATTAAATGACGAACGACAAGTGTTATAATATTGAAGTGAGCAAGATGGAGTAAAAACAGCTAAGTTCTTGGTGTCATCTTAAAATTCATCATTGAAATTTTCGCAATAATTAATTTAAACAAATTATCATGGAACTGGTTAAACCAATGCTTAATACTGTGAATTAAGTATATATTTGAATAAAATGACGTTACTGTAGTTCGATTAAATTTTTATCGATTATTGGGAAGTCGATATTGGCTGATCGACCTGTCAAGCGTATTGGAGCTCGTGAAATAAAGTGTGCGAGAAAGTCAACTTTCGTTGATTTCCAGTCAATAGTAAGGTGAGATATGTATGTATGTATATGGTGACATATAAATATGTATATTTTAGACATTTTTTAATTTGCATATCTGTCATTGATTCTTGTTCGATTTGAAACTCCCGCCGTTATAAATTGAAATTTATAATTTTTTTCTAAGGTATAACACGTCACAATATATAAATAAATAGGTTAATTATTTTTACTATATTTGCCGTAACACGTGACAGGTCATTGACGTTAAGTATGCTGAAAATTAATTCGGAAACAACGTGCGTTAGATGCAGACAATTAGTTAAGGTGACGAAGAAAAAAATAACAAAGAAATATCGTTAATAGTTCATAAAAATTTCACTGGAATATTATACAAATAATATGAAACAGTCAAGAGATAAATATTATTACAAATATATTATATAGCGTTTATCGTATAGTTCATGCGAGATCACTACCTTCATTTTTAACTGTCGCGATGATTTGTACATGAATTCACAAATTCGTTTCACAATGAGTCAGTTGGTATGAAAAAACAGTCTATATCAACAGCGATCCCATCTGCTGTTATGACAATGCAAATCCTCCTTTTAATATTAGTTCATAATACGCTCAAATTACTGCACGGATTTGACGTTTCGTAACCATAGCAACATGAGGTATAATATAGGTAAAGAAATACTTTAAAAAATACTTAAGTACAGCACAGTCTAATTGTCCAACAAATCATTGCTAATACAAAATTCTAGTTTGAGTGACGGGTTAGCTGTGGTTGTCAACTGACTTGTAGATAGTTGACTTCATAACCTCTAAATACCTGTAGTACAAAAGGAATATTAAAATTAGTTACGATCGTGAAAATTTACTTCGATTTCTTTGTAATTATTTATTTTTTTCCTGTCACAATATACAAATGACAAACGAGACTTTTCATTCGTTACGTTATATATTTTTTTAGACTTCGTAATAAAAAAATTATAGATGACACTTTCGGAAGAACCTATAGAAATTGATCGTACTAGAAACATCTCACAAGGATATCAGACACGTATTGTTCTAACAGGAGGATCAAATTTGAATGCGGGTAGTATCGAATTAATCATCACGTAAAACTCATACAGGATGTACGTGCCTCTCTATAAATTTTATATAACGAATGAAAAGGTGATATGATCGAGAATAAAATTGCGCAGATGATTTGACCATAGAGTTACATGGAACGTTTCGTTGAATTGAAACGAATTAATATTTTGATAAATTGTAACAGAAAGTTCACCTTGGATAATCCATCCGACATAAGCAGGTACAGTCCTAACGGTGAATATAATATTTATATCTCGATCTCGTGAAGTTCAAACCAGTTGATGGAAAAATATGAAAAAATTGACATATATGTGGAAATAAGCGAATCGCAACTGACAAAAAAAGTTCTACTCGACAACCTTGCCACGATTCCCTGTGGTACAAGCGCCGCCGACTTGTAACGAGAAGTTTTGCAATGCATTCGATATAAATAGTATAATATCGGCACTTGTACGCAGCTGCGATATTTGTAGCTTTTAATGCATCAATCGATCCTTATATGATGCATGTGTAAAAAAAAAAAATTCGGAGAAAATTGTCAGCTATAATACAAGGTAGTCTGCTTCATCAATTAATTTGCGAGCGCGAAGACAAAAATAAAAAATTTTCAAACGCAAAATATTCTTACGTAAATGCGTCTGTGCTTTGTTGCGTCACTGTTTTTTTTCTGTGGGATTTACGTTTTATTGCAGAAAGTACTTCGGTATCAGTTGTACTCAATAGCATACAGTTGCACCTAGTGCTCCTTTTAAAACGAGAGAAACACCTTCACTTTCCTAGTTTCGAGAGGGGAAATTGAAAGTGCCAAGATTTGTTTTGCGTGTACAGAATGTCAATATCTACAGGATACGATTTGACAGAGATGAACTATCTGAAGATTGTAGATAATTATTAAATAATGATAAACAATGAAAAAAATTAGTCTACCCACTTCAAATTAAATAATTATGAACAAATCTTTTTGATCGAATCATACAAATCTTACCGTTACGTAAATTCATAGTTGTTTTATGTTTTTAAAAATCTTTGAACGCGAACGCAACCATCTTGGATGCTGCTGACGGACCAACCCAGGTCAGTTTGGTCCTTTCGAAATGGTCAGGGACCGTCTCGAAAAAATTCTTTGCATTCCTGAGACCCTAGTTACATTATATCTTGAGGGTTCAGGTCTTTTTTTTCTTAACAACTCCACTAAATGCAACCCTAATTCTATTGGAACGTGCAGGTGCGTCCACAACGTATGTACATTCACGCACCCACCACATATTTTCTCCTGACCATTACGGTGCACGCACTTGCGCTCTCACTTTCATTCTGTCGGACGTAAGCTTCTGAGAAAAGGAGACTGAAGTAACCCATATAAATCTTCGGAGCGATTTCTGAAAAAATTCGAAGTTAAAATTTCTCCCGGATAGAATTAAAATAAATTTATATAATTACACTAACCCTTCTAATACATATACATTAATTAGCTTCAATTAAATCCCCGCTAAAAACTTGCTAATTATTTTACTCGACGCTTGGACAATTTGATCTAAATTTTTTTAATTAATTTCAATTGTCCTATTAGCATTCCATAAATCTATACTATTATTTCCTATTGCACCAGTAAATTAATTCATGAATTTAATCATCCATAAAGTATATCTATCGATAAAAAGTATCTTCCTCATTCATTCGTTTCCTCGAAACAGAAAATTTGATATCCACGCATAAACACAGCATGTGATGTGAAAGTGATCCGTGACCAGGAACGATTTCCTATTTTACTATTATCGGCTGCACTTTCGTCATTACTTCATTACGTCTTGTGTTTCTATACCAGTAAGTTTTCCCCAGTAGCGAATACACAGCGATTATTAAGATTCATCATTTTTAAGATGATTTTGACAAGACTATAATCTCCATATAGAAACATTATATCAGCAACTATGAATAAGTTTAGAATACTGCTTCGTGTCCGCTAACGATATCGTTCAATCTGTATTATCTTATACATATATGTAGATACCAGGCCACTTCCCGTACACAGGGTTACGTATGACTTCCCTCGTAGCAAGTGTAAGCGCAGCGTTCAACGAAAGATAACAGATCATAATAATCAGTTTAAAAATGAAAAATCGTAAAAAAAATAAATATGCTCAAAATACGAGTATCGAAAGCCAGAGAAATGTCATTGGATGAAGGAATATAAAAAATATGACGAAAAATGAAAATTAATAGATAACAAATTATTAAAAAATAATTTTACTAGTTGCTTCCATGCTGTTAGCTAACAACGTGTCTGCTATGCGTAATTTCACAGTTCCAAACGAATTCCACGAATGACAAAATTTTCAACTATTACGTATGCCACAAAAACATACACATGAATGAATTAGCATAAAGCATAAGAAGTCATTGGCTTAGGTAAGTCCCTGATCAATAGGTCAGCAGTATAAACTTTCCTCCGTGTTCCATAAGTCGTGTTACTAAAATAAATTCAATATACATTTGCCTAGTATAAGTTACACAATGAAAAACAATGAATTGAAATATTTTACTCGCCGTCATTGATAGTAGCCGAACTTGATTAAAGAAATGCGTGTTACGCATGTATCCAGAGTGTTATTCAATCGTGCGCGTCTAACATGGCTGACAGGTTACCTAATGACGTTAAATAACTTTCTCCAGTCCATTCGACAGTCACCGGGATCTCCGACTGCTTGCGGTAACTCCCATTTTTCCATAAGGTTTAAGCACTCGTATCGAGTCTACTTGGAACATGGAATTTTGCTTTATGCCAAAGGACTCGTCTTTTACTTTTATCGAGGCAACCTGAAACTTTGACTTTCCTCAATATTTTCTCAGACAACCTTGTACTTAACGTCCATGGCGTTGTACGTTGATTACGCCAGCATCAATTTCATCACGAATCGATTTCTAATTACGTGGCGATTTTCCTGGCTAAAATCACAAGGACGCTATGCACTGTCCATTATCAATAGTCGAGTGACTGGAACAGAGTACTGCTCCGCCAAAGGAAACGGAAGGACAAACGAAAACATCCTTGTACCTGGTCCAACGCGTAACCTTTCGATATTGCGTTACAACGACGCGTAACTAATTTTCATTTGAAAGTTTGGCATGGACACTATGGATAGCGGCCATTTTTATACTTTTTTTTATTACCCTTGTAACTGGACCGATGTGAAATTTTGAAAATTTGTCGATCCTCGTACGTCTTATTTTTATTGTAAATTAATACAAAGAGCGGGTTCCCAATGGTTTACTTCCTGGTAGAGAAGGGAATGTTCATTCATTAAAAAATTGATTGGCAATTGTTTAGAGCGTGCTTGATCATATATGCTTACCAATCATTTTTCCAATGTTTATGTGCGAGCACGTAAGGCTACTATGTGATGAAACGAACTTCAGAACTGTGTACATCCAAGCAACAAACATTCTCCTTCAGTTTTCTAATTTTATATTAAAAAATATTATTATTATGGAAATATAATGTTATTCAATTCTTTTATATACGTATTTTATAGACGTGTGGGGGTTTGCAAATTTTATTGTCAAAAATTATATTTTTATAAGGATCAAAGCTTTGTTGACGATATGCGACAGTTTTATATGAAATGATCATATGAACTCTGTGGGAAAGGAAGCTACTATAATTAATACCTATGTGTACTATGTATGTATATATACAACTAAATACGTAATCTCTGGAGACGAGCCTTAATTTAAGTAACACGACTCAAGCTGCTTGGTTTCAGGAAATGAGTCCTTAAGGTCCATAAGGAAATTTCTTTCTTTGGGAATGACTTTCCTGACAAAAAAAAGTTACTTTAATCCTCCATTGTCATTAGAGAGACAATAGTCGGATTACAGAGAATGACAAATCATGTAGATAACGCGTTATGACTTTCAGTACAGTTGGAATGATATTTATAAAATTTTGAAAATTTCTAAGGGAAGACTTTCTTATTTTTCAAGATTAAAGACATATGTTATATAAAAAGTTCATTATCTACTAATCGCGTTCATATTATGGATACATGTCTGATTGTCAGTGACTATAGAATTGCATGATTGTTCAAAGGCCTTAGTATCTCCTTCGTATACATATTAGTAGGTACTGATAATTTAGTATCTATACATAATGGTAATCACGTGATTTGTCACAACGTGACAGTTGAGTAGAAATTATAATCTGTTCCTCCCACCATTACGTAAAGTAACCTAAGCAAGTGTCATGGACACGTACATTTACCTGGATTAAAAGTAAGACTTACGTCATATTAAAAATCGTTCAATTCCTTGAACCCTCAGAATCGTCCAATTACTTTTCACCATAGGATTTTCCCTGTTCATAATTGGCATGAAACTCATCTTAGATTCGCGGCATGTTTTCCCCTTCTTGGCAATACAAAGTTCTCCTGTGGTACGTGAAGTTCCGCATGGAGGAATTATTCAGTGTCCATTGAAACTTTCTTAAACCAGCTTCTTGCCATGCGTCTCGGCACGAACGTTGTACGAGATAAATGACGTCTGATGTATGCTTGACCTGAACCAGTAATTGTGAAGTTATGTAGGTTATGTACTGTATTTATATATATTAATTCAATCTTTGTTTCATTTTTTTTTCTTTTCGTTTTATTTATCACCCGTTCGCTGTTCCAGATTTTTATTTCTCATGCAATCAATAATGATACGCGCACTTAATATGACTTTCTAGTCGTATATAAGATTTCATTTAACTTTTCGGGCACTTGGAAATATAATGTATGAAAAATTAAAATTTTTCCTACATACGAACTATACTTAATTGAAAGATATAACATTATCTCTTTATACCAAGGAAATATTAATATAATACGAAGTAGATCTCGCAATCTGTACACGCATGATTAGTAGACCTGAACTTTAAGAGTTGTTCTATGCACTTCGCAAGTTTGTTGTACATCAGCAGTCAGGTTTAAATGATTTTCTCGTAGATGCGGTGTACTCTCACCTGCGTGGACGACTTGCTAAACCGGGCCTTCCACAAAATCGGTCTGGTAGTCGGACGACATCCTGGATACTTCGTGATAGTTCCGGTACTCCTGGCCTGTATTTGCATCACAGGCTATCAAAAAATTCACTACGAGATCGATCCAGAATATTTATTCTCGCCAATAAATGGTCCTGGAAAGTATGAGCGTGCCATAGTCGAGAAATATTTCAAAGTAAATTACAGCCACCATTTCGACGTAGGACGAATTACCCGACCAGGTGAGAATTAAAAAAAATAATAAAAAAATTATCACAACAATCACTGATATTCACGCGATCTACATTGTATTACCAGGACGATTCGGACATGTGATAATTATTCCAAAAGATGGCGACAGTAATATGTTACGAAAAGTTGTTTGGGACGAGCTGCAACTTCTTGACAACGTCATTAAGAATGCGACAGCAACTTACGAAGGAGAATCATTTACTTACGAGCAGGTCTGTGCTCGTTGGCAGGATCAATGCTTTAACAATGACATCTTGAGTCTACACCATGTGATTGCGTAAGTAACAAGCCGGTGCGGCAACCGAGCGAAACGTTGCCGTGTCAAAAATTATATTTTCATTAGAATCTTTTCAGAGAGGTCGAGAGTCGCGAACTGAACTTAACCTTTCCACTGATGCTGAACCCGGTCACTTGGGATACACATTTATTCCCAGTATATTTCGGCGGCAGTGTCATCACCGAAGATATGACAATCGAGACCGTACCTTCCGTGCAACTAGCCTACTTTATAGCAGCCGACAACAAACGTCAGGATGCGATGTAAGTCGGTACAAAGTGAATCAAGCGAGAGTCTACACGACAAACGTAACGAATCGAAACGATCTAGCAAATGGCTATCTATTTCACATTTGTACCAAAACAACTTTGCAAATAGTAATATATATTATAATATTAATTCATACTTTACCGTAACATTTTATGTGAATTTTTTTATCAGTGGCGCAGCATGGGAAGAAGCTTTTCTGGATGCAGTAGGCAACGCCGAAGATTCTGGTCTTTTCAAACATATCAGTACCGCGCGATTCGCGTCTAGGACTTTGGAATTAGAATTGGAAGCTAATACAAAGACCGTGGTACCATATTTCTCGAGTACCTTTGCAATTATGGGTCTTTTTTCTGTGGTCACTTGTATGATGGCTGACTGGGTGAGGAGTAAACCTTGGCTTGGTTTACTGGGAAATATTTCGGCGGCAATGGCAACAGTTTCAGCCTTTGGGATGTGCATGTATATTGGCATCGATTTTATTGGTATCAATTTGGCGGCACCGTTTTTAATGATCGGTAAGGAAAATTTTTTATATTAATTTCTTCTCTTCTTCTGTGTCACTAGTTTGATCCTTTGCTTCTCGAAAATTGAATCTTGATCGCTATCGATCATAAGTAAAATGGAAAGTTGACACTGTTCGTTCTTACATGCTGCATGGCGATGAGCCTAATACGGGTTAATCGTATTCGTGACGTACTGTGACACCCCACGAATAGTAATACGGAGGATCGCATAGCTGGAAGACCTTGCGTCAATACAAAATCGATTATTTTATTTAGACGCAAGTAGCATAGAAAAACAATACCGCGAATACCGACCATTTTATTGTTTACCCGAACCTATATGCTAGGTGGAAATTATCCGATGATTATTGTCATTCAACTGTTTCAATTTTTCTAATTATGAAATATTATATCAGATATAAAAAATTGAAGGTCATCGAACGTTCCTTTGTTAACTGCCCAAGTCATTACACTCGAGGCTTCACGCTTGCTGCCATGTTGTCAACTTGAACGTTATAATTAACAATGGAGTTTATCATTCCTTTAATTGTTTCTTTTTTCCTTCGTGCTTTGAATATCCTTTCCAACGAGCTATTGTATACATTTTTCATATGCCAGCATGCAGTATGTTACTTTCACAAAAAAAGAGTTGAATCATTCAATTTCCTATTATGGACATCGGTGTGAATCACGTGACGGTATATTTGTTTTCACTTTCTCGACTGGTTCTTTTTTTATCTGAAAAAAAATTACTTTTATTAGAATCTTTAAATACAGAAAGATACACTAATCGAGACAGGCGACAGTCATTGCTCATGTACTCTATTTCGATGCACTTGAAAATGTAGTACATATACATATACATATAAGCATTGCCATTTACGTTGCAAGCATCATTGCGTCATAGATGCGCAATAAGAAATCATTTAATTAATCAGACGGCTGAGCGAGGAATTTTTACATTGCTTCAAATATAATTAATCTATCGTTTAGTTTTACTCGTGTTATCGATTTTCTATGTTTTGGCCGACTTGCAACATTGGGGAAAGTTTCGAAAGATACATGGCGCGATCTTTGCTTCAACCAAGAGAATTCTGTATAGCAACGACACAGCGAATTTCAATTACCTTACTAGAGTGAATCACGGGGGAGTAGCAATTGAGAGTAATGATTCACTTGAAAACATTACGTGTCAATGACGCTACAGGTACCTACCCTGTGGTTGGAATAATGATTCCCAGCCATTGTAAAGACTCTTCTTTTTCCCACACTTTTCTTTTTAATTTTTTAAATGATAATTCATATATACAATTCTAATTATTGTTTTATTTATAGGTATCGGTATCGATGATACCTTCGTAATGCTGGCTGCTTGGCGAAGAACAAATATCCTGAGTCCTGTACCAGAACGCATGGCAGCCACGTTGAGCGAAGCGGCCGTTTCAATTACTATCACATCGTTAACCGACATGATTTCCTTCTTTATCGGCATCATGTCTCCATTTCCTTCGGTGCAGATCTTCTGTATTTATTCCGGTAGGTAACTGAAAGAAAATACGTAACTTATTGAAAATTTATAATACGGTACACGAATATAAAGTGAAGTAAATATATTATTAGATGTACCATGCGTGTACATATATCAGATATTAAAATGGCTGCCATAGAGGATGAAACTTTGCTATTTACATTACATACGTGTGACCAAGACACAAAGAGTTCTTTCTTTATGACCGGCATTTTAAATTTCTATGATATACATGTAGTAATGATGATGTTATTTAGAGTGTCATTAAATACAATTAAAAATCACCGAACAATGATAAGATTAATTTTAACAACAGGTTTTGCCGTGGTGTTCACATTCCTCTTTCACCTGAGCTTCTTCAGCGGATGTGTCGCAATAAGCGGATATTGCGAACAGAAGAACTTACACAGTATCGTATGCTGCAAAGTACAGCCAGTCTCTAAATCCAGTAAGTTAATGTAACAGTAAATAAATTTTATTTGGGAATCTTGAATTATGAAATATATGCTGTACCACATATTTAATTTGTTTAAGTCATATTGTTGCATTACGAAATTGTTACTTTCTTGAAGATTTACATTAGCATCGATATTATGCAGACTTAAATAAATCAAATGACAGGTACAGTAATGCTATTCAGTTTTCGGTTGAAGAATTTCTGGCAAAACACATGTATTACAAAGTATAAAAGAAATGAGTGTCTTTCATGTCTTCTAATAGCTACAGAACGAAAATTCTTTTAAAAATTCTCTTGGTTAAAATCGACTTTACATTACGTAATGTGTCTCGGTTCGAAAGGTACAGATCATCGACGACTTGGCGCACGTTACGTAATTTAAAGCGCTATGCAAAAAAATAATCACAACAGACTGAACTAATAACATGTATACTGGTAATTGAATTTAAAATGATGTCTGCCATTTATGGAGTATGTGATTTTAGCTGTAGGAAAAAGAATTTTGTTGTCCTGTTACTCTTCAACGCTGTGGGAGTGAAGTGAATAATTAAGGTAATTGAAATTTTTTGTTTACAGCTCATAGATCCTGGCTTTATCGTCTCTTATGTACTGGCGGAGTCGATCCAGATGATCCTGACAATCCTCTGGATAATCCTGAGCATGGATGCATGACTTGGTTCAGGGATTATCTTGCTGTGGCATTGAACTATTGGCTAGTTAAGGTCCTGGTCATTATTACTTTTGGACTTTATCTTGCTGGAGCACTTTACGGCTTGACTACCCTTCAAGAAGGTCTAGACAGACGCAAGCTATCAAAGGAAGATTCCTATTCAGTGACCTTTTACGATCGTGAAGACTTCTACTTTCGAGAATTTCCGTACAGAATTCAAGTAAGGAGAAATACTCTGCTATTGCGTAGATCAGCAATAAGCAATCGCATATGTAATTATGTCACGTGCCGAGGCATAAGCAACTTTCTCCTTCGGTTACATTTGAAGAAAAGCTATATATATATTCCATAATTGTAGTTTTAAATCTTGTTTCGTGGAAAAAGAACGAAATCGCTTATTCTTGGAATTGCTTAATCCGCGCTGCTGAAACATTTATGAATATTTTTTCAAATATCAAAAATCATAAAATCTCTTTGGCACGTATGACTTAAGCGATGTAAGATCTTACGATGTGAGAAAAATGTATATATTTATTTAACTGATACTTGTTGACGCAGGTTGTGGTGAGCGGCGCGTACGATTACAGCGATCCGGAAATCCAGAATCAAATGGAGAACTTAACAAGAACGCTGGAGGAAACTTCCTACATTAGCTCACCAATTTATACGGAGAGTTGGATACGAGGTTTCCTGAGTTACGTAAGACGGAATGAAGAAGTTGTAAACGGGACCATCGACAACGAAGAAGATTTCGTGAAGACACTAAAAGACTTCTGGCTCTTCCCATCGAGCACGTATTCTTTAGACGTCAAATTCGATCCTACCGGGGAACACATAATAGCGAGTAGATTTTTAATCCAAGCGGTTAACATAAGTGGAACAAATCATGAGAAAGAGATGGTAAAGGAACTGCGACGTATATGTCACGACTCACCTCTGAACGCAAGCGTTTTTCACCCCTATTTCGTTTTCTTTGACCAGTTCGAATTAGTTCGGCCTACGAGTATCCAATGTATGATTTTCGGTGCTTTGATAATGATGTTGATTAGCTTCATCTTCATTCCAAACATCCTTTGTTGCCTGTGGGTAGCGTTTTGCATTGTTTCAATAGAATTAGGTGTAGCAGGGTACATGGCGCTGTGGGATGTTAATCTTGACAGTATATCAATGATAAATCTAATAATGTGCATTGGCTTCAGCGTAGATTTTACGGCCCACATATGTTATGCTTATATGAGCTCCAAGAAAAAGAAACCGGAGGACCGTGTCAAAGAATGTCTGTACAATTTAGGCTTACCTATAGTGCAGGGTGCAGCTTCGACGATTCTTGGTTTAGTTGCTCTTCTATTAGCTGGGACTTATATCTTCCTAGTATTCTTTAAGATGGTCTTCCTCGTGATCTTCATCGGTGCTATGCACGGCCTCTTTCTTCTACCCGTACTGTTATCCATCTTTGGTCCGGGATCCTGTTCCAAAAGCAATGACGAAGAAGTAACACAAGAAGAGGATACCAAAGAATCTAAATTACAACAGCCTTACGTGATACCTCATCCGACGCTCATATATCATCAGCATCGCCTTGGAAAGTCCTTGCAAGGTAGTCCTACCACGAGTTTGGCAGCTTTTGAAGAAAGAGATCCTGGTATTGGCACTAGTGAAGATAGCAATTCTACGGAGAGCAGCTCCTCTCAAAGTCGACGAAGACAAGTTATTGAACGCGAGGAGATTCAACAGCAATTTCCAAATTGGAGACGATCTGTTGGAATATTGCAAAGTTTGTCACAATTTCAAAACAACACTGCTCCGCCACCGGATTATCCTGGAGCTTCAGTGGATCAACCAAGAAACTTTGACTATCGAGAGTACAGGATAGATCCTCATATGAATCAAATTCCTGGTATTAATAATGATCACAGGGATTATAGGCGTAGTCGGTCCCATCATAGTCTTCATCCATCTGGGAAATATTTACCAGATTCACGATATGGCTGAGATTATTAATAATTCCATAGATTTTCATTGATTGTCAAAACCATTTATGCGCCTGGAACTTGACTCGCTCCAAAGAAACAGAACAATTAGTAACTAGTAATTTTGTTATTGATTAATGAAACGTCTTCGATCCAGGTTTTCTTATCATTCTGATGAATATCTTACGAGTTCTGTATTCCATGATTACTCATCAGGCGTATCCTCATGCATGCTACTGCATTCAATAAAAATCAAAATGAACGATTGGCTACACTACGATGTGTCTGCCTTGAATGGAACTATCTTTTTTTATACGCATCTTTCTATGTATTTAATTGCACTGTACAGTGAAATCGACCACGATCAATCATTTAATGAGTTTGATTGGGATCGATTGCACGGGCCACTGCACGCATATTTTGTATGTAACTACATGCCGTTCATTTTCAATTATTTTTTAGATAGACTAGTAAAATAAGGGTGTATTTATGAGTGAGAGTGGATGAAAACAAGAGAACCAAACAAGTATGAAATATATTCTGATAATACTTTTGAAATATTGTTCTTTTAAACTATTTCCTTCTCTTCGAATTGACATTGCTTTTAGTAAAAACACTTCTTGAAAAAAATATATTGATTATAACATTTTTATTTAACAAAAAAGTTACTACTTGTAAGGGAGATTTGATTAATGCTTATTATTGAAAAAAGTTCAAAAGATGATCATTGAACACATTGAGATGACAAATAATTTAATTTAAAAGTTAAATTATAGTATAAGTATGTAGCTTGTATCGTATATTTTAATAAGCAGTACATGCAGGTTTTTCATTGCTTATTGCTTTCATATTATTTCATTAGTCGTTATACATAACTTCATTAATATCATTAACAGAAATGAAAGTAAAAAATACGATTCAGTTCACTGTCGCTTGTACCATCTGCATATCGCTGAGGTTGACCTGAAGATACAATAGTATTATATTTTTAAAGAGATTGATGGCGCAAGAGAATATATCGAAGTGAAATTATTAGATCGTTTAACGTAATTAAATTGTATCATGTATAAATCGTGATGCTAACACATCCAATATAAAGTCATATTATATGATTGTAGTAGAAGAGACAAGAACCCAATGGTATTGTCGCAAATGATTTTATCGAACATTACCCACCTGTATACTTAGTCCCATGAATGTAATAGCACCGTCCGCTAGGCAGTGCTGGCAGTTATTTTACCTGTCAATGTATGTTTAGATTTTACACAAAAGTCTATTGTAATTGCATTCCCCAACCTCAGATTACTGAATTGATAGTTTCCTTTGTAGATGTGAAATGTTAGGATAAAATAATTATTCACGTTTAGCGTCACTACCACATAATATGCTACATTATAATGTCATTAATTATAAACTGTGTCTATTATGGATTACATTTATATACTATATACAGCGATTAAACCAGCTTCATTATTACTGCTATATAAAATCCAAAGCAATTAATCCTAATTTCTCAGAAATTCATGGAAGTATTTACAAGTGCCTTAGAATCCCTAGAATATATCTGACACTGAACAATTTCATCAAATAAGATTAATTGAACTAGTTGAAGAATGTGTAAACATAGTTATTTGTTAAACATATACACTAAATGCTTTGAAAGTGAAAAAGATGTGGAACTATAATTTTTCTCTCTAGATTTGGTTCTATCAACAAATAGTGAGAATATATCTAAATATATGTACAAAAGTATACTTATAATACATCTCACTTTTCTGATTCCATTGAAAATCCTAATTACAGTTTCCAGTATTATATTCTATTTTCTAATATATTAATACTTATTCTATCTGTAATATCTGAAAATATTATTCCATTTTTTGCATACCAGCACTTTATGCTTCAAGTTGTAGAATCCGTACTCTTATACTAAATTCACAAAATTCAGTGCTCGCTGGAACAAGAGTATTGATAGGACTTAGGATGATCTATTCTAATCTTCCAAGACATTCTACGAGCTTCTCAGTGTTTCTGGCTTAAAAGCTTGTTGATTTGACATTCTTTGTCACACATGGGTAAACTTTGACAACTCCATTGGGATCACAGGTTTTTTTTTTATCATTATTCACTGAAAGAAAATTGGTTTACATACTTAAGTTGCTAAATTAAAGAACTATCCATGTGATCAAAAAGTTGTATATAAATATGTTCATACTTCTTTTAATTTATCCCTGACTCCACGTATGTATAGAAATAAAAGTATAATCCTTGTAGACTACTTCTCTTGATATTGCGTGTTATCATACAATAAAAGTCTAAACTCCTATTTAGATAGCTTACAAAATATTTAAAATGAATGATTGGGTACTCTCTTACTCACATTTTCTTTTTGCTTAAAAATATATTTATTGTTTTATTTCAACATTCACGACAGTAGACTGCGGGAAACAGTTAAATCGCACAGATAATGCGAGTAAAGTATATATTTATTACGAGAGTAATTTTAAATTTATACATACAGGAAATATAAAAATACTCTTAATATTACATACAGTTCTTCAATCTTAACATTAGCATAAAACTAAATTATTTTAAAAAGCATTTGTATTTTTACACTAGTGAAAAGATATTTACTTGACTTCAGAGTAATACTCAAATATTAACGTATTTGCGGCAAGATAAATTATACCAACTTGGCATGATAAGTTGTTCGTATTATTAGGCTATTGATACGCCTATCATTTCAAGTATAAAGTATAACAGGTGGAGCTGATTTGTTATTGAATTGAAGGAAAAATTGGTCAAAAAAACAGGAGATTCGGTACTTTATAACATCAGTGGGATATACTCTTGTAACGTAACAAGGACGAAACGGAAAAAGAAGCCTGAAGATGCTGGAACTTTCTACCACTAAAGTGATGAAGCCGTTCAGCATCACGCGATGAAGGAGAAAAGCAGGCAAGTGTTTCATTATATTTAATGTCAAGCTGTTGCCAAATGGTTGCTATGCTTATTAGATATAACGAAAGTCATCTCCCAGGCTTGACTTGTAAAGGCTGGGACATATTGTCGCCATAAGACACATGGGACGTCGTTTGTCTTTTATATTATGGTGACCGTTGGAGCAGCTGTAATTTTTTAAATCCAATTTGAAAGTTCTGTTGCATTTAATTAAAAAATATGTAGATGTGTCACAAAAGTATGTTTCCGCCCGGGATCGAACCGGGGACCTTGTGCGTGTGAAGCACACGTGATAACCACTACACTACGGAAACTATGTTCTTTCCAGCTCATATGTACATATAGTAATTGTTAATAGTTATATTAAGTCGACCCTACTTTACTTTTAAGAGTAACAATAATGTTTTTAATGCCCATAACATAAGAATATTAAACAAAATATATTTTTGGTACAAAAGTATGCGATATAGTGCTAGAATCTGTAATATCGACTACCGATGGTTTAACGTTTCTGATGGTAACCCCCCCCCCCCTTCATATGTTTATTGACATAATTTGATTAGACTTGTATCGGATATATGTATATCCTTCGATGAAGATAATGTATGATAATGATAAACGGTCTGTTATTTTGATCCTGTGATAATATTATATGACAGTAATGATTATCAAACTGTATAAAACCCCAGATTTTAACATTTTCAGCTGTGTGGGTTGTGGATTCTCAGCAATGAAAGAAAAGTAATATATCATAATTATTTTAAAATGTTATTCTGTCAAATATTTAGTAGTTTCCAGTGATTTTGAAAATGGAAGGCTGAAAATGCTTACATTAACAAAGACTAGCTCACTTCTTCCCCTATGACTTTATAAGAAATCTTTTGATCGAACTATCAACCATGTTAGTAATATCAAAATGTATTGTTTTTACAAAAATTACAGTGTATTAGCTAAAACGTATAATCATTTGTTTCTTAAAGAAGTATCAAAGATTTGAGTAAGTAAAGTATACCAGTAAATAAGTACAAGGTTCGATATAGCATATGTTTCATTTAGCTGTATAAGCTAGACAATATCAGTACAGTAGAATTTATTGATCTTATTGTGAAAATAATGCTTGAACATGATATGTAGAATATATTATCAATTCAAATTTTTAACGGTATCATTAAAGACAATTATACCCATTTTCAATGTTTGCAGAATGCTGACGTAGAAGATGCTTTCCAGAGACAATGCCTATGATTGAAGAAATACAAATAGTGAAGATACATAAATTAGGAACTAGAAAAGCATCAGAGCAAATCTAATTAATTCTCTTAAACTAGTAATTTGTCAAATTTCAAAAATATATGTAAGTTTGCAAGAGAATAAATTTGTTATCTATATAACAAATAAAATTCATCAAAGGTGTATCCACTCATCATGTCCATTCATCAAAATTTCATAAAGATTAAGTGTGCTTTGTTAATACAATATACCTTCATGTACTTTAACTAAATTATAACAAGCATAAAATTTAGTTCAACCTTTGAACCTGACATATGTACCTAAACCATAAACAAGACAAAAGCTTAATGACCATTTGAAATCTATTTTTATTACCTTATAATAGTACATTGTATGTACTCCAATAATGAACTGGCCTTGTACTATACGCCCTGTAATACACCTACTATAAACGAGAAATACTAGGTCACTTTTCTTGTTGACGTCATGACAACGTTGCACGCTGACATTAATTTTCAAAGGTCATCATAAAGACTGATGACTGCCGCAAATTATAATTCTTCCCACAAGACCAATCCCAACAATAGGTGTGAAGTTGTCCCTATGACAGTAATTATTTCCTTGATAACAGAGAAAAAGTCGTATCCAAGCATGTTACAAAAAAGAATAAGCACCATAATATCAAATATTACAAAGCCTGACAGCACGCTCATAAATTATAGAAGAGGAAACCGTTTATGAACAAGAGAGATCGATGACCCAGAAAATATGAAGCTGACTGAGAGTTTCTTTATTGTTGAGGTCTTTTCAATCGATCATGATACTATTTATGCGCGCCTAAGGTTGCAAGAGGTTACCGTCGGCCACAGACATAACACATTACTTATGCAGTGACCCCTTCTTTATATTACGTTCAAGTAATATATATATATATGTTCCAATGTAAAATCATTGCGTATGTTTACAGCTAATTATCGGTCGACAGTTATCACGTGAATCGAAGATTCTCTTATCAGAATGAAAAAATTCTCCTTTAGGTTTACATCAGATTTGCTTTCATAATTAAAAGTTCAATTAAATACATGCCTGAAGCAATCATATTCTACTTGAGCTGTGTTCAAGCCTTTTATATGAAAAAATTGCATTGTGCCTTTCATATTTCTCTTGCAACTAATCTCGAAACGTACCTAAGCCATCATGGAGGAGCATTGACGTACAAGAATTGCATTTACGTCATCGTACGAAATGTCAGGGTTGAATCGTGTAATACTCTCGTTATTACCAGCTTCGTATATATTTTTGTATACGTGACCGTAAGCTTCATTATACGGGGAGGTATACATAAAAGCCATCGATAAAGGTTTCGGTACGATATATACCAATGAGGCGTGTGACCTGAAGCTGGAAGAAAAAAATTCCCACCAGAGGGGTAAGCACCCTTTTCCTATAAGGCAAAGTATAAATAGTTCACAGCCAGATGAACGCAGACTTGCGTCAGTATAAACTTTGCTAGTCTTCCTGTGATAATAACAATCCAAGAACAAGAGGCTGATCTCTTTACAGCGATTAAAACAATCAAACAAATTAAAATGAAAAGTCAAAAGTTTAATTTTTGAATGAACATATATATCTTACCATCCTATATTTATTTACAGAATATATACCAATGTATTGGCTCGGAATTGTATGCATCTCAGCTATGAAAAAGAGGTAAAACAAATCACTATAATTATTTAATTTATACGTGTAACTTTCTCATTAGTAAATTATTTTTCTTTTCTTTCCAACAGTTACATCGAAAGGATACGCCTGATTTAGCCCAACGAAAGCTTGAATGCAGCAAAATCAGTTCTCAAACAAATAGTCAAAGTTATAACGAGGAAAGCCAGGCCAGCCGTGGCCTACCTTGCATATACCGATCAATATCCCATGGCATATATGTTGTCCCAGCGCAATGGACTCTACCGTGGAAGATTTGAGACAAAATTTGGCCAGCTGCACTGGTGCCAGTATGTCGCCAGCCTTGAGCTTTTACTGCTTGTATTTTATTCTGAATTCGCCATCCTATGTGTGGCTAAGTAAAGACGGACCGGTATCCTGGTAAGTTTCATGAAGTAAAAGCAATTCATCTTTCACCATCGACAAAGAGATTCCTAAAAACATTAAAAATAATCCGATTTAAAAGTATTCCCTGATTAAAAACAATAACAAGGCTGAGCACATTGCGTCGAGCCTGAATGATATATTCTCTTGATCATTCCATAACGATTATATATTTTAGATAAAAATCAGCAGATACTTCCAGAAACGGATATTCAAAACATCTGGGTTATAAATAGCTATATAGAAGCATGATGTTGGCGGGGAAACGATAATGCCTTGCCCATTGAGCAAGAGAAGTAGGAACGCTGTGAGAGAGAAGGATATATACATAAATAAACTGCGTGACTGAGAGTGAGAGATCGAGTGAGAGCAAGTGGAGCTTCCGAGTCAGACGGAACGAGGAAAGCTCTATCGATCGTTAAGTCTGTAGGCCGTCTGCTGTGCGAAGGGATAATAGATTCTACACCATGACTAGTCCACCGATTCCATTGGCATGAGTCAGTGACGATGCAGTGTCATTATTAAGGTATTTTATTCAGAAAGACGTAATTAAAGTAATATTCGATACTAGTTTTAATTGAAAAATCTATATAGAATTAAAATTCAAATAACCGTCGTTAAAGAATTAATTAAAATAATTCTTTCAGGGAATCTCGACATGGCCAAGTCAACAATTAGAGATTATTAATCGCAGCTCCGAGAGGCGCAACGATTATAATAAATCAAAAACTCTTACGCACGTAAATACGAGCCTGTTTTATTATCGGCACAGTCAGCGCCATCCAGTATCACACTCGGAATTATCCTCTGAATTAAACGTGCTCTAGGCGCGGCATCGAGCGTAGTAGGACTAGGTCAGGGAAGAGTGTCGCGTGCGGCCAAGTTCCCTCTTTCTGTTGCCTCCGTGTTTTGTTTTTCATTCTCAGACCACATTGTCATTTCGTTTATTTGCAATTGAATGGCAAGTTCGCTTGCACGAAGCACAGCGGATTCAATTGACAGCTATTGCATTGTCCGCGATGAGCGACAAGTCGCCGAAGAGGAGTCAACATGCGCTTTCAAGATAAGATAGGCGATAATGGTATAGCTGGTATAACCGGTAGTAACGTCACGGGTTTAGGTGGGTCGTTGAATATGACGATTAAAACTCTTTTTCAATCCACACCGCCATCTCTGCTTAAGTAATGCCCGCCGAAGTCAATGAGGACCGTGTTATCTGTAATTATGGAAATATACCTTTTGAATATCCCGCCACAGAGAGACGTTCGCTATGAAACACAGAGAATGATCCCGTACGACTTTGACTATATTCATTGTTAAGACGACGGGACATTCGACATAAATAGAAATTCGCGATAACTGTTATCGGTCGAATGTACAAGGTGTATCCTGATTATAATGTCAATGCCGATGTTATCCCACTGGTTCGCCAAGAGTCTAGAAATATAATTAAACGACCGACGTCAGGCAGGAGGCAGCAAGTAATTTAGCAATGGTACACACGACTAACGGTATACTTGATCCTATTGGCTTTCAAGAACCAAGGATAAAAATCCGTGGTCTTGAGGTTAGACACTTATCATATTGAAAGTATTTAAATGTATATTGAGAAATTAGATAACAGTGGCTATGATTACAGCGATCGAAGTGAGCGTTGGCCACGCTGGTCTTATCGAAGTGGATGAAGAAATGATTTTGGACGGAAAAAGGATAAATGGAATAAACTCTGGCAAGTTAAAATGGCTCTGCACGCCGGTTCCTCCGACAACACAAGACAGTTGTCTGGGTGTGACATTGACCCTGGCATTGATCCCATGCACACCAGAACACGGTACGTTGGTGCGTACGCAGTTGCGGTCTCGAGGGAGGGAGAGGCCCGACCTTGGAGCGACCCCAGCCAAGGTCGCAGACGCAAACTCCCCTCTCCCCACCAGGGGCCGCGGAACCGACGCTCTACCGGCACCCTCCTCTTCCTCCTCCACCTCTTCATTCGACTCCACTCTGCCACCGACTCCTCTTCCTTCTCCCGATTCCACCTCTACCCTGACGGGACGTCGTCGCAGCTCGACTACTGACTCACAACTCACGAGCATGCACACACAGTGGACTCCGAACGTGAGCAGCTGCTGTGGTCTCTTGCCAAAATTAATGTGGAGAACGTCGCCCAGTCCCACCTGGAACTTTGCAATTCATGTCTGACGTCTTTGCGTCTCTTACCAGGATACCAAGAAACTCAACGAGATTACATTCCTTCGGTCGAATGATTAATTCTTGCAGTTCAGGCTCCCCGGAGGACTCTTGCGGGATTTATGTAAACAAGGTTGAGAACCTTGCGGGGTTCCCATGCGTGGGTGGGTGGGTGCGTCGAGACGCCTCGTCCTTTCACCGCGTCGGCTAACAACCCCGTCCTAACCTGGCCCGTCCGGCCCCGTTCCTCCATCCGTTCTCTTTCCCGATTCAAACCCACTCTGCCAACTACCTTTGTCTCTTGGAGGATGAACACTCAGCCTCACTGAAAATCACACCCTTCGAATAAGGTTACGCTTGTCCATCCTTCCTCGTTTTCGTACATACTTCCTTCCGTCTTTCTCGTTTATACTTTTTCTTCCATTTTTCGGTACTACCGTCTTTCCTCCCTGTCCCTCTGTCTTGGGTCAGCAACCCTTACGCAATTGCACATTGGTTACCTTTGATTCTAATCTGGCTGTCTGCCTTACCGCGTAACGTAACGATAAGCTCGTTCTTAATTAAAATCCTAAGCCACGTCAGAGGGCATTCATAACTGCTAGGTATATATTGTAACGTGACGTTACAGAGCTGGAGGGGATACCACCTAGGAATGACCGGAAAATAAACAAATAGGACTTATCGGGTCGGACAGTGGGTTCAATAGCACAGTGGTAAGTGCTCGACTTGGCAGTCCGAAGGTATCGGGTTCGAATCCCGATCAGAACTCCTAATTTTTCGGAAATTCCTAGCCCTCCAGTGCTCCCTGGCGGCTCTATGGATCAAAAATTAATTATAGCGGGGACGAGCCGAGTCAGGCACCCCGTTGTAATATGTATGTTAATTAACGAATGACTCACGTCAGCTTCGTGTGCCAGTACAGACAATACGAGCTGACGTAATATTTGCGATATCGCAAATTCATATTTCGATCGATGCCCCTTAAGAAGTTGAATGATCTTAATAGCGAATGATTATTGACCGGGTATCGATCGGTGGGAATTATTAATTTTATAATATTTACGATGGTGTCAAAGACGCTTTTTCTCTGACGGATAAAATTTTATTATTCATTGATAATTATATGCAAAATATTCGTGTAAGTATCACTCGAACATTTTTTTTTAACAAATTCTAAGTAATCAGCAGAAAATAATTATATTCATTATAAAAAATTTTGTTATTTCTTTTATAGACTGTACACAAATTGACGCGCTTATCCGTATTCCGCGTAATGGCACCAGGAGATTTCCTTTTAGACCAGGGAATTTAAAACTCCCTCTATTTCGCTGTATCAATGGAGTTTTTACGTGTCTGTTACCATGACGACGGGACTTCCACCCCATCACGGCAAACCATCTCTAAATACCAATTCAATATGAGGATGCTTCGTAAATATTTTTTAAAGAGTCATGCTGTTCTTACGCAATTGTAGATAGTATCATTTTGTACGACAGTGAGTACGAGTTTCTAATTAACTCTATCTGTACACGTACCAGCGTACGACATGAAATTTGATGAATTTGAAAAAAATGAATAAATATATTTTTGGCACGGCGTTATTGAACGGAAGCATTTTTAAAAATAATATTTAATTGGTACGCGAAATACGTGTCCAACATGACTCCGATCGAAGGTCTCTTTCATTAAAATACGATCAATTCAGCAATTTCGCGACATCGTTTGATGTTATCGTAAACCTACGCGTAGTCTCACGCACGTGTAAATCTATAGCGCGCACGCGCTCACGTGCGCCACTCATGTATAGTCGCAAACACATAGTTTATGATTCAGTTACCAAGCAGCAAACGACTTTTTGTGGAGAAAACAAAAAATTGTAAGAACAAAAATATCAGTATAAAATTACATATTTTTAATATTAAATAATACACTTGATTAAATGTGGATTAGGTAATTGATGTTTCTCCAAATCTCAAGAAACCTGTCGTAATCGAATTATAAAAATAATTTTCCATAGATCGAGCACGTGTGATCTGTTTTCGAAGACAGAAAATTGAACGCGTCACACGATGACCTACTATTTAATGGAGGTTAAGTTTAGCACTGGGCTACTGTCCAAAACCTGCGAATACGATTACTAGTGGTAGTGTTGGCGAAATCAAAGATTATAAAAAAAAATTTTCAGAACTGGGATTTGAACCCACGCCCACGAAAGTAGACGGCGGTTGGAACGCAGCGTCTCAGCTCGCTCAGCTACCTTGACGTTAGATTTTTTTTTGAATATATACAGTCAAGACAAAAAGTCTGCATACACTACAAAGTAAAAACGAAAAAGTGAAAGAAAAAGAAATTCATATAAAAGCAGTAAAAGAAAAATATCCAAAATGGAGTTTGAACCTTAAGCTATTTATTCATGTAAAATATTTATATGATTAAATATTTTATAGAAAAGAAAGTATTTCTGCGGCAAGCCCGAGGAATCGCGGCCAAAAAGTCGTCGTACACGCGGCATAATCCTACGAGAATAAACCCCGAAGTGGACGTCCGACGAAAGTAACTGATCGTGTGCGTAGAAAAATAACTAATTTAGTTTTAAAAAATCCAAAAATAACCAGCACTCAAATACTGCAAGACATAACTAATGTAAGTGGAGTCAGTATATTACGCAGTACAGTTAGAAACGTATTGCATACATCGGGGTATCATGGTAGATCCGCTCGGAGGAAGTGTTGGATAAGTAAAGAAAACAAAAAGGAGCGGCTGCGATTTGCAAAAGAGTACAAAGATAAGCCAATCGACTTCTAGGAACGTGTAATTTTTTCCGACGAGTCAAATATAATATTTTTGAGACTGGTGGACGATGTAAAGTGTGGAGAAAACCGAACACCGAATTTGAGACACAAAATTTAATTCCTACGGTGAAACATGGTAGGGGATCAGTCATGGTATGGGGTTGTATGAGTGCTTCCCCTACACTAAAAAATTAGTTCATTCTATGCCACGTAGACTTGAAGCCATCATTAAAGCTAAAGGGGGTCCAACAAAATATTGATGATCGCGTTGTTCATCAGACAATAAAGAAATTCTCTTAGTGTACGACGACTTTTTGGCCGCGATTTTCCAGACTTGGCGTAGAAATACCTTTTTTTATAAGTAATCTTCAATCATATTTGTAACTATTTTTCATAAATAAATAGTTTAAGGTTCGAACTCCATTTCCGTTTTTTTTTCTTTTACTGCTTTTATATGAACTTCTTTTTTTTCTTCACTTTTTCGTTTTTACTTTGCAGTGTATGCAGACTTTTTGTCCTCACTGTATATCTTATTGGACATCAAGTTGTTTTAAGGTGGATTATTACTTAATTATGTATATCGATATGAATGAAGATAAGGAACCTTTTTAAAACCAAGAAAAAACATGAGATTTTTCATTTTTTGTATCTAATAGCCCTTAGCACATATATTTCGGGGTCTGACCAAAATGGATAATCTTTACAATACCACAGGATCAGTAAAAAAAACTCTATTAACCGTTGAATGATACATTAAATTATTATAATGCGTTATCAGGCAGTATTAAACGAGTAGAATTTCTGATACAGTTCGATTATATGTTTCGTAATCATTAACCCATTATTCACTCGCTGATAAATCTGTAGCTCTTCGTAATATTCTAGAGACTTGACTCTGGAAATACGCCAATGCAGAAGGTAAAAATTGTAATCCTATTAACAAACTAACGAGGTTTTCGCGAGGTGAACGCAGGTGCTTTAAACTGTTAATCATCCATCTTCTCTGTTTAATGGAGATTTGATGTGCCACGATAATGAGCATATACTAGAGATACGACTAGAATGAGAATCTCTGACGTACACCACTCAGTCTGATCACCTCTTGGCAAATCTACTCGGGAATCACTGAACCGAAGTCTGAACTAGAGTTTATAATGGTAGGTATGAATCTGTCGGTTGTTTTCGGTTCGCGGGTAGGCTTGACCTCGAGACATGCACCGACCGCATCCAATTTATATTGCCGGTCGTGGAAGGCCCGCACAGCTGTGCATTTGTCAGGCACGTAGCAAAAGTTGGTGCCATTGCAATAGGGCCCACTGAGCGGTTGACAAGTTGATATTCAAACCTTTGTTACTCAAAAATATCATTACCGACGGGTCCGCACTGTATTATCATGTCGGACGAATACAATGTAATTGCGCTGCTTTACCGACGCAGTATACTGAGCTGTCACGTAAAAAGGTACGAAGCATTTTATTAAAATATTTGTATTAATGGACATTTTCTTTGTAAAATACATAGCAATAGAAAGTCTATTAACGGATGTGACATCGATTCACGTTACTGCGATAGCGAATAATCGTCTATCTACATAATATATGTCGAAGCTGATTAGAATCCAACGTAACTTTATTCTTATACGCCTTGGGTATTATTATGCTAGCATTTGCTGCATTGTTAGTGACGGTATACTTGGAACGTTGGTATTTCTGATAGCTTAACCCTCGGATAGCTACACGGTCGACAGATACAAGAGTCATTATTCCATTTTTTATCTATTCCTCTTATTGGCTTGTTTTTCTGCAAAAGACCTGAGCAGTGCATTTGTCACTATTGCACAGAATGGGAATACGTAGCTTTTTTGTTGAATATAAAAAAGAAAATGACTAATCCCAACGATGAACTACAACGCATTAAACGGCAGTAAAAAATCACTCAAATAATGTACAGAATGTCCACGAGTAATTAGTATTTTAAAAAAAGCCTTTGTAATACCTCAAGCACACTTTTTTCTTATCTATCGTATCATCGATCATGCTACTTCCTACATTGTCGTACGCCAAGACGTCTTTTCATCTCCCGTCAGTTCTGTTGACTTTTGGTCGTGTATTTTGGTCCGAGAAATTTCTGCGAATAGTGCATCACTGCGCGTATTTTCGACACGGTGACATTGCGTCGTTTTTAGACCAGGGACATTATACGCTGACTTTGTCGTGTAGATTCATATCGCGTAGCGTCGTTGAAAAGTCAAAGGCACGATCCTCGACGGTTGAACCCAACGTGGGCAGCTACTTCGTGAGATTTGAGCAGTCACGGTTGAAGATTCGAAATTTCCGCGGACGAAATTGTATCGTGCGATCAATCGCTCGTTGCCAGTGCGGCAACTTCGTATATTATATTCAATTCAGTGGCACGTAGGTAGTGGGGCAGTGCCGGGTGGATCTGAATATAGAGGGCACTGTTTATGTCGGTGCAACGTCTCGGCAAGGTCATTCCCGATCGCATTTAGTAATCTTAATAAAGTCCAACTGAGTATCCATGATATTCAGTGTAACTTCCATCGCATCGACAAAATTATATACGGCTGTTCTTAGTCACCGTCTTGAAATGTATCATAGAGAAAGTTATTCGTGACAAAAAAGAAATAATTACACTATACTTATATACAGGACATTGATGATAAGTCGTTATAAAGTTTCTTTGACATTTTAATTCATCAATTCTATAATCGATTCGTCATTTTCATGGTTTATGCAAAGAGTCGTAACTTCCTAAGCAACCAATGACGAGTGGTTTGAAAATGTATGATTATGACAAAAGTCCAATTCACATGTCTGCCGAGTTACTCGTTCGTTGGGTTCGATTATTAATAATTTCCCAACCACGTGATTTATTGGGTGTGATTGATTGCTAACTTCTTTTTTTTTTCAGTGGGAAAACCGAAGTCTCTCACGGCAGTAAACTTTCGCGTGACCCGTAGAGCAGCAAATATAGAAAGAGCAAGTGTAAAATCCTAACCTGACAGCATAGCAGGTGAGTCTGATACGAGTGTACTAACCAGATAGAGTTTGCTGCTGCTACACGGGAACGTTGTAATAAAGTAGAAGAAAGAGCACCGAGTTCAAGAACACCCGCTGCCACTCCTTGATCAATACCAACAGGATTCTATGTCCCACGGAGAGCCCATACGCTAAGGACGTAGGTATACGCACTTTGACCGACTGTCTCACTGTTGTGCAATATCTGTAAATATTTTTGTCTAAAAATTTTGTTCAATACATTCATTTAGACTTCTACTGTAGAATTTAGGGCTCTGGATCGTTCACTTTTACATCGAATTAAATATCCTACAGGATATTTCTATTTATATGGAATTTTCTTAAGAGCATCACTTATTTCTATAACAGCATCCCAGAAAGGATCGTGAGATAAGCTCTGTTAAGACTTCTGTATTAGGAAAAGACCACTTGTCCGAAGAAGGTCTGACTTAGAGATTGTCATCCACAGATTTGGTACTATCTGGTCCAGACTTGTTTACAGCATCGCAAATACCGTGTTCCATAAGAGTGTTTACTTTGTACGGCTAGTTATTAATAGAATATTGATATATTTTTGAGATTGACGTCTCGTTATTATCGAAATGGGATTTATAATTGAAAAAAATTGTTTTTCGTAAATTCTCATGTCGAGTTATAACGTTTTTCTTTTTGGTCAAATAAAAATTTCAAATTGAAATAATCTTGAAGATGCACGGAATATCGTTGCATGTTATAATTGCAACGGAGGCTGTGGCTATGCTATTAAACCAGTCAGGATCACCTGGCCTTGGGATCGCAGTTGCACATGTGCTGCGCTCTCTATTTCCATTCCTTCTACTGCCGACGCTGTTTCTCTCAATCGTAATCGTATTACAATATTGTTAACGCTGTAAGGCGTCTTGGAGGATTTTACAAAAATGTCACGTATGACAGGGAGCAATGAAATTTCTTGTGCGAATATCACCCATCCATTGTGTACTATGTATAATGAAAAGAACGAGGGGTACATAAATTTTCGAGTGACGTTGTTCAATAACTATAAGTACATATTTGTAATCGATTGACGGAATCAATTATAGGAATATCGAGGGATTGTAAAAAATTACAAAATAGTAAAATCATATAAAAAAAAGTTTTATATTTATTTTCTAAACATTTTTCACTTTACTATAAATATGCCATTCCTCAATGTTAAATTAATCAACCTTTTAATTGATTTATCGAAAATTTCATTCGTCTATATCCCATTCACGATAATACCAATAGCTCGTAATACGTATAAGGAATTAATCACTTGTCATAGTCGAAAAATATTGCACGAAATTAATTATTATTACTTCGTTAACAAGTGAAGTATATATGATTGTCTGAGAAACTTGAATTTTTTTTATATCCAAACACTTATGCAGAGTCTGCATGCAGCCGAAATATTTGAGGTTTACGAGCGTCTGGGGGATTTTCGGGTTTCACCCAGAGTATTGATTGTGCGTACACTCCCCTCTCGACCGTCGTTCCCTCGAGCAGACAGAATGTTCTTACTGCAGGTACTGACTTATATACATACGCACATGCGTACGTAAAATGAAACTGCAGATGGATTATATGCGTGGAAAAAAATTATAGTAGTATTAACGATCAGAAAAACCATTAGGAATTCTTTAAGCGTGTAGTCAATCATTGAGTTAACGGGTAATATTTTTCTTTAATCATTAACATTAACCTTATCAAGATTACAGTGAGTGCTAATAAATCGGCTGATTTCGATTCTTAAAATTTTTATTTTTATTTAAATTTTGCAAATTTTTCTAAAATTATTAGTGCTTCAGTTTCAGCTTCGTCCGCCAACTTGCATCGTTCTGCATTCATTTCTGTGGATCCGCCTTAAACGTCTTAATGGTAGTTCAAGGACGATTTGGGCGCTGTTCTCTGGGAGGAAGTTTCCTGCTCAGTTTTATAATGCAGACAAGTCGAAAGTGCAGTGGAGCAAGCTCGGTGAGTCGAGCCAAGCTGAGCCACGTCTGATGCACTAGTGGGGATTGGCGAGGATTGGTGGGGATCGGTGGGGACTGGTGGGGACTCAGTGTCCTTAGCTCTCGGACGGTCCGGCCTTGAGACGCAGCGATCCTCAATGCACTTACCGTTCGAACGGGAAACTGCAATCTCTGTACTGAGGAAATGGCTGTTTAGCACGAGGGACCAAAGAACTCTTATTTCTTCCTCTTTTCGATACGACGAACTCACGAATTCGTGAGATTATTTTTGTATGTGTTACACCGATTGATAATGTGTATCATTTGTTAGCCATACGGCTTATCAGTATAATGTTTATAAGAGATGTTTTGATAAAATTCCAGTAATTCGGTAACCGTGGGAACATTTTTCGAGTAAGTGAAATAGCATGTTATCTAATGGTGTTTTAGTACTTTCGTTATACTACTTTGGTCTTTTTTTAATATCAATATATCCTACTGAATATTACTTCGGGAATACATCTGATGCATTTGAATAAGATCAGCTATGTTGGATGTTACGTTTAATTATTCTATAGGTAACAGTATATAAAGTGTTTAATCAATAATATTTAAATAATTTTTTTACTTGTGGTTGGATTTTTTCATTAATAATTATTGTTAAAATTCAAGAATTTTTATGTGTAAGTGGCTTTTATATGGCAAGAATTCGATGTGTCAGGATGGCCGAGCGGTCTAAGGCGCTGCGTTCAGGTCGCAGTCCACTTCTGTGGGCGTGGGTTCGAATCCCACTTCTGACAAATTTTTTTTTTTCAAAATGGTTTTAATATACAAATAATAAATTGTATTCTTAAATGTTTTAACTTCTTCAAAGCTTTAAACAGTCTAATAATAAATTTTACTATTTTATTTCTCTAGTAAAGTCATATTTGTGATACTTTCAATTCGTTGTACCAGAGGCGTGAATTTTTAGAATACAAGGTCCACATATGGCACCAAGTTAATCTGAGTTTACGTATTCCCATGTCTCTCCCGAGCAGACTGTACCTTTCTATACGAAAGCTCATGGAGTGCGGATGGCGATGAAGAAGGAACAAGAGAAGGAGGTGGTTGCGAAGGAGGTAGAAGTAACCTTGAGAGTTGGTGAGGCGACGGCCATCTTGTCAAGATGCACTTTTGTTTTTTACCCGGCAAAACTCGCCAGGCTTCATCCTCTCTCACTCACTTCCTCTCGTCCTACTCTAGTCTTCCTTTCCAGCTATGTCAGCGTTCTTTATCTATCCGCCCTATAATCCTCCTTTGACACATACATTGCATATAAAATACCTCATATCAAAACAAGAAATATTCACTACTAAAAGTCCCATAAGCCACCCTGTAAATATTCTAATTCCGATCTTAAATTTTTAGAAAAAAGAAAAAACCACTCCAGTCTACTTCCCAGTTAATTATTACATTTAAAAAATTGAACAATATATATTCATTTATTATACGCAAGTCAATCGTAGCCCACAAACAGAACCTTACTCTTATGTTAGTCAATGATATTCGTAAATTTGTAGCTGGGGCGGGAGCGCAAGTGGCGCCGCGCACCAAAGAACGGTCAAAGGGCGAATCTCCGGGCCGGCGCAGAGTCGAGGCAAGCGCCGCAGTCGCGCGCTTGCACTCTCAGCGGTAAGCAGAGGTGTTACGCACCGATGTCTGTTCGTCGTTCGTTTATTTCCCGTAAGTCTGTTTGTCGTGTGTTCTCAAGCTGTCGACTAGACACGTCGTACCTAGGAGCACAGCAGTCACGCGCTGTGTTCGTCAAGTCTAACGAGTGCCGTGGTACACGTGTGCAGTGTGCAGTGCAGTTACCGCCCTCCGCAGGACCGTAAACACACACCATCGCCCGGATATCACGGAGCAACGCTTGTTATGTGAGTAGCCGACGCTCTTCTGGTGCATCTATCTTTTATCATTGGCTAATCCAAATAACGCATAGATTGGATGCACGCGAGGTAACAGAGGAGAAGTAAGACGCTGCTGCTTCATTTTAAGAGATAGATCGTAGAGTTCCGAATCGGATAGCTTCGGTTCTACCGGCAAACTGAAAGAGCTAAGAAGCTTAAGAAAAGGATAGAACATCTCTTTCTTACTCTGGTCTACCTCTTGTGCATTTCCAGTTGGTGCATTCTTGGGTATAACCGCGTGACCCTGATGCATCTCGTTGCGCTCGTTCTTTTTCGAGAAATCGCTCGTTCAAGGCACTCGGCGAAAGGAGATGTACATGTATGCGTTCGTGTGTGAATATATGCAACTCCTGTAGTGGTACGAAACTGCATATATATTTTAAGTCTCTTCTATCGCTTTGAGAATTCTGTACGCGCGATACGAAAATTTTATATTTACTATGAAAACGTACTTTATGCACTTTTACTGAATAGCGTCGTTCGATACATCATTCGATGCACGTGTTACCGCGTATATACGTAGACATAAATATATATATATGTTAACAGACAACACACCCTTGCCCATGTAAATCCCCTCAACTCCCTTGTGATAAAGCTGAGCATTAGGGACAGCTGAAAATAGTAAACTGCTACTAACCATTCGGTGAATTATAGAAAAGTCCCATTGATCCGGTATATTGCTGTTATCACGCGTTCTTTGAGCATTATAATCGGTATACGTTTTCTTTCTGGGTTGTGCGAACGCGCGTTTCTTCAATTTCAAACTCAGTTCTAGGAATACTTTTCATAGTAAACTTTCCGAAATCTTTAGTCTGACTCGACCTGCTTTGAAAGACACGTGGTTACCGCCGCGTCAAAAATTTTCGATGTTCGGAAGACATTAAAGATTTCTTGATTAACTAAAATAGTTGTATTCGTGTTTACACGCCGGAAAACAGATGTTGTTTCTAATTCGCGACGAAAAGTCTCCTATAAGAATAAATCTATGGAATTAAATATAGAATTACCGGAAAATGATCGTTTCGCGAAATTAATCTGACGAATAACCAGAAACCACATAATTTAATCTGAGCTGACGGGTAAAAGTAACGTTACGAAAAGATGGCGTTACTCCAAGGATCAAATGACCTAATGACCCTCATTGTAAATACCTATTATTTTACCAAAGGGCTTCTTACGCCGGTTCGGTAGCACCTCAAAATACAATGAATTTTCTGTCAATATCACGAAAGTCATACTTAAGGAAGGACATTGCTGCGCACGTGAAAGGAACTGACTGTTAATTTGCCGCTTTATTATCACCCATATCGATGACCTCGATGCAATTTTATTAACTGGCTAATAAATATACGAGACAAACGACGGAGCGTGCATCGCAAGCCCATTTCGTTGAATGTGTGTGATGCAACGGTCTGTGGCATCGACAGTGGAGCGGCGATGGCCCGGCGTCGTGTTGGTAGGCGGGGGCCCGGGAGGGGGTGCATCAGCAATGCATCGACCCAACGTTTTCGGCCGGGTTAGTACTCGGGCCAAACTACCAAAACACATTCGTTTTATCAGTCTCTTGTTCGGCGAGTGTGTCGATGGGTGGGGTGAACAGAGAATCTCGTGAGGCCTCGTATTTATTATTTGAAATGCATCGGCTTGGCGACGTGTCTCGCGTTCGATAAAGGCGCTGCGGTTAATATCCACGGCAGCGTCGAGCGACACAGAGCCTGTACGCTCGTACGCAATCCAAAGATAACGATACCGATCGTCATTAATTCACACTATAGACGCGACTTCATTCTCGACCTGGATAATAACCGAAGAACTTTCCAGCGTTGCATTCTGGGAAATGTACGGCATCTTTATTACATATATCACGAATAATTATTTTACCCCTCACCTTCCGTCTCATCTTACTCTCCGCTTCACTCATCTTCTTATTTACACTCCGACGCTAACCTGACTCACTGCAATAACCTCCTAACGAACGAAGATCAACAACACTTTAATCGGCAATCGAGCCACGCTGTCATCGAGCCGTTGGTATTTCTGTTTTAGCAATTTCTTTTTTTTTTCTCTCCGTTACGTGCCCTTTCCCCTGCTGCCAGTTCGTTCGCTTAAATCTTCGCTCATCTCCTCGGACCAGGAATTCCTGAAGGGGACGAGGAGTCTGTCCTTCGGAGGCGTTTACGTTTCATGTAATATCTCGCTGAAATATCCAGACCAGAGTTAATTAATCGATTACCGTCGGATCCTCGCGTTGCAATTATTTAAAGTCGGCAATGCCTCTCTGTTATAAAAGATTACAAGACTCCGGGTACCCTCGGTCCAGGAAGCTTCTCGAACACGACGCAGTGTGCACGTGCAAGCGCCGCACATTCGCGGGATTTACAAAATGCTAAATGCATGTGGGAAGTGCACGTAGTATGTGTATATATGGCGCGTGCAGTCGTTACACAAATCTTCGATCCTTCGGCGGTGTGTCGGGTGCTGGGCATGACGTCACCCGTGTGCCGCGTATCATTTTTAGCCCACATGCATACAATCCCCAAGGCGAGGAGGGCGAGAGAGCCGAGTCTCCCTCGTGTGATGGAAGGGACGAGGATAGTGACGGTTGATGTTTTCGTTCACGGCGCTACAGTTGCATTGCGCTTTCACTCGCGTCTACCGTACGACCTGAAAACATCGTTCCCTCTGGCGGAACGAGGATGGTACCACGGCGGGACGCGACGCGACGCCCTGGCGTATTGTCGGAACGAGGACTTGACTCGTTCTCGAGAAACGATTCGACCGACTCGCTCGTCGTGGCGCGAGGGTGGGAAGGCCGGCTTGGCGCGAGTGAGGGAGGGAGGGAGACAGAGAGAGAGAGAGAGAGAGACTGTATTGTGACGGATCGAGAGACAAAGAAGGAAATATAGCAGCGGAACGAACGCTTGTACTCGTGAACGACAGAGAGAGAGAGAGACGGCGGACAATGACAGAAATGCCACACGCTATAGAGATATATACGTAACAACACGGCGAGAATGTGCCTGGCTGGCATGCAGAGAAGGACGTTCGGAGGACAATAGCTGAGGGTGCATTTTTATTCTAGGATGCCCGCAGAATTTCTAATGTTATGGGAGTGGTGCTTCGGAGGCTACCGATTACGATGACATTTTCACTAGGTACGATTCCGAGTCATTTGATTTTTCTAAAGTAACGATTTTCGTACTACTTCGGTCTTCCTTATAGCTGTTATTTACTTATTGACCGAATAATTGTATTTCATGTGCGATTGTTATTGTTTTTAAGTTTAAATCTACTCGATAATTAACATTGAACGTTAATTTCGCCAAATCGTTGTTCCATTAGTCTTGATAGAGAAAAGAAAAAATCACGAAGCCGACGCCGACACACCAAGAACGCGGTGAAACTGCGATGCAATTTACTGGCCGCTTTCGTGGTTTACATTTCTCACAGCGACTAGCCTCTGTATCTGGTGCTGCTGGTTGCCTTGACTCCTTCGTACGCCATGCTGCTTTTCTATCTCACCCTTTTACTATGCTCCACAGGTCTTTACTGCTTGTTGTTTTCTCTCTCTCTCTCTCTCTCTCTCTCTCTCTCTCTCTCTCTCTCTCTCTCTCTCTCTCTCCTCCCTCCTCTCTCTTTTAGATGTTACGTCTTTCCGCTCGCTTCGCGCATGCGTGTTTACCATTACCACGCGTACGTGCATTATACGAGCACAGTGTCCAAAGAGACTCGGCGCTAATGCACCTTCTTCCCTCCGTGTACATTTATAACGTTTCCCCTTTGCCCCTCCCTCGCTCCCCTCTCTTGCCCATTATAGGCTTGGGCAATGTAAGTAACGCGGAGAAGTTCGCCAGACATTCGAGAAGGTAAACCTTGCGATAGGACGCGACCGTGACTCGTGGGAATCGATTTCATTCTTCTTTATCTTTAAAGAAGTCGGATATAGCCGCGTTTCCTCTGTGTTTTCTTTACTTAAGTTTTCTTTTCTTTCTTCCCTCCTCCCGTTACCCGGATCCATTTCTTGCTTGATCTCGCATCTCGCTGTGCGCGTCCATTTAAATACGACGTAGACAAACTTTTGTTTTTTTTTTGTTTCGCGTCAAATAATCGCAACGTTCATGGTCAACGATAACGGGAGCAACTGTTTTACCGACTGCAGATAAAGAGTACTCGGCGCAGTCACCGTGAATGAACGTCGTGAAACGTTTCAAGATATATAAACATCATGCTAGCTAGCACCGATTTTTCGTACTCGTACGGTTTCGTTTCGACCTCGTCTAGATAACGTATGGATACTATCGCGGATCCGCAAGGCAATTACCGTTGCTCAGGCAATCGCGTAAATATTTATCAAGACTTTTTCGTAGGAAGCGCCAACGTCCTCGTCATTGGTATAGGTCATGTCTTTTAGTGCCGAATACATTATCGATCCTCGCGAGGCTTCGCTACTGTCCGTACTCTGTGGCTTCGTGGATCAACGCTAAGTCGCAGTCTCTTCGTGACGCCATTTTTTTAAACCCCCTCCCTCCCCTCCCTCCCTCCTCGCCACCATCATCCCTCACCCTATTACAACCCCTCGACCACGCTATCCTCCCTATACCTCGATTATACACAACGAACACTCAAACTGTCGTTTAAAAAATGCCTCTCGTAAACAGTACTCCATCCGATCCACTATCCGCGTCCAACATTCATACAACTTTACTCGTTATTCGCATTCACTGTATACTCATTAGACCGCAACTCGTTGACCTTACCGAGTGCAAGCACTTTTGTATGACGAACCGCGGTCAAGGCTCGTGTCAGATTCTATTATTAGGGCGAGACTCGTTGCTCGCGAATAATCTTTTTCCTTTTCTTTCTACGGAACGACGCTGTGCGTTCCTCGCTTCTCTCCCCCCTCCACGCTGCTCGGCCATCTTGCTTCGCTTGCGCCGACGATTACCCAACGGCCTGTCTGAACCCGCTCGCTACGCTAAGATCGGCCTAACGATTTGCTCGGGAGCGACGGGAAGGAGGTGTACCCCGGGGAATCGGAGGTTATCGTCGTATTCACGTAAATCCGTATAATGTATTTCCGCGACGAATTTAAACGCGCCTACCGCTCGCGGTCAGGAAGCGGAGTGCAGGACTCTGCACTCCCGGCTATTATTTAGTGTCGTGATACCGTCTCTGCTGGCTCCGCCGGCTCTGTTGAGATACACGTAGACGCCGTACGTAAAAACATCCTGACACAGAGCCACAACACAGTACGTATAAGCCCCTCTTCGGTACGCGCACGATTCCGGACTTACGCACCGGCTGGCTGCGCCAGACAAGGTCATTCATAAGTAGATCAAGTTCAGCTAATAGTATTGTATTACAATACCTCGACTGTACGTTACCTCCTCTCGTCCTCGCCGACCCCGACCAATACCGGCCACCCAGTCGGCCACCCGTTCTATCCTCCCTCCCACAGCCACCCACTGAACCCGTATGGGGCTATGCCGTACAGTGCCTACTCGACCCGGTACGGATCCAAGCTCGTTGTTTCCTTTCTATGGAGGATCTTGCCAATGCCCGTTGTCCTCGTCGCCCTTGACATTCCTCGATTCTCCTGAACCGTCTGGGTACGAGTTGACTGGACGTTATCTAACGCTCGAAAGGCTCATCGGTCCTTTGCCCACCTATGGAGTAATCGAGTTTGTCATTTTTTTTTTGTTTTTCTTTTTTTTTTTTCTTTTTGAGGAGGTCCAAGGATCTGAAAAAAAAATTTGGCTTCACGAGACGAATCACGGATCTTGAGTTCTGCACGAATGGAGAATATTTATACGCTTTTAAGGGCGTCGGTGGATTCGAATGACAGTCTTTGTAATGTATAGGCGCTCTTTTTTTTTTTTTTTTTTTTAACCTTTTATCTTGAGTTCTGCACGAATGGAGAATATTTATACGCTTTTAAGGGCGTCGGTGGATTCGAATGACAGTCTTTGTAATGTATAGGCGCTTTTTTTTTTTTTTTTTTTTGAACCTTTTGCTTCGCCTCTAATCAGCGAGTATAAATTTACTTTGTACCGGTACACAGCCACGCGGCTAGGAATTTCGGTATGGTTTCGTGTCGAGCGAGGGTTTCGATATACTTATTTACAACGACTGGCAATACTTGCCCTTGGACAATTATTGACGTTTGATGATGAGTTATGTAATCGCTATTCATTGTTAGCGCTTGGACGTTGACGAAGGTGTATGTGGTACGTGTGTGACAGGGAATGTATCATGAGCGGCTGGACATGCGTTGCTATATGTAACGTATATACGTATGTGGGTCATATATAGTCGTCGGGTCTTGTACGCTATTACTATATATGTCGTGTGAAGGATAAACGCATTATTCGATGCCGATGAACGAAATAATAATGATAATCACGAAAAACGTCGTTCACGCTGGTGCCCTTTGACGCGATTACACGGATAAGCGATAAATTAATGCTGCGCTTGGGATTTCTTAGGGGAAAAAAAATAATTGAAAAAAAAAAAGGAATGCGTGCGGAGAATTTATCTTGATGACAAATCTTTATTTACGTGACGATAGGAGCGAACATTCTGGGTTACGAGAATATTAATAATATTCGACACGATGACTTTTGTTTCTACTGTTCACGCGGATTCATCGCGGTATTACCTTACGCGATCGAGTCGATAAGCATCGTGAGCAGCTTTTCTTCGTCGAATTTCTTTACTCGGTCGGTAAGTGCGGGCGGGCGAATAATCACGTGGTCGAAATTTCCGGAATTTACAATCGGCTCACGAAACTAACCCGGAATCTCTGGGGTCTTTCGATTGGAGGCTTGAATTATTTTTACGTCCTGTCATAAAGCGGCGCGGGTATTCGTTTGATTGAAATTTTTATTAGTTTATTACGCTCGGCAGGTATCATCGTGAAAGACGAGAGGAAGGTTAATGACTGTGCATTATTTTTTTCGACTAGAATCACGGAATTTGAAAAGATTGTCAAATGACAAACGAAGCGTCCGAGATATTCGAAGGTTTGTTGTGCAGTTGTAAAATTTTTTTTCCGAGCCTCCTGTATACGTGTGTACAGTCCTTTCTATAATCTCCTACTTGGCTGGTAATTGACACAGTGCACGGTCGCTGAGAAAACTGCTTACATGCCAGACACACGTATGAGTGTCAACATTTGTCCGGAAGTCGACTATAGGTATGGTGTCCGGTGTCGCCATATACGTAACGCATCGTGAGTATACGCACCGGGTGTTAAAATTGAAACGCGCAGACCCAGGAATACCGACTTCCTGCTGCGAGTCAACGACGCGCTTTGTACGACACTTTTCAACCGGAAATCGTCCAAGTGGGGGACTCCCTTACTCGAGCTACCGAGAAAGCTGCGAATAGCACTTTTTTGATTTTACAATGGTAAAGGTTTTTTTTTTTTCCCCGAAAACTATTTTGTCGTTCCACATGAAATTATCGAGACGATTCAAAATAGCTTGATCGATTTTATCAAATTTATTCGAATTTTCAAATGATATTCGTTCACTTCGATCTTTTTATTCGCCTATACTTGCTGCCTGCGGGCTTATTCGTATGAAACCTTGCGATATACTCTCATGAACTGCAGATCGTAGAAACGGCCTTTCCTTTCGTTACTATTACTATATATATATATATATATATATACTACCAGACCTCCTTCACTGACATACATAGATATATCCTGCTGGGAGGGTAACTCGCCTCTCTAGAATGTTCTGCGGCGTATTAATTGCAAGACATCAGATCCCGATTTGTATCATCGGGACTCGCAGTAATCATTTCTGAAACTATTCGTGACTAATAATGAGGAACGAATGACGAATGATCGGGTGATCGGCGCGAGGAGTGAAAAATCTTTAATTTTATCGCTGACCTTGACCATGAGGAGTATAGCAAATGACGATCATGCGACACGGAGGACACGCATACGTGTGGGATACGAACACAGTAGCAGTTGAGATTTACGGGTTGGAAGCATGTTGGACGAAGTTGGATGTGCGAGAGGAAATGGCGGGGGGG